ATGTGTGAGGATCTAGTAAGAAGTATAATGGAGTGTTGCACGAACTGGGACGGCATAAAGTAATAGCGGAGGGTGATTGCATTCCATTTCGTGCAACGCTTTATACTTCTTACTAGATCCTCGCTGTGGTTTTTTTTTGTCCCATTTCGTGCAACGCTTCATTATACTTCTTGCTAGATCTTCATATGGATACAAGCTATTAAACTTTGCTGTGATTTTTTTTGTCCCATTTCGTGCAACACTTCGTTATATTTTATTTTCATATACAGATAATGGAATGAAATCACCTTCCGTACTTTATGCCGCCCCATTTCGTGCAACATTTCATTATGCTTCTTGCTAGATCTTCATGTGGATACTCTACCCTATTCTTCTACAGTACTGTAGGTTTGCAAGGATCATATCTTACCTGAAAATTTCTGATTATAAACTTTCTTTTTACTCTATCTGTCTGAATTCTCACTACGTAGTCCTTTCCAGCATGGCAAGCATTGTCCTTTCTCATAAAGAAATACGTGAAGCTGTCAATGTCAGTGAGGGAGAAGACCCTTACATTGGTATGTTTATATAATCGAAGATTATATCCTTTGGCCACTATTCTAATGCTTTAATAGAGGAATTTATAAGAACCTTAGATGCAATGCGGCTGGAAGAAGATTACGAACCAGTCGACGAGCTCCCCTGTGTTAAGGCAGTTCAAGATCTAGTGCAACTGGTGGAACAGCTCCAAGAAGAAATCACAACACTGACAACTGTCAAAAAACGAACATATACTAAATGGAACAAGGATGATGAAGAAATCAAGAAAGCAATTAAAGATTGTGCCCTTGAAAGACGCGACTACGGTAGAACCAAAGTTCCAGCAGCTACAATGCATCGCTGGGTTATGCAATTTATCGATACTGAGGAAGGTCAAGCAGTTTTGCGAGAGCATCATTTGAAAACCAAATAAATGCATTTCTTTTGTCAAAAAATAATTTTTTTTCTTCATACAGTAGTCTGTCTCTTTATTTTTGTGAATCATCACAAATACTGGATAAGATAACCTTACAAACATCTATTACTGGATCTTTTTGGTGGTGTCACAAACCAGCAATATAGTTTAACGGCATATGCGTAAGAAAACTAAGCCGTTTGTAACTATTTTGTATCCCGAAAGCATGTGGTTACATAAGAGAAAACCATAAACTATTTAAACCAAAGACAAGTCTATTTTCCGAATGTATAAATCACTCTATCTTTTTCGTAACAATGAACAACAACAACAACAACATCTCCTTTACAAAATTTCTGGAATTTGAATTGTGGGATGAATCCATGTTGGAACCATTCGATCCGAGTAAGTTCAACTAAACATTACTATCAAAAAACAGCGCGTTACTCATCTATTTCCATTATATATAGCTACACCTACGGATATTCTTCCGGAAGAAGACCTGGGCAACCTGGTTTACCTTGTAGTTGACAAAATGGAAACCAGTACGTCCCAAACACATTTTACCATTATTCAAAAGATGCGTGCAACTTGTTAATTTTTAGTTTACTGATGTAACAAAAACATATCTTCTGTCTAGGTCAACTGGTCCATAATCAAGGTAGCCAGGAAGACCAGGTCAGCAACAACAATTATGGGGTTAACAGAACCTTTCATACTGACTCCAAACAAGCATACTTGATCCACCTCTACTTTAATATGGGGTGGTCAATACGAAAGGCAGCGGAGGAAGCAAAGATCCCGAAATCAACAGCACAAAGATACATAAAAAATAAAAAAAATAAAAAAGATAAATAAATAAGCTTTCTTGGAAAAAATTACTTTGACTGGTTTGAGTCATAGATAAATGGTGGTGGTATGAGTGAGTAGGACTATAGGAATATTCAGGGACAAAATGGTTGTAGATAGCAATAATGATCAATTAAAAATATGATATAACATCTAGTCTTACTATTTTTATATATTCCTGTAACCATAGATTTATATTGTGGTATGAGTGTGGGTGTGGGTGTGAGTGACATGTGAGATTGAGCTTGGGTTACATTTTAAAAACATATAAAGCAGCATACCTGCAATGGCAAGAATTGTTTCACTCATTCTCAAGATGTCGCTTAATCTCTGGCGTTACTTCATTACGTCGTATCACATCGTCACAGCTCTGCAAATAAAAGGTATTACATCTATTCTTATTAATCTTATTTATTCTTCTTTTGTTTATACTTCTATTATAGAGCGCCATCAAACAGATCTCGAATATCGCGTATACTTCGACAAAGAACTATATTTCCTACTAGATGAAATAGATGGAGAGGAGCTGCTGGATGTAATCTGGCGACGACCAGTCAAGCTGCCAGTGAAGACCAAAGAACCGTTCACCGAGTTTTGGCCGAATGGAATGAAGTCCGCTGGACATTGCTTCTAATGCAGGATCGGCTTTTGTGGATTGAAGAAATTTTCGCAAGATTGAAGTTTCTCTTGTGATGTGAAGTACCTCTTGTATTGTAAATAAAACCTTTTACATACACATGATCATTATTTTTCGTTTGCGATATCTTTTTTTGCGATTCTTTTATGGTTCTCAGAGCATCTATGTTGCTATATAAGGGTGATGTGCTAATCATCTAGTAGAAACTTGCCACTCCTATTATCATGTCTCATACATCTTCCCATGTTTGTGATGTATTTAATGAGATGAACTGCTTTAGTATCTAATGTCATTTTTTAAAAATGATGCCGCTAATGATATAATTCAAACCGCCATTATGAATTTACTATTCTGCCATCAACCTGAAATTACGGCCGCCATTATGAATTTATTATTCTGCCATCAACCTGTAATTCGGCCGCCATTGTATTTTTTTCCTCCTGCCATTCACGAAAATCACACCGCCAATCACAAACACCCCCAACGACAAAGTGAAAAAAAAGCCCCGCCATGATGGGAAAAAAAGCCCCGCCAATCATTAGGAAAAATCCTGTAGGTCTTGATCGCTTCAGGGCGGTAAAACCTGGATGGTGTTATCCACGCGATTTCAGCTGCTGCCTTGGAAGTTTCCATCACTCCTTTGCCCTTGAGCAGCTCGCGAAAATACGCATGAGCGCCGATGTGTTTTCGTAGCTCGTAGTCGCTCATGTTTCGCTCCTTGTCATTTTTCGAGTTCATTTGAGGCTGGACAATTGGGGTCAGTTTCAAGAATGCTTCTTCGACAGTCAGCACTGGCACAAAGTCCTCCGAAACAACCTCTACTTCATCAGCGCTATGAAAGAAGGAAGTAATCTCGTGGTTCCCTTTCTTCTTTTCCGATGCTTTCTGTAGCTGGTAGTATTTTGTGGTTCTGCCATGTACCCAATATTTGCCACGGGACTTGGAATCTCCTTTATTATCCCACATAATAGGAAACTTTTAGCTTGTTGTGGTCGCTGTCGTCGTTGTCGTTGTGGTTTCTGTTGCTTCTTCGAATGCAGTGAGAATCTCGAAGTCGTTTGGTTCTTGTTCGGTCGCGTCAGATGAAGTCCGGATCTCGACAATCGGCGATTCTTCTAGTCTTGCGACTTTTTGAAATCGTCCGTTTTTTGAGCTTTGAAGCTGTTCTAAGGCGCGTTTTTGTTTGTTGGATCTGGGAGCCATTTTCGGGTTCTGTGATGATAGAGCTTTGATAATAATAAGAGACAAGATTAAATATCTTTGAGATGATGTTATAATCCAACAAAAGATAAAGCTTTTTTATCTTCTAGCTATTAAGACGACGATATCAATTCATCCGACTAGTGGATAAACTATGTGATAGAGGAAGGATCAAGGACGTATCAGAACTTCTCTTGAAGTCGCTATGTTATTCGGGCACATCTTTGAAACCGGCATTAGTTGATGTAATTGCCGAGGTACCTGTTGATAGGTTCATTGTCCTGTTCACGTAAGGTCAATCATCCGAATGAGAGGTTTTACTCAATAGTGTTTAGCCGAGATGCTGTAGTATTCATATATGTGTGCTATAATGTTTAACCGAATATCTTATTGTTGATATTTTAAGCAGTGTGTGAATGTGGTTCATCACAGGCGTGCTTTTGGAAAAAATGGGTAAGAAGAGCAGTAACGCACTCATATTACTGGTTAAGCCAGCTATTTGTGAGTAACCTTGGGTCATCTATGGTTACACACTGCCAAAAACATTTCTTCCCCTTGCCCAGCCGACTGTCGAAATCCTCCACCTACTTAATAGCTTTTCATATTCTGACAAAACTTCAAAGGCTATCAGAGCAATGAGAAATGCTTCTCTCAAAAAACAAAAACGTACAATGTGTTAAGAATACCTTTATAAACATGTTCTACGTCGCAAAATATCGATAATTTCATTTCAGACAGCCCTGATAGGATTCCTTTTTTTCATATCGGTGATCGAATTTATTCATGGTTTAAGACAGTATGCACCATATACATCAAAACTGCTATCATAGGGTACCAGCTCCACTCCTGCTCCCGCAGCACCACCAACAACAATTACTACTGAAAACCAAGATATGGAAGATGAGGGTGGTGATAATAGCGACAACAGTGATGATAGCGACGACGAAGATGAAGATGCACTTGGTAGTCAAAGAGGATCCCGACGAAATTCAACCACTACAATACCAGCCCCGTTAACAATAGGATTGATTCCTGAAGTTCACCAATATCTGCCAGCCGGATTCGACATAACTGATCGTTGGCATCGATATAAAATGAAGTCATTGGATATTGCAAGCAAACATAACTTACATGTATCCTCCCACCTTCAAAAAGTAATGTAAGTATTATTTTAGAAGAAACAAATATTTAACAAAGAATGCATCTAAGCTTATTATTGAAATTGACTATAGGTCATTGTATCACGTCATGTTACTTTGTCCTGATACCAGTGATGATGATATGATCGAGTTATTTGGCATTGATATACTGGATACAATTTATACGGATTTCAAAAACAAATACTTTGATCGAAGCATTGAATTTGATACAAGCTTATTCAAGAAAATCAAAGATATTGTTGAAGTAAGTCGAGGATAAAATGAGAAATGAGGGAGAGAGAAGGAGATGCTTATTGCATCTTCCATTTATAGCAATTAAAAGAGGGTGACAAGGAAATGAGTCGCACCAAGGCTATCATCCAATTAGCCAACATGATGGAACGTACTCAAGATCACAATATTCCTATCCTTCAAATACTCATCAACTGGTAATCATTATGCAAATCACACATGCCATACCACTTATGAAAAAAGCATTATCTATTAACTAAAATCAACATCAGTGTCACCAAATTATCCAAGACTGAAAAGAATTACATTGTCAAGGAAACCGAGCTCATCACTAATTATTTGGATCCAGTAATAAGTCCTATGTTTCATGATCCCGATAACAATCGTCTTTTCCGTTGGTAACAAAACTTAAGAGGAAAATTACTGGGATAGTAGATATAAACACGATTATTGAACATATATTTGTTATTAAATATTTTTAGGTTAAATCAGAAGAACAATGCTGATACAAAAGAAGAAAGTACACGGCCCGATGGCGGTATGACTGTTGTTAATCAACTTCAAAACGTCTACGCTCTTGGATTTGTTGAGGTGAAGGCGATTGATGCGTGTGGAAACTGTACATTGACACATATGGATACCCTCCGGTTGGCAATCTTTTGTAAATCGACGTTGGATAAGGATGACGTTAAATGTGCGATAGGTGTTCAAGCTGTTGGTAAGTATAATAGCAAACCCATTAGTATTCACCAGGCCATGAATTATGACATGATACATGTATTGACCAGTCAAAAATTTTTCATTAGGGACTTATGTAACATTTTTTCTTTGCACCATTGAGCAAGAGGCATTATATCCTTTTGTGAAAATCGGACGATTGGATGTCCCTACCTCGTTCGAAAACCTTCCAAGCTTTTTATCACAACTCGATACCTGTGCACGTATTATCAACACTTACAATACTTTTTGCGTAAAACGACGACAAGAAGAATCCGCACGTTCAATGATTAGACCAAGTTTAACTCAAGCACAACTGATGGATGTTTTACATCTTAAAGCTTCAGATACCTCACCTACTTTAAAGCTTACGCCAACTGCTTAAAATCTACACACAATACATAACAACTTCCTTTCCCAGTATGTAATCCTTCCTCGTTTTTATAAAATGCGCAACCCATCCACTTTTTTTTCCGAATATGCGATTCACTCACTTCATTTTACCACATGTAAAGCTTCGTTCTTTTTTTCAAACTCATATTCAAATATCATCATACATCTCGCTTTTTAGTGACAAATATACTGTAAATAACATTTATTCTATCCTTCAATCTGACAAATATATATATTCATCTATATTTTCTGTGATACTTGCATGTTATCATGGCTTTTTCTGTTGGGGGGAATCACCAATGCTTTACTTTTAAAGTGTGTTTAACAAACTAGTATGAGGAGATAGATCCCTTTTAAATGTTAAAGTTATAACTTGGGTATTGCGCATGAGAACCCTCTCACAAATTAATTTCTCAGGTAGACATGATATATTACCTGGCGTTCCCCTGCACAGAATCAATGCTTTCGCGATCAACCCATCCATCATATATGAAATGCTGACACCTCATGATAATGGCGTTCTGCAAGGCTCGTTTGAAATTATACTTCTTGGCGATGACCGTACATCCGTGGAAGTCGGCCTTGCAATCGTTGAAAATATGGCTTGTTTATGACCAGCAATAACAGTCGCAATTACCAGCGGCCGTCACCAAAACGTTGTTGTTGTTGATGGAAGGTAAAAAGGAATATGTAAAAGTGCTGTGTAAGCAACCGCATCTTTTGGGAGAGAAAAGGCGATGAATGAAAAGAAAGAAAAATACGGCACATTATATAAGAATTCAAAGAGCTAGTAGTGCAGCGTACGGTCCTTCCTTGTTTACACTTTCTATAGTTCAATTGACGGCTAAGCTAGAATTTGGCCGGTAAAGATTTTTCGAATCAACACCCTTGTGGCTCATGGGAGGAAAAACGAAGAGAGAAACTTGATAAGCGATCTAGTGGACTCAGCACTCAGAAACAGGAGGATCGACGTATATTGTAGATTATGCCAATTTTGTGGCATTGAACAACTCTTGATAGTGGCGAGGTATGTAGATTCCGAGTTGTAGTCCTTCTCCTTGGGAGTCAGACGCTCTACCATCTTCGTTTGGGGAGTTCGCCCCTCTATTTCTCTACTTTACAGTAGTGTACAGTATTAAAAATTCTATCCCCTACTCACATACTGTTTTTTGTACAGTATGACACCTGGTTAAAGACCCCTTTTACTCCCCATGCCGACGCTTTTGAATGTTACTGTCGCCAACAATACCACTCTAGGTTCCCAGTCTCTATTACTGGCTGCTGTTTGTCTGTTGTTGGGATGTATGGAACTATTGATTAATCCTTATACAGGATATGTGCTCCTGATACAGTAGTCGCGCCAAAGAAGAGTCTTTTACGTAAAAAAACCTACCACACTACCTTTAACAGCCGCTCCGATGGACCCTTTTTCTGTAGTAAACATGTATTATGCATATCCAAAATCAGTTACATCATACGAGCTCATGCATTTATTCTATAGTATGAAGTATTCGATGCTTCACAAATGCGGAGTGATGCGTATGCTTTTCTATGCTAACATAAAGGCACATGTTACCATTATTTATTTCGAAACTAAAGATTGCGTAAGTTATATATATCGGAATGAACCAGCGAATACTTTGTTTTATGATGTGTCATGTTAGCGTTGTACAAACAGATATCTTTCGCTTTCAAACGAGTGCATAAGCTAAACTAAGAAGTAAAGCTGTAACAAACCACTGCCAACGTTGTCATGGTAGATCAAGAAGTTCATGAGGAGCCACTAAAACTGATGCGGCATAGAAGAAAGGTAGAAAAAGGAATCGTCTGTCAGGTTTACTGCTATGATGGACACTTTTATACATATCGTGACTACCTATTGAATCCGTAGGGCACATATAAATCTTTCGTGATCTGCAGCTATGATACCGGCACAGTAGGGTTCGATTGGGAATCAACACTCGACGGCAGTTGACGTGATCTGGCATTTACCGCACAGTCATTGTACGGTAAAGTTCCTAGATGTCGACCAGTTCTTGCCGTTAAGAAACGCGCCTTCGCATTTTACTCGTCCAGTAATCCGGTAGCCAAAGATTATACCATGCTTTATAATAGCATGCATACTTATTTGGCATATCTACTTAGCAAAAGAGCAACACAAATGAAAACAACTTTGGCTGGACGAATTACGAGTCCAGAGAATCAGTGTAATATTGGTGGTATTAGTTCAATATTTACAAACGAAAACGGATATTAGTTACCTGTGTGAGCATCAGTCCATGGCGGGAGCGTATGAGCTTCGAATTGCTTACTATACGGGCTTAGGATGAAAATAAATTGGGAAAATGCCCAAAGTCGCTTAATCTTGCAGAGTAGCGTATTTATACAAGAAGATGGAAACAGAAAATAGAAAGGACTATGATAGACGTAATACATTTTCCGTAGTAGCATAAATATTTGTGTTCTCTAAGATAATAGACCTGAATGGTCTTTTAAATACTTGTAATACTGTACACGTTAGTGTAGTATATATGAAAGCAAAATCGCGATTAGCGTTGCGGCACGTTAGAAGTTAGTCAATAGAGCATTGCCCACCACAGCCACCCGCACAAGCAAATAGCCCTAAAGGCTAACTCAGAAACAATCCATTCATACAGTAGTATCGTAAAAGTACATCTCCTCATTACCCAATAACCTTGTTATGCTATGGTAATATCATCTAGCATATTTGCTTGCCACTGGATATAGATAAAGCGGGTAGGGGTTTAACACACCTGTATTGCCGTTTTTGCATCGTTAGCACTTGCACGCTCGCATCACATTATGGTGAAAAAAATTGTGCTATGTATTATGCGCAGAAAGAAGAAGATACGTTAATCCAACAATATACATTTGTTCTTTTTGACAGTGTGATCCCGAACTAGTACGCGACTCAGTGAAGGGGAATTAGTTTTATTTAAAAATTCCCAAGCAGGGGCAGATCACGTAAACACCTGACCTCCATTGTTTAAAAAGGTACAGTAGATCGTCATTTACGTACATAACACTTAAAGCCCCTCTGCTTGATCCATTATAATTAGCAGAAGTCGATCTACAATTATAAAATCTTGTTTAGTTGAAGCAAAGATAGTTTACTTTGTGTGCAATATACAATTTTGGTTCTTTGTGAAACAAAGTGTAATAGGTGGTAGTAGTGATTATTGATTCGGGGTTTTGAAAAAAGGTGAAAGAGAAACGGGAAAAGAAGACTGTGAGTGAGTAACTGGGGTGGGGTATATAGACCATACAGCAATAGTTTGAAAAGAAAAAAACGAGCTAATATACAAAGAGGCAAGGGATAAAGAATAAGAAAAGATGCAAAATGTTGGACATGTAGAGAAGAGTGAAAGAGGGAGATTGTGGATGGTGAGTGTGCTCATCCAAAGGTGCTTACGATATTTGCTAACTGATTCAGGCCTTCAGAAGAAGAAGAAGAAGTGGGATTCTTTTGTCGTTGCTGCTGATGCGTCCCAGCATTACCCTTATGGATGTTATTATTATCGCTATTACTATCATGTTCGTTACGGTCATAAAAACGATATTGGTTTGGTGGTGATGACGGGGAAATAGAATAAGAAGATGGATTTGATACAAGGTGCTCGGCAGCAGAAGAAGTAGTAGTAGCAGTGGTAGTGGTAGAAGGAGTGGGCAATGATGGGCCAAGTAATGTTGTAGATGTCCCATGCTTGGTACCATTCGGAAAGGTGAGCGGTTTGTGTTGAAAGAACGTTGTAGTGGTCGTTGTGGGACCTTCTCTTATTGTCATAGTCGTAGTCATGGCTGCTACGGATGTTAATGAAGGTGTCGACTCGCTCAAAGTGGTAGTCGTCGGACTTGTAATCATCATTTGATGAATCGAGGGTAAATCAGGCCGTTGTCGATTCGAGCGGTGATAGTTGCTCAAATGTTGGTCGATTGTCAGCGGTCGTTCAACATCGAAAGGATCAGAGCGAATACGATGATGGGCGTGTAGTCTTGGTTTGGGCCGACTCGTGTCTTCTGTGCCGTTGTTGTGAGGATGACGGTGATGATGAACAACCGCAGCAGCAGCAGCAGCTGTGGTTGTTGCTGGTGAAGACGTTCCTAATGCTACTGCTGAAATTCGTTTATGTGAGCGTCTTGACCGAGGCGACATATGTGTACGATAATGCTGCATCATATTATCCTGCCGAGAAAATCGACTCTGACAACCAGGGAAGAGGCATGGAAAGTTCTTTTCACCAGTATGGATACGCATATGTCTTGCCAGATGCCCGCTATAAATTTTTTTAATATCACCATAGAAAACACAGTAAAAGCCTCTCTCTCTTTTTTTAGCACGTGTTTCAAACACACAATATCTTTACCTTGTCGTAAAACTTTTGCGACATTCGGAGCAGTGATGGCGTCGTTTTGTTGTTTTGGTGGTCGGGGACGACGGCGCGGTACTGTCGTTATTGTTACTGTTGGTTGTGGAGGGAATGGAAGAGACGCCAATGGGCGACGCAGGCTGATTCCACTGATTGGTCACGATGGGCAATGGTTCAGCCGTGGGTTGGTTGCTGCTGTAATGGTTGTGTTGTTCTTTTTCTAAACTGTCTGCTGCTGCTGTACTCGACAGTCTCCGCGCAGCAGTTGTTGACAAAGCATGATTTTCGGTGTTTAATAGACTGACTTGACGACCGGAACAATCAGTGATCGAAAAAGAAGAAGAATCGTCTCGGGCTTCGTTCAACAGCATGTTAGCGATAGTAAAGAGATATGTACAAGAGAAAGATGCCCGAAATGTAGTCAGAAGTGGGAAGAGAAGGAGAGAGAGAGAGAGAGGGGGGGGGTGGGGATGAGATGGGATGGGATGGGAAAATATTGAGAACCCTTTTCTGGAATACCCAAATTTAGCTCGAGTCCCTGCACTTCCCAGCCTCGGTACAACGCCTCAAAAAGCAAGTAAATTAGGTACTGCGTCCATCCAAAAGGAGAGTCATCAGAGGAGAGGGCTATAGTGGGGATACGGCGTTATTTCATACTGTGGTAATGGTGCATATCTCTCTCTCTCTCTCTCTCTCTCTTTCTCTCTCTGATAGATATAGCCCTTTCCCTTTCTCTCTTTTTTGCTCTCTGTGTGCGTGTGCGTGTGCCTGTACTGTTGTAGTTGTTGTTGTTGAGGACGGTGTCGGTGCACATATTATATACATTAGCTACCATAGATTGGCGTTTCTTTTTTCATGCGCTCCTTTCCTTCTACTCCTACTCATGGTACACACTTTTGCCGATATTGATGATACTTTGCCGTTCTCCTATCAGCGTGTTACCTAGAAGCGGTATTGCCGGTGAGCAAAGCGAGCAGTATCTCAAGAAGAGTACCCGTAACCAGGAAAATTACGCCAAAAGCAAGCGGATTTCAAAGTACTGCATTGACTCTAGTCCACCCGACAGTACATAATTCCGACAACACAAACAAAGCGGGACAGACTTACATAATAGGGAAAGGTGGACTTGACTACCTTTGGAGGTCGGCAAAACAAATGATGTCCTTGCAGGACGTTCACATGAAGCACCTGGCGCTCCCATACAGTAGTACTAGCTAGATACTCTGAAAAACGGTACAGGCCTGACACGATATCACATGCATCTATTCACAAACGTACCGAACATTATTATATATTTACCAATGCAAGCCGTTGCAAAACAGAATTCAGAGGTGAATTATTGGAGTATAACCTGAAAGTAAATAGCTGAATACAACATTACTCATGCGGCACATAGATTTCTTGATGGGTTTGAATCAGTGTTGGAAGAGAACTTTGCAGATATACAGCAACATCTATGTGATATGCTTGTGGTGAAGAGAAAAATGTGCAAAACATAGCCCGGCTGGCATTCTATATTCTATCAGAAAAAGTAAAGCCTCGGTCATTGAATATACATCATGATCATAATAACCGTTTATAATGTTATATCATGTAAAATGGAAGTATCAACCTTTGCGATTTGGAGCAAGCTACATAGTAGTAGCTTCTACAGAGTGTTACAGTACATAACTATATACGACTGTATGAGTTTGCTGGAGGGAAACCTACTGTTTCCGAGTGCTGGCCCTATATAGTAGCATCAATTTTATCTTGGCTACTTGAAGGGTTGAGAAACTGACAACAGTCGCCTCAATTTTCAATAACTACAACACAAGATAGTGAATTACCTCGTTTGAGTACAACGAGCTTCAACATAGAAGTATTAATTGCTTGAAAAAAGTCTATTGGTGTATAAAGTAGTGTATGTTGAAAAAAAAGGCAAACGAACCAAGCGCAAGCAAGCTTTAACAGGACCCGACTATAAATCAGTTTCATTACATATAATTTATAGTAGATATGACAGTTCTTGCAGCTTCTAATCCAACGATACACTGTTTTCGTACCGGAAGATTCGGTACGCTTCTGTGTCTTGAATGCTAGCAAGAACAGCTATTTCCGGACGAAACCCATAGACTTTTGAACCTTAATCTCTCTCAGACATCTTTTTTCCAGTACAGCAAACAAAAAAGTTGGGTCCTTGCCAAAAAGCATTGGTAAAAGCTGCGATATTGAAAGTAACACCGGGTGGTCATTGCAAAAGGTTGCTTGGACAATGTCTGAGGAGGATCCTGTGAGTGTTGTCATGAGGCAACCTCCCTTCCGAAAGCATGTAAACGCTGGCATTGATTATGGTACGAACATCTTTATGTATATCATCGTATATGAAGACCCGTACCCAGGACTTAAATTTCTCATACGCTGTCCTACTGGTCGTTTGAAGCTGTTACATTAGGCTTCATGAAATAGGGCGTGTCAAAAATACGCACCAGTCAAATTCCAGAAAGAACAGCTACCAGCAGCAACTACTGCCGGTCAACAACACAACATCGGCGTTACTTTGGAAAAACAACCACTCACTTATAGTAAGAATATGTCGACCTTGAGCCGATCGAGGTAATGTACGTGCTTAAACTTAGTATGATCGCAGTACTCGACGTTACAATGCTGGACGTCTACCAATATTCACAATTATGAACAAACCTTCGTTTGCGAGAATAGTGTACCGACATTGCTAGCTCTCTCTCCCTCCCAAAGCATATGGCCTTTTGGAAGTCAAACAGTAAAGAATGAAGCAAAGTAATACGGGGGAGCTTTCCTTTAAAGTATGCTTTAATATAACTATCATGTATAAGTGCGAGGCAACATTCGCCATTCATATACGAGACGGAGATCGCACTGGACGGGTGTAGCACAAGCCAAAAATGCCAATGTTCTTAGGACACTGAAAAGCAATGATAAAGACCCTAGAGATAGCGTACATACACTATTCTCACGGTGTTAGAAAAACCCAATCCATATCGGATGAAAATATCTGTAAATACAATCTACAGGCGTAAGAGGGAAAAGAGCTCGGCTGTTCTGTTTGCAGAGGCACTATAGCAGAGATACAGCTTAAATTTTGAACCACTCCTTGGTCGTCGCTTTTTTCACCGTTATATAAGCCGGTTCACGATTTGCGGAATTGCCAAGAAACATATTACACATATCTTCGAAAGGCACTATTTTAAAAAAAAAAATGCACTGTAACAACACTGCAAAAGGAAGCTTCGAAAGTTTCAGCAACGCTACGTTTTGAGAACCAGATCCCTTTCCATTCTACTACTACTCGGGTCATAGCGAATGTATGTATATTTTGTGTTGAGAGAGAAAAGAGAATGTTATAATCGCTTTCTTCTGCCATCATAGAGCTCAAGAGAGGTTCTTCTGGAGGCTGCTCGTGCATGGCGGAAGCGTAATAGGCTGTGTACTTTTACCAAAGTTTCCATTTAGCAGTGCGTCGATGTTTTCATCAACATGATTTAAACCGACTATGTTGACAGTAAGTCAATCTTTATATTTATATGTGTCGATAGCATATGTGAATGACGTGATTGAAGTTTCATTTTCTATGCCACAATACATACAGAAAGGAATTATAGATGGTGGTAGACATGTTTCGTCTAAGTATAGTACTATAGTCGAAATGTGTGCCGTTCGTCTTCCTTAATGTACTTTCATTAAGAGGCAAGTTTTAAACAGCGTGACCTGGGATTTGGGAAGATTTGAATGCCGTAAAATGTATTAAACGTTTGTTAAAAGTCTCAACTTTCTATTTCCATCAGACTCGACACTTTAGAACTTAATTCGGATATGTGCTTTACTTCTGGGGGAAACGAGTGGGATTTTTCGTGCTAGACCTCAGTGGTATTAACCATAACACGCTAGTAGAGATTATAACATATACACTTGTTGGATGTATAATGAAGCACCATCATAACTATAGATTTTCATTATGTATTGCTGCTGCCTTAATTGGACGATATCTTTTCTACTTGTGAGCTCACCTAAGATTTCGGGCACAGACATGTTTTTTATGATAAAAAACAGCAGTTCTTGCTAACAGGTGGTAATCTATTTTTCTTTTGATTATAAACTAGGCGCACGAAGCAGCAATAATAGTAGCAGCACTCTTGTTACACCACATAATAATATGTGGTAGCGTATACCTGCAACAATGAGAGTAAATTAAGTGTAGTATGGCACGAAACATATATCATTTAGAGTATCATCAAGCATCACCACAGATTTGCCGATCATATAAGGTTTACTTTAGCGCTTGCAAAATTAACAATATATGTACATACACACTCAAAGAAACGATGCACGACTTGGTTGAAAAAATGATAATTAATATCTGATCTATGCACGCTCCTTTATAGTTACAGGTGTGCAAGTCCGCATGACCGACGAAAACCCCTCCGCTGCAGCCATTTCCGACTCCATCATGTTTCTCACCTGTAACAACAAAAAGGTGGTGATGTCACCCATAAACGGAATACTCACAGCTGAAGGAAAGAAAGAAAGAAAGAAAGAAATGCCAAGAAATAACAAAAGAGAAAGAGAGACCAAACATTATCGGGTCGACGAACAACGACGACGATCGCCCGGAGCCCAGCAGCAGAATTTTTTTCCAGAGAGCGCGCCTATGTGTTATTCAAACAAATGCGACGGCAATAGGGATCGTTTAAACACAAACAAATCGAAAATGATAAACGTGGGGCAGCAGCAGCAGCAGATCATTTGATTCTTCTTTGACTCTTTCTTATAATAGGGTTTTAGTATACCTAATAAAACAAACTACCTCATAACACAAACTTGAGCAACAAGGTTTGGAACCCTTTTTCTTTTTTCGAAAAAAAGAAAACCCATGATATGTGATTAGCTACTACCAGTGCTGCCTGTTGTCGTTGTCGTCGCTGCTGCTGCTGCTGCGAGTGTGCGTGTTTCATCATAATCAAAACTTAGAATGAATGTGATACGCCACCCGCACATTTGTTTTCTTTTTTATATACCGATTTTTTCATGTATATATCGTCGCTGACACTGTTTGCAGCCTTACTCTTCTCTTTCCTCTTCACGTTCTACCTTTCTCCCTTCTTCTTTTTACTTGGAAAAGACCTTATCTACCTTTCCCCCTCCCCTTAAGAGCACAGAATCCCTCATCTCCTATACAGCAACCATCCATGCTTCTAAGGGCCAATCCAATCCTTCGCGACGATCTTATAGTCTTATCTTTGCAACAAACCAAATTTCAGGAACAGCACCTGACGACGCAACAACCTCCTACAACAACTGTCTGTCATCCACATGCACGTGCGTATCATAGAATATGCTGCAAGCTTTATGCTTGTTTGTTAAGAAAAGTTCATTATGAGCCACATATTCAAGCCAACCGTCATCATAACTTTTTTTTTGTGTATATGTAGTTCATTTGAAGAACAATGAAGATGGTATCACACATTTAGCTGATTTGGTGGATTTCATTCTTCGTGCAAGAAGGCTTTCGGCCGTGGTAACAGGACAAGTACCGCCATCGACAGCAAACAACAAAGGTGAGGATCAAAAGGTTGCTTGTTGCGCGTGTGTGTGCGGAAGTGGTAGCGCCTTACAATCGTGAAGAAAGGGAGTAGTAGTAGTAGTAGTAGGTCAAATACCAATGATGACAATATGTAGCGTCGGATGACACGATACGCTCCATCATGGTGCCAGCAAGAGAAGCATCCACAGATCACCATCGTCAAAGTAGTAACAGTACTAAACGTTGGTCATCAGCAGCAGCAGCAGCAGCATTGCATGCGCCATCTTCTCAACAACGACAGCAAGAAAGGCGGCGTATATCTACTGCATCGTCATCATACTCTTCTACATCAGTCCTATCCATTTTGAAAGAAGAACAAAGCTTTGAACAAGTACAACAAAAGGACAAGGGAAAAAGCAGAGGAAAAGAAAAGGCTATTCCCACCATGATTGTCACAACTTCAGATAATGACGAAAAACGGCAAATTCGACGTTTACGATCATCGACAGCTACTACAGCCACTTCTACAGCATCAAGTGCATCATCATCATCATCTGATAACAACACTGGTGGCGGTGAGCAAAGGGATTCTCTTGTAGCACGAGGTGGAGAATGTATTGATGGAGCAGCAGCAACAACAATAACACAATCTTTACCGTCTTGTCATCATCCGAAATACCATCATCATCACCAGCAGCAGAGACGCCCTAAAACAGGAGGAGGGGCAGCAGCAACTCGAACTTTTTATAGCGAACCTTCCATTCATGAATATCAAAGAAATAATAGTTCCAACAGTATGGAAGCGCGGCTTAGATTGATGGGACCAATGATAGCGCCTCCTGCAGTGGATGGTATGCGTGCTCGTAGTAACAGTTCTATTACTACAAGCGAATGCAACAAGTACATTTCCAGAAATGGTGTTGCCAGTTCGTCCACGTCTACGTCTTCTGGATCATCATCATCATCATCATCATCATCATCATCATCATCATCAAGTCGTCCAGTAACACCCACCCATCCTCATTCTGCTGCTGGTAGTGATCAACTGCTTCCATCTTGGAAGAAGGAAAAGTCAAGCTTAATACGTGCACGAGACGATGATGACAATAGGTAACGTTTATATACAAACCCTTGGAGGTGATGTATTACATGTATATGAATGTTGATTCTCAAATTGGTATTCGTGTATTAGATCGTTTAGAAAAAGATTATTGTCTCGTACAGGATCGCTGAGTGAAAAGATACAAGAAGGACTCTTGCAAAGAAGAACATCTGCAGTGAGGACATTGAAGCATGTTGTCAGACGTTCTTCGACAGTGCAGAAGTAGTGACATAGAATCCAGCAGCAGCAGCAGCAGCAGCAGCAGTAGTAGTAGTTTATGTTACTTTTTTGTAAATTTAACACACCCATTATGCAAAATACACAATTCAAATACCGCTTTTTTTTCTCTCGGTTGGCCTTTCTTTTCTTGACCCGTACCCTGCACACACCACAATATACGGTTTTTTCTTCTTTCTAATCAACTTTTACATTTATTCACAACAAAATGGCGACTCACCGTGAAGGACTCAGTGATAAGCCGCACGACTGGTGCATGATTCCTGCTGGCACACTCATGAAGACACAAAAAGTCATTACAATGTAAATCTTTTTTTCCTACAAGTGATGTCTAATGTTTTGTGATTCGACCTTTGTATCTGAAGAAGAAGAAAACAACACCACACTCACTTTATATAATTATGAACAGTGACGGAATGCTTCCAGTAGAAGACGCGTGTGGTATTTTGATCAAAAACAACATATCGTCAGCACCGGTATTTGATAGCACGCAGTCGGCACCCGAGTATGTGGGCATGTTTGATTACGGCGATGTGATTGCCTATCTTTTGCTTGTCTTGTTGGACCAAGTCCCAGGCCATCTTCAACAACAACAACAACAACAACAACAACAACAACAACAACAACAGGGTTCGGGTGAGGACGCGACTCTGGAGATTACAGATATCATTCGTCGTGCTATTTACGGACAGTCTGTTCCCGTAAAACTTGCGAGTGGTTAGTTATATATATGCATTGGGTTATGTTTGTTTGTTTGCTCTGCTGCTTGATGTGAAATAAGCTAACTTTGAATGATGTGGGGTGATGATAGATCTTTCTCAAAAGAATCCATTCTATTCGATTCTCCCGGAGTCAACCTTGCTATCGGCCATTGAAGAGTTTGCTTGTGGTACACATCGCGGTAAATGTCGTGTTTTTCTTTCTGTGTCTCTGTGCAATGTAACCTACTCGGAGGTTTTTGTATTTTTGACAAGAGGTCTCCTTGTTACTTTGTGACTGAAAACGATAATGTAGTATGTGTTATGGACCCCAATGGTGGCATCCAGGTAAAGCTTTTCTCCATGTGGGACAAATAAGGAGTTTGGTACAAGGAAGCGTACTGACATCATCCATTGTGTAAAGGGTATCTTGTCACAATCAACAGTCGTCGAATATCTCTACAACAATCGAAAACAGTTTCCTACCATTGAGAAGCTCTTGGGCCAAACGGTAATGGATGATAGAATGAGGCACACATGGTTACTCTCTTTCCATATTTGTTCTAACCCGCTCTTTTGTTGCCATCGCTTGTTGTTTAACCGTGTTACTTTTTCCACACTGTTAGCTACGTCAGCTGGGCTTGGGTGAGACAGACGTAATAAGTGCAGGCGCAGATGCGCGTGTCCTCGATGCACTTTCATTAATGAGTAGAGTATTATGCTTTTTCACACGATAGATATGACAAAAATATGCTAATCAAAACGGCCATTGTTTGTTATAATGTATGACGCACAGGCCAACACGGAGTCTCCTCTGTGGCCGTGGTGGGCGCCAATGGAGTTGCCCTGGGTAACATTAGCATGACGGACATCAAGGTAAACAAATCATAACATACTGCATATAATACATGCAAACCATGTGACGGGCTGGGTGGTTGGATAAGGGAGGGGGTGGGGGGAAGGAGGATGTGTTTTGGTAGTAAGTAGTGGAAGGAGGATCGCCTAATAAGGTTGTTCATTATTGGGTGTACACGTATAGCATGTGATGAAGGATTTCAAACACAAACTGCTGTGGATAACTTGTTTCCAATTTGTGAGCATGGTACGAACCGAGCAAGGCATCGAGGATGGGCAGGTAAGTTAGTTACCCCCGCTCCCCGTATTAGCAGCAATCCATGCCCGAGTCGGCTGAAGCTATATAATGCAACAAAGTAAAACCCTTCCAATCAAAATGAACTGTAGGACCGCTTGCCCGTATTCGATGTCCGGCTGGACACACGTCTTGGATTTGCGATCGCCAAACTGCTAGCCACTCGATCCCACCGTGTATGGGTCACCGACGACATGGGCAGACCCATTGGCGTCGTGTCGCTCACAGACATATCGCGTGTTATTGCCGAGAGCGCAGGCGTACAGACCACGGGCTATCCCCGGCGTGCGAGTGTAGCAGTGCGAGGCGGTCTTAATACTACTACTACATGATGACTGGGTTGTAGATATCATGTTTGCGATAATAACACTCGCTCTGTTGTTGCTTTCCCTGTGTTTCGTTCGTTTATGAGCTATAATGGATTGATCGACATGGGAAAAGAGTAAAGTAGTACCTATCATCCCCACCCCACCCCCATACCCATAGAGAGAGAGAGAGGGGGTGTGTGTGTGTGTGAGCAACATTGTCTTTACCGTATTTGGATGGAAGGATAACACAATCATTATGGAAGTAGCCCAAAACTCTTTTGTTTCGGACTGTACCTTTTTTTCTTACTCTTGTCCTGCCAATAGGTCACAGCAGCAGTGGCAGTGGCTATCAGTGCTGCTTGGCCACTGCATACTAAGGATAAAAACTCAGCAAAGGCTTTTACTTTTTGGCTCTTTTGGAGAGTGGGTTTACTGCGCGCTTGTTGATCCCTTTCTTTTCTTTCCTTACTACCCCCACTTGCACAACAACAACAACCACAACAGCACACACACAAACCTTTTCTCTTTTTCTTCTCCCAACCTCTTTTTTTTTTTTGTTGTGTGCTTGCTTGCTTGCTTCTTTTATTATTATATAATTATTATTATTTCGCCACCCGGAATCAAGGGCCCTGCCAGAACACTTGTTTATTCTCATTCCGAACTGCACCCACCCCGTTTTCTTCTTCTTTCTCTCTTCATTGCTAACACATTCGACTCACAATTACGTCCAAAATGGAGACGACCGAGCAACACACCAGCTCTCCGGAATCGTCGGCAACTCCGGAACCGACCAAAAGAACTACAAAGAAAGGTGGCGGCACTTGTTCTTCCAACTCTAATAATAATAATCATAACAACAACAACAACAACACAACGAGTGCAACGGGCGCAAGCAATCATCCAAATAGACGAAGCAAGAGCATGCGTGCCTGTGACGAGTGCCGAAAACGCAAGGTAAATTTTGCATGTTTTTTGTTTTACTACTCGGGCTACTTGGGCGGGGTGAGAGAAAGAGAGAGAGAGCACATGGCGTCACATCATACAGAAAAGTAGAAAAAGGGCAAGGGGTAGTAGTGGGCTGCTTGTATAAGCCGGTGCAAGTGGGAATGAGAGAGAGAGAGAGAGAGAGAAAGAGACAACAGAAAGAGACAACAGAAAGAGGGGGGCGGGGGAGGGAGGGGTGGCAAATATAAAATTAAAAAAGCGTTGGACCGTTGCAACGGAAATCCTCACACTCTCTGCGGAATATGCCAGGTAAAATGCGATGGCGTCCAGCCTTGCTCCAAGTGTCGAAAATCTGAAATTGCGTGTGTGTTTGCAAAACTACCTCCCAAACGAGGTCCACCGAAACAATACATTGAGCTGCTGGAGGCGCGTCTGCATCTCATCGAAAAGGCACTACGCACAATTGATGGACCTGCACGCCGTATTCTCGACGACGCGTTATCCTTGGACAGCGTCAAAGCACTCAATACCTCGTCACCCTCGTCACCGTCACAGCAACACCACCAACAAGATGATGCAATGGACACCACAGGTACTACTACTGGAAGTAGTTCAGTGGTGGTCAAAGAAGGTAGAGTTACAAAAGCGGATGGTGTAATGTTGATCATTCCCATCGTTTGTGGTATCGCAATATGCCCCCACCCCCTCATTAAGCTTTTTTATATTGAACATACTACAACGATGACGACAATGATGTATATAGAGGACGAAGGGCCGAGCGTATCATCTGCTGCACCGTGTAGTCCAAATACACAACAATCATCCATTGACGAAGCCGATCGTTTCAGCATCAATGAAATTGGCCAGGCCATGTACGTGAACGACATCAAGGCACGGATTGACCGAATACCCAGCATCCACGCTTCAGGCGAGCCCATGATATCCTCGTTTGGCTCAAAGCAATCACCAATGAAGTACGACAGTAGCAGTAACAGCAACACCACCACCACCACCACCACCACCACCATTACCACCAGCAACAGTAATACCAGTACTATGGACGGATCACAGAAAATGGACACTGATACTGGATCTGAGGGATATCCATCGACTGCTGTAACGGCGCTGCCGCACGACGTTCCACAGTCGCTCATCAAGACCTATTTCACACACGTACACAAATACGTCCCCATGATCCACAATCCCTACTTTTACAAACAACTGTCCAGCAAGGCCGAGGATCCACCCTCGCCCTTGCTGCTCTATGCCATGTGTGCTGTCGCGTCACGCTGGACCGGCGAGTACACTGGCGCTTCCTCAGGGCAGATTGCCCCTGGATTTTCGTTCTATCAGCGTGCTTTTGCCAAGATTGACGAGTATTCGGATGCGCCACGCGTCTCGACCATACAGGCACTTGTGTTGTTGACAAAGTATCAAGAGTATTACCGACGACTAGGCTTTTTCCATCGTCCAGGTCTCTATCTCGGGATGGCAGTACGGATGTGTAACGACCTTGGTTTGCCAAAGCTCGATCCAGTCCCAGGCCCGGATGAGGATCCACAAGGATATGAGGAAAAGAAGCGTACTTTTTGGATGGTGTTTATCTATGATCTGATGATGAGGTATAAAAACAAAGAGATCTTTTTCCTGTGTGGTTTTTATTTCTTTGGCTTTGACTTGAAAGTTGGGCAAAAAGGTCTTACACCTTCTCTTCTCGTTGAAATAGCATCGAACAAGGACGTGAGCCCTATTTTGCTAATATCGAGTGTACCACCGAGTTCCCACTGGCAACGAGCGAAGAGGGACCTTACCTCGAAGAAGTTGTTACTAACAACAATGCCGTGATCCAACTTGCACGAATTCTGTCCGAGATTTTGCTCATGTCTCGACGCGTGACGACACGACAGCATGCTCAAGGCGACCAGCGCAACCAGGTGCAAATTATAGAAGAACAAGGGAAGCTGTTTCTGCTCAACACGCATCTGGAAAACTTTGTGCATGAGCTGCCTGCATCACTGTCGTACGGCCCCACACAAAACTCGACGGTATACCCTACAGACAAGCAGCCAATCAGCAATGTGTTTGTCGGTTTCCTGCATATGACTTACCATTTCAGTGTCATTTTACTGCACCGCCACTATGTACTGCATCCACTTCCTTCGTGCGATCTCGAAATGGAACCTTACCAGCACCAGCAGCTGTGTGCTGCATCTGCATCAAACATTACGCAGATTGCAGAAACCATTTTGGAAAGTCAGGCGATGGATGCATTCAGCTATCCTACGCGCGGTATCCAGCATACCATTCATTGTGTCACTATGGCTGCGACTGTTCATCGTGACGGTATGACAACGACGACGACGACCCAGGACAAAACACTGGTGGATCAGGCTAAGCAGCAGTATGTCAAGGCATTGAACATCCTGAACCGTTTAGCTGCAGAGTCGCCTGCTATGGAGTTCCACTCTCATATCAAAGAGGCTGAGCTGGCCCAAATGTATGATCGTCTGGCTGTGAACACGAGCAGTAATAGCAACGCTAATAACAACAATATCAGCAGCAGTAGCAGCAGCAGTAACAATGGCAGCACTCATGTTAGTAATGAAAACAATATAAACAACAATCGTGCAGCAAGTGCTACTACCACGACAACATCTACAACAGCAGCAGCAGCAACAACAACAGCCAATGCTGGTGTATATTCGTCACCCGGACATAGCAGTAATGCTAGCACAACATCATCTACGGATAGCACTTATGTTTCTTCTTCGGCACCCACACAATCAGCAGCATCACTACAGCAGCCAATACCCGCGGATCGTGTGTCTCTTTCTGATGCTTCCTCGACCTCCTCCTCCCCGGTGTTATCGTCGTCAGTGGATATGCCCACGCGTCCTGGTGCTGCACGAACGATCAAATTACCAAAGTCACGACGACACACACTTACCGGTACTGGAAATACACAGCTGATGCAAATGGCTAAACATGCTCCTCTTGGCGGCCAATGGTATCCACCTCAACAGCAGCAACAACAGCAACAACAACAGCAGCAACAACAACAGCAGCAACAGCAACAGCAGGGAGTACTACCTGGTGCCAACAACACTTCACCATACATGATGGATGGTGGTGTTCCGTTCAGCCAAGCAACGCTGTTGAACTCGAGTGCAACGATTTCTGACCCTTCAAGGTTCGCATCACTGATGATGATGCAAGGTGGAGTCAATATCCCGCTGTACAACCATCATCAGCAGCCGCTCCCACACATCCCACAAGAGCAACAACAAGCCCAACAACAACAGCATCTCCACCATGTTCACCATCCGCAACACCCTCAGCAGCAGCAGCAGCACTTTGTCAACAATCCACCTGCTACTACGTATCGCAAGTCTCGGCTGAGTCATCACTGGTCATACTCTCAAGAAGATCTACGTTCTCTGCGAAGAGCGCACATGAACAGCCCGATCGGTGGAGGAGGCAATTGGCCATCGGCAAAGGCAAGATCCTCGCCCCACGCAGCAGCATCTGATTTTGGTTACCATAGCCACTTTGCCGAAATGGGGCACCACGATGGATTTCCCAATCCGTATCCACAGCAACAACAACAACCACAGCGCATGACCCGCCAATTGCGTCGTCAATCTTCCATGACGGCCATGATGCCATCCTACTATGCTCAACGCCAGCAACAACAGCATTATATGCCTGTACGGCACGCTCCTCCTGCTCCGCCGCCACCACCACCACAACAACAACCGCCAGCTCCTTTACCACAGCAACAACAACAACAACAACAACAACAACAACAACAACAACAACAACAACAACAACAACAACAAGCGCAAATTCCACGACAACATCAGCATCACCAGCAACAACAACAACAACAGCAAATGGCTACACAGCAACAACAACAACAAGCTGTTGCAGCAGCAGTGGCAGCACAGCATCATCGTCGACATACCATCTCTGTCCCTGCCAGTGGCCCTGTAGCTGCTGCTGTTCCGCACCACCAGCATCACCACCCTCACCAGCATCACCACCCTCACCAGCAACAGCATCATCATCAGCATCATCATCACCATCATGCTGCCACTGCTACTGCAATTGCACCACCCCTCACTCCAGCATATTCCGACGCTGCAGGAATGATGCAGCCCATGGATTATATTAATTATTCGGATTCCACCTCAAATGATACCATGATGAACATTGATACCGCCACTGCTGCTGCAGCAGCATTGAACAACAACGTTATACACAAATTGGACGATACCACCACCACCACTACTACTAATGGTAATGACTATCTTGGATATTCCTCCCAAATACCTTCCACTGCTAGTACTACTCCTACAATGGGCGTAGTATCAGTTAGCGCGGAAAGCATTGCATCGACAACAACAACAACGGCTCCTACTACTAGCACGATGGATGCGAGCAGTATGATGATGGTAGATCCACCGACCAATGATGAAGCAACGGCAGCAATGATGAACGACTTGTTGATGAACGAACAATGGTCATCGTTATTGATGGGATCCAATCCGAATGCTGCTTCCAACACTGGCTTTGAAGATCTGCAACGGAGCGAGGGCCATGTCATGTAAAAAAAAAAGAAAAAAGCAAAGAACTTATTAGAGAATTATATCACAACTCCTCCTTCCCCACTAACCCCCAAAGCATCATATCCACAAACACACACTTGTCCACACTCTATACATCATCCGCACACATGTTATTTACAAACACACACACTCACACCGAACAAACAAACCAATTTGTAGCAGTACATTACATCATCTTCTTTTCTTCTTGTTTCTATTCTGTAGTTCCGCCTTTTCTTTTGTTGTGCCGATACCCTGCCTCTTTTCTCACGTGTACTCTCTCTCTTTTTCTCTCTCTGTCTCTCCACGCACAATAAGGACCAGCAATCAACAAACACATATCAACCGTCTTTTTGCCTTGTACGTACACACAACACAACACAGCAGACTGTTTTTATTTCTTCAAGGTGCTGGAGCTTGATACAACGGTAACGGTTCTTCCATCCCTACATTTATACATAACACACACACACACACATATATATATATATATATATATATATATACATTACGCATTATGTTTTTTCTATGTTTTTAGTTTAAGCCCTCTTATTTCCTTCTCATCACCCCTTCTTAACCTCTCTCTCTCTCTCTCTCCACAAAAACACACAAAACAGTTGTTTTCCCCGCTTTTACCTCCTGTAACGACCCTCTCCATCAAGTTACGATAAACTGTTGTAAACTCAATAGCACCTATCCACGAAAAAAAGAGAATCTCTCAGTTTCACAACACACACTCTCTATATATATATATCATGACATACACAAAAAGAAAAGAGAAAAGGCATCGATATAAAGTGTGTATTTTACCTCCTTCTGTGAATGTGAGTGTGAGTGTTGTAGGTCGTTGTAATCCACCTCCTGGTGTAGGTACAACTGTGCCGTTAATATAATTCGCTGAAAACCAAGGTTGTTCCAACTTCCAGTTTTTGAAGCTTGTCAATGGTATATTCAATGTACGGAACGATCCTGACTCGGCAATCACCACAATCTACTCTCACCATTGTACAAAAATAATGTCGATCATCTTTTCATCGTTACTTTTTTATTGTGGCTGCCGAGGTTAGCTGTGCAATATTCTTTACCCGTTGATTAGAGATCCACACGCGACCTTTGGCTTCCCAACGAGAAGAAGACTGGCTATAGGAAGTAGTAGTAGTAGTAGTAAGGACCGTTTGTTTGATATCAGCATTTTAAACCAATTGCGAAGGGGAAACGACTTTACTCTTCAAGTACTGCTTTAATTTTATCTTGAGCATAAAGGCGACCTTGTTCGCCAGGAAGTAGAACTGGATCACCGCCGCTGTCCTCGCCATTCGACGTGAGCATTGCCCAGTTCAAGCTCATTCTGTGATTATATCAGGTATATATATATATACAAACAAAGAGAGAGAGAGAGAGAGAAAGAAGTCATGTTCGTTATGACCGTTGCCTTTGCTCCTTCCCGCCCCCCACATTGTAATCTGGTCAGCTGACTGACCTCGTTCTATTTCAGGCAGTTTCCAAACATGCATGCAGAAAGTGATAACAGCAAATTCATGGATCAAACGATTTTGAAAGTATGATCAGCATCAGTTGTAATTTTGAACGACTTGCGCGCCCGCGTGCGTTGAGTAACAGTACATACGTCATCTCTGTGCGCAGTATGCGATAAACAGTTATGAAATATAAACATGTATCGTCATGTTTCCATATTATTTGGGACAAACGACATACGAATGGGGGTATTATCAGAGCCTATCACTGCGTCAGCGTACGCACTTCCAGGCAGTAGTAGTATAACAATTTGTCCGGCGCAAGCGGATAGAGTGTGTTTTTGGGGACGGGATGACAGACTCCAGAATCCCTCAATAAGCCTAATCTACAACGTATTATGGGTAGTATAAACATCTTTCTGAAACAAGTGCTATACGATTATTACAGTGGTGTCCTTTTTCTTGAATTTCCAATCCGTTGAAAGCAGATCTTGCTGGCTTGAGTGGTCTGTATTTTTGGTATTGATGCCTTGGTGAAAGGCTTGGCCGGCATGACCGATATGAGTTAAAAGTTAACACAAATGAACTTAGCAGTGAGGATGAAAGGACAGGCTGGCATGAAAATGAAAGCAACCTGTGCGCACACCTTGACCAACGACTGATAAAAGCTGGTGTATGTACCAAAGTCTTGAAGAAGAAAGAGTGACCATCCCTTAGAGCAGCATCTAGCACGGCAGAATGATGACGGTAGCAACTTATAAAAGAATAAGCGCATACTTTTTCCAATCACCAAGGTGTCAGACTTGGAAAAGAGATCCAGTCAAGAAAACCCAAGGTATGCAATATAAAAGCCTTGTAAGCCATGAAAAAAAAAAGAAAACAGAAAGGCCATCATCAAAGCTGACGTACTCTCTCCGATCACGATCATCACCACCACCATCCCGTTCTCAACACGAACCAGCAGAAGCACAACACTCACCCTCATTTCTTTATGTCAGCAGAGAAGCACTGAAGACTTATTGTAGGCGAAAGCATGGCCATTTGGCGAAAAAAAAAAAACCAGAGAAACCAAAACGAAAATGTGACCGTCTCGCATTAAGAGATCCACCAAACATTGCCATCTACGCAAAAAACCATGCTTCTCAATGGAACGTATTAAATTATATATGTTCTTTGCGCCTCTCCTGATTTATATACCCTTTGAGTATACACAAAAGCCAGTGACAAATCCTATACTATGTGTATTTTAAAGGAAAAAGTTGTTGAACACAATAAGATATATGTACATAGATGCAGGATGACTTGGGATGAACAGCTAACCACCTTCATTGATTAAAACCACGAAAAGTATCAGTAATCCACTAATTCATTGTTTCCACGGTACGGATTTGCGGCCGCTTTCTTTCCAAGTCGGTCCAGCCGGTATAATCGACAGCATCCACATAGAGTTCGTCACCATCGTCATCGTCATCGTCGCTAATAATGGTGATATCGTTGCTGTTGTTGTTGTTGTTGTTGTTCGTTCGATGAACGCCAGGATTGGCATGAGCATCTGGTGGTTTTACATCAGCCTGAATTGAAGCAGGTCCGGAGGACACTGTTGTTTGTACATATGTGGCAGTAGGAGATGGCTGCATACCTGAAGAAGGTGATTCTCGTTGCTGTGATTGTGGTAGCTGTGATAACAGTTGCTGTAATTGCATATCAGAAGGTACTAGCAGTTGCTGTTGCTGTTGCAAATATGTGTTGGAAAATATCGATTGTTGTTGTTGTTGTTGTAGATATGAGGTACTGCTAGCGCCTTGCATTAGGCTGGCATGCTCATTTAGTTGTTGCATCTCTTGTTCATCATATGCCTTGGCCAGTTCAGCGTCAGCAGTTACTTCACTATCCATAAATAATAGAAAAAAGCAATGGCAAGAAACAATAAGATCATTTATGCTTACTTACAATAGCTGCAAGTACGGATGTACAAGCAACTTTGTACATGTCCAAAAACATACCGTGCTTTTCGTTCTTTACGAGCAAGCCTAAATGCAGCAGGATACAACAGCGCTTTGATCTCTGTATTCGACTTGATAAGAAAATAACGGTATGAGTGGCAATTGCTTGTTTCATCCAAGAGCAAAAAAAAAAAGATCCAATACGCTACCGTGAATGCGCCAAAGAGGGTAATGTTTTTTTCACTCAGCAATTGATTGATCTCAAGGTGTATACAATTTATGATTTCCTGCCCCTTCCTCGATGGCTTGATTCGCTTTTCTGGGTCTTTTAAAACTTTAATTTCCCAAAGACGATGCATTGATTAATAGCTGTACATACGTAATATCCTTTTGAAAGAGTGATACGGTGTCCGTGAACTAATAACTTACATCTGTATACTTTTTCACAGCGCGTAACCACTGTAACATTGAGATTGTTGGGACACCTTTCGATAAAACGTTTGATACCCTTTAAATGTTTGAAAAAGAGCAAATACGTTTAAATATAGAGTGATCATTCTCATTTTTTGATATATGATATACTTGCCTCCAGCTCAATACACAGGGAGTTTGCAGAAGTGCCAAATAGACTGCCAGAGACGTTCGGGAGTTCCTTGTTGTTGCACACAACGCCGTATCCACCAAAGGGAATGCCTTCGAATTTGGTCGGATCTTGAGAAGCAGAAACAGCAATCACAGCTAAATGTCCAAGAGCCTACACTCCCGTATTGGTTTAGTTTCATTAATGTTACGAAAATGCGTTTTTTATTTTTTTTTCCTACAAACATACCTGCTTTTTACTCAACGGAGCTGACAGTAGGCGTCACACGTTAGTTGTGATTGCGATTCCCGGCATATAGAGTAGTTTTTCAAAAAATAAATGAGTACAGTGACGACAAGGTTGAGATCAAGGACACCTCGTCAAGATGCATAACTGGCTCCGATCCATCGCTGAAAACAAACAAAAGAGAAGATTAAACTCACTTGTAGCAGAAAAATCAACTTTTCTTGCTGTTTTCTTTGTTCGAGCCATTGATTTATTTGTAATGTTTAAGAAACCAGAGAAGGGGGAAGAGCTTTGAACAAAATGACAGAGGTTGACCCGTTTCAACTGAGTTTTAAATCCACGACCCTACATGCAGCTCGCCAATCGTGTGGAGATGCTGTTCCTAACTTTTTTCAGTCCCTATGGCTATATGTACAGCGCTCTCAGCAGCTTGTTGTACGTACAGACTCTCTTGGCAGTGGAGAACAGTGCTTACAGAAAAGAAACGAGAAGAGCCTTTAGAGGCATGACCGATATGAGTTAAAAGTTAACACAAATGAAATTAGCAGTGAGGATCAAAGGACAGGCTGGCATGAAAATGAAAGCAACCTGTGCGCACACCTTGACCAACGACTGATAAAAGCTGGTGTATGTACCAAAGTCTTGAAGAAGAAAGAGTGACCATCCCTTAGAGCAGCATCTAGCACGGCAGAATGATGACGGTAGCAACTTAGCGCATACCTTTTTCAATCACCAAGGCGTCAGACTTGGAAAAGAGAACCAGTCAAGAATACCCAAGGTATGCAATATAAAAGTCTTGTAAGCCATGAAAAAAAAAGAAAACAGAAAGGCCATCATCAAAGCTGACGTACTCTCTCCAATCACGATCATCACCACCACCATCCCGTTCTCAACACGAACCAGCAGAAGCACAACACTCACCCTCATTTCTTTATGTCAGCAGAGAAGCAATGAAGACTTATTGTAGGCGAAAGCATGGCCATTTGGCGAAAAAAAAAACCAGAGAAACCAAAACGAAAATGCGTTAAGAGATCCACCAAACATTGCCATCCACGCAAAAAACCATGCTTCTCAATGGAACGTATTAAGGTATATATTCTTTGCGGCTCTCCTAATTTATATACCCTTTGAGTATACACAAAAGCCAGTGACAAATCCTATACTAGTATGTGTATTCAAAGGAAAAAACTGTTGAACACAATAAGATATATGTACATAGATGCAGGATGACTTGGGATGAACAGCTAACCACCTTCATTGATTAAAACCACGAAAAGTATCAGTAATCCACTAATTCATTGTTTCCACGGTACGGATTTGCGGCCGCTTTCTTTCCAAGTCGGTCCAGCCGGTATAATCGACAGCATCCACATAGAGTTCGTCACCATCGTCATCGTCATCGTCGCTAATAATGGTGATATCGTTGCTGTTGTTGTTGTTGTTGTTGTTCGTTCGATGAACGCCAGGATTGGCATGAGCATCTGGTGGTTTTACATCAGCCTGAATTGAAGCAGGTCCGGAGGACACTGTTGTTTGTACATATGTGGCAGTAGGAGATGGCTGCATACCTGAAGAAGGTGATTCTCGTTGCTGTGATTGTGGTAGCTGTGATAACAGTTGCTGTAATTGCATATCAGAAGGTACTAGCAGTTGCTGTTGCTGTTGCAAATATGTGTTGGAAAATATCGATTGTTGTTGTTGTTGTTGTAGATATGAGGTACTGCTAGCGCCTTGCATTAGGCTGGCATGCTCATTTAGTTGTTGCATCTCTTGTTCATCATATGCCTTGGCCAGTTCAGCGTCAGCAGTTACTTCACTATCCATAAATAATAGAAAAAAGCAATGGCAAGAAACAATAAGATCATTTATGCTTACTTACAATAGCTGCAAGTACGGATGTACAAGCAACTTTGTACATGTCCAAAAACATACCGTGCTTTTCGTTCTTTACGAGCAAGCCTAAATGCAGCAGGATACAACAGCGCTTTGATCTCTGTATTCGACTTGATAAGAAAATAACGGTATGAGTGGCAATTGCTTGTTTCATCCAAGAGCAAAAAAAAAAAGATCCAATACGCTACCGTGAATGCGCCAAAGAGGGTAATGTTTTTTTCACTCAGCAATTGATTGATCTCAAGGTGTATACAATTTATGATTTCCTGCCCCTTCCTCGATGGCTTGATTCGCTTTTCTGGGTCTTTTAAAACTTTAATTTCCCAAAGACGATGCATTGATTAATAGCTGTACATACGTAATATCCTTTTGAAAGAGTGATACGGTGTCCGTGAACTAATAACTTACATCTGTATACTTTTTCACAGCGCGTAACCACTGTAACATTGAGATTGTTGGGACACCTTTCGATAAAACGTTTGATACCCTTTAAATGTTTGAAAAAGAGCAAATACGTTTAAATATAGAGTGATCATTCTCATTTTTTGATATATGATATACTTGCCTCCAGCTCAATACACAGGGAGTTTGCAGAAGTGCCAAATAGACTGCCAGAGACGTTCGGGAGTTCCTTGTTGTTGCACACAACGCCGTATCCACCAAAGGGAATGCCTTCGAATTTGGTCGGATCTTGAGAAGCAGAAACAGCAATCACAGCTAAATGTCCAAGAGCCTACACTCCCGTATTGGTTTAGTTTCATTAATGTTACGAAAATGCGTTTTTTATTTTTTTTTCCTACAAACATACCTGCTTTTTACTCAACGGAGCTGACAGTAGGCGTCACACGTTAGTTGTGATTGCGATTCCCGGCATATAGAGTAGTTTTTCAAAAAATAAATGAGTACAGTGACGACAAGGTTGAGATCAAGGACACCTCGTCAAGATGCATAACTGGCTCCGATCCATCGCTGAAAACAAACAAAAGAGAAGATTAAACTCACTTGTAGCAGAAAAATCAACTTTTCTTGCTGTTTTCTTTGTTCGAGCCATTGATTTATTTGTAATGTTTAAGAAACCAGAGAAGGGGGAAGAGCTTTGAACAAAATGACAGAGGTTGACCCGTTTCAACTGAGTTTTAAATCCACGACCCTACATGCAGCTCGCCAATCGTGTGGAGATGCTGTTCCTAACTTTTTTCAGTCCCTATGGCTATATGTACAGCGCTCTCAGCAGCTTGTTGTACGTACAGACTCTCTTGGCAGTGGAGAACAGTGCTTACAGAAAAGAAACGAGAAGAGCCTTTAGAGGCATGACCGATATGAGTTAAAAGTTAACACAAATGAAATTAGCAGTGAGGATCAAAGGACAGGCTGGCATGAAAATGAAAGCAACCTGTGCGCACACCTTGACCAACGACTGATAAAAGCTGGTGTATGTACCAAAGTCTTGAAGAAGAAAGAGTGACCATCCCTTAGAGCAGCATCTAGCACGGCAGAATGATGACGGTAGCAACTTAGCGCATACCTTTTTCAATCACCAAGGCGTCAGACTTGGAAAAGAGAACCAGTCAAGAATACCCAAGGTATGCAATATAAAAGTCTTGTAAGCCATGAAAAAAAAAGAAAACAGAAAGGCCATCATCAAAGCTGACGTACTCTCTCCAATCACGATCATCACCACCACCATCCCGTTCTCAACACGAACCAGCAGAAGCACAACACTCACCCTCATTTCTTTATGTCAGCAGAGAAGCAATGAAGACTTATTGTAGGCGAAAGCATGGCCATTTGGCGAAAAAAAAAACCAGAGAAACCAAAACGAAAATGCGTTAAGAGATCCACCAAACATTGCCATCCACGCAAAAAACCATGCTTCTCAATGGAACGTATTAAGGTATATATTCTTTGCGCCTCTCCTGATTTATATACCCTTTGAGTACACACAAAAGCCAGTGACAAATCCTATACTATGTGTATTCAAAGGAAAAAATTGTTGAACAAAATAAGATATATGTACATAGATGCAGGATGACTTGGGATGAACAGCTAACCACCTTCATTGATTAAAACCACGAAAAATATCAGTAATCCACTTATTCATTGTTTCCAAGGTACGGATTTGCGGCCGCTTTCTTTCCAAGTCGGTCCAGCCGGTATAATCGACAGCATCCACATAGATTTCGTCACCATCGTCATCGTCATCGTCGCTAATAATGGTGATATCGTTGCTGTTGTTGTTGTTGTTGTTGTTCGTTTGATGAACGTCAGGATTGGCATGAGCATCTGATGGTTTTACATCAGCCTGAACTGAAGCAGGTCCGCGTGTTACGGAGGAGACTGTTGTTTGTACATATGTGGTAGTAGGATATGGCTGCATATCTGAAGAAGGTGATTCTCGTTGCTGTGATTGTGGTAGCTGTGATAACAGTTGCTGTAATTGCATATCAGAGGGTACTAGCAGTTGCTGTTGCAAATATGTGTTGGAAGAAGTCGATTGTTGTTGTTGTTGTTGTAGATATGAGGTACTGCTAGCGCCTTGCATTAGGCTGGCATGCTCATTCAGTTGTTGCATCTCTTGTTCATCATATGCCTTGGCCAGTTCAGTGCCAGCAGTTACTTCACTATCCATAAATAATAGAAAAAAGCAATGGCAAGAAACAATAAGATCATTTATGCTTACTTACAATAGCTGCAAGTACGGATGTACAAGCAACTTTGTACATGTCCAAAAACATACCGTGCTTTTCGTTCTTTACGAGCAAGCCTAAATGCAGCAGAATACAACAGCGTTTTGATCTCTGGACCCGACTTGATAAGAAAATAACGGTATGAGTGGCAAGTGCTTGTTTCATCCAAGAGCAAAAAAAAAAAATAATCCAATACGCTACCATGATTGCGCCAGAGAGGGTAATGTTTTTTTCACTCAGCAATTGATTGATCTCACGGTGTATACGATGTATGATTTCCTGCCCCTTCCTCGATGGCTTGATTCGCTTTTCTGGGTCTTTTAAAACTTTAATTTCCCAAAGACGATGCATTGATTAATAGCTGTACATACGTAATATCCTTTTGAAAGAGTAATACGGTGTCCGTGAACTAATAACTTACATCTGTATACTTTTTCACAGCGCGTAACCACTGTAACATAGACATTGTCGGGACACCTTTCGATAAAACGTTTGATACCCTTTAAATGTTTGAAAAAGAGCAAATACGTTTAAATATAGAGTGATCATTCTCATTTTTTGATATATGATATACTTGCCTCCAGCTCAATACACAGGGAGTTTGCAAAAGTGCCAAATAGACTGCCAGAGACATTCGGGATTCCCTTGTTGTCGCACACAACGCCGTATCCACCAAAGGGAATGCCTTCGAATTTGGTCGGATCTTGAGAAGCAGAAACAGCAATCACAGCTAAATGTCGAGCCTACACTCCCGTATTGGTTTAGTTTCCATTAATGTTACGAAAATGCGTTTATTTTTTTTCTTACAAACATACCTGCTTTTTACTCAGCGGAGCTGACAGTAGGCGTCACACGTTAGTTGTGATTGCGATTCCCGGCATATAAAGTAGTTTTTCAAAAAATAAATGAGTACAGTGACGACAAGGTTGAGATCAAGGACACCTCGTCAAGATGCATAACTGGTTCCGATCCATCGCTGAAAACAGACAAAAGAGAAGATTAAACTCACTTGTAGCAGAAAAATCAACTTTTCTTGCTGTTTTCTTTGTTCGAGCCATTGATTTATTTGTAATGTTTAAGAAACCAGAGAAGGGGGAAAGAGCTTTGAACAAAATGACAGAGGTTGACCCGTTTCAACTGAGTTTTAATTCCACGACCCTACATGCAGCTCGCCAATCGTGTGGAGATGCTGTTCCTAACTTTTTTCAGTCCCTATGGCTATATGTACAGCGCTCTCAGCAGCTTGTTGTACGTACAGACCCTCTTGGCAGTGGAGAACAGTGCTTACAGAAAAGAAAGGAGAAGAGCCTTTAGAGTAAACGACATGTCGGAAAACAAGCTAGTTGATTCGGGAAAGCAGTTGCTCCAAGTTGCTCCTAGCAGTTACAAACATGTAATGTATTAACGGACGATTGGACGTATCCTTCCTTTCATTGTAATAGACCATCCTTGAGGTTTATGCCTGATTGCCAGCCCAAGATAAGCTTTTTTTATTATTTTTTCCATACAGCAAAAACCCAATGAATAAAGGAGCGTAAAACAATCCTCAAGAAGTCCAGTAAACACCACAATTGTGCCGAGTTGATTATCCATTGTCGTTTTCAGAAATATCTACTATAAAAGTAGAACAGCCAGAGAGATGAAAAAAAGTCGATCGTTCAAGACCGGGAGGGAAAAGGACCATGCGTGATGGCTAAACTAAAATGTTCACATGATTTGGTTCGGCTCAATTACAAAGCCGATCCCCGGCTGGTGCCCGCTCTTGGTGTTATACATACTAACCCTCCCCCCCCCGCGCTAGAACCATTTGCTAGTCACGGAAATGCGAGAGGCTATTAGTGAAATCCAGCTGCCACAGTCTCTTTGCATCACGCCACTGCTCTCTTTTTTTTTTTTCTACTCTTTCATTCATAAATTATAAAGCACTTTTTTTTGAATTTCTTTTTTACATTCGTTCATTAAAGGAAACAAACAGCTATGGTCAAATTCTATCAACACAGTTTCAGCTACGAGTAAGTATTGCTGTTTTGTGAAAAACAAAGCAAAAAAAAAAGTTAGCAACCAGAGAGTATTGACGACAATGGCGTGTTATTATAGTCACCCTTGGCAGAACGTCACATTGGCCTTCTGGCTCCGTTATCCTAATCCCTTTGCTGCTCATGGTAAATATGGCAAAGACCTAGTGATATGTAAATCCTCGTACTGAGTGATGCTTTTATACTATAGTATTGGCAGTAGACGTCTTGGATCGTTATGTAGACGAACAAGGCGTGTTGCGAACCACTCGATTAGTTCTCAAGAAGGGGAAAGCACCCAAGTGGTTTCCCAAAACTGTAATTATCGTTCCTCAGGGTTGATGAAGGGCTACTGCAACAAAAGGATAGGATGGAAAACTAACATCGGGCTACTGTTTTTTCTTTTTTTCGATCAGTTTCTGAAAAACTCAGAAGCCTTTGTGATTGAAGAATCTGAAGTCGACCCAAAGTCCATGACGATGGTTACACGCACCAAAAATCTGAATCACGTTAGAATCATGCAGGTTGTCGAGACACAAAAGTTCCAACCGGGAAGCGAAGAAAACACAACCCTCTGCAAGTCTGAAGCTTGCATCGTCTCACGCTTTGGATGGGGAATGACCGGCAGGATCGAAGGGTTTGGTCAGAGTAACTTTGCCGCAAACGCATCCAAGGTATAAACAAACAACACCATCCTTTGTAGTACGCGCTGGCTATGTGTGTGTTGCCCACTCTCCGCTTCTGCGTATTATGCTCATCATCGCACATGTCTGTTTATTTTGCTTTCAATAGGCACGAAAGGGGATGCGCCATATCCTTCAAATGATCCGTGAAAAGCAAGCCGGCGGTCGATTGCCATTCTTCCATACCCAACCTTCTTTGTAACAAAACAGATTGTTTTCCTCTTCCATTTTTGCTTTTTTGTTGTCGTTGTTGTTTTTAATTCCTTTTCTGCTAACCTTCCAAAATGAACACTGATGTAAGCCAATCTCCACACGCATCTTGTACACCGCCGCCATCATGCACTTGGAAAAAAAAACCCCTCTCCTGTTGATCACTCACAATCCATCACCACGCACAGCGTTCCGACTCAATGTATATATATTTATCTTACTCTATCCTCCTCTTGTCCCATCCCTTGTACAGAACAAACACACCAACTCTACGCATAAAGAAACCAGACCATGTAATAAGCACTAAATGGGATTATTTACAAGTTGACAGTACGCCAAGCGTTATTCAGGACGCCTCTGTAGTTCCATACTGGATACTCTTGCTGCACATTACCAGCCGAGTCCACTATCAATCAACAACAACAAAAAATGAAATTGCATTTATATGGCATAGTAAATAGTGTGAAGTCAACTGAGGGAGCAAACAAATAAGCTGCACACAAGTACCTGCGCGACTGACAATGGGATATCCTTTATACTCTATGTTTTTGATTGTCCATAGACACCATCCCCAAGCGCGTGCTGACATTGAAGGCTGGTATAATTCTGCAACTTGCCAGGTGTCACCGTTATCATTCGAGACATCGACCCTTTGGATACTCCTTCCTCCTCCAGAGAGCGCATAGCCTTGCGCAGTAAGCCGGGTTCCTTCCGCCACAACCTTGTCACTGTCGTGGGCTGGATGACACACAAACGACTGGACATTGTACTCGCCAATGGCCGGTACTTTGCACCAGTACTCCTCTGCTTCTTGTTCGGTGCCTACTTGGGCTGGCAACAACTTGTAGTCGCGTTGTTGGAAATACGACGTGGATTCGTGGTCTTGCACAGTGATGGATTTCAAGTATTTGACAGAACGTGCACCAATATAGCCGGGCACAACGACCCGTATGGGATAACCATGGTCATGCGTTAAAGTGTGTCCGTTCATCTACACAATTACATATATCCAAACAGTTATACTCCGTGTGATCTGTGTGTTTAAATGCATTTCAAAGCGACCCCTGGTTGGTATGGCCTACCTCATAGGCTAGCAGCACATCACCAAACTCATCCCTATTAGATATTTTTGATCTATCAGTCCAACATGGAACACACTCTGACTTTCATCTCAATTAGTGTTGTGAACCACGCTACTATACTAATACTCGTAGTATTACTAACAGTGCTTTGCAAAGCGGAATGGATGATCCATAACAAGCTGTTTCCTCACACTACCAAAAAAATCACATTTGGTTGATTAGACAGACTCCCCCCCCAACATACATACTCCTTACAACAGTGATTACCTGTTCAACGGACTCAAATGATACATGCAGATCATTTTTGTAGGAGACGACACCGACAGCATGGAGTACATCTCTAAGGCGACAACCAGCAAAAGTGGTGTTTCCGACAGCAGCTGCTCCCCAGATGACCTGTCATAACAGTAGTCATAGGAATAGTAGTATGATATAAAATTAGTTGCGCGTTACTACGTAATAAGAGTTATATAAAGAAACTAGAGTGATGATGATGATGCTATACATACCCCTTTGGTATGTTTGACCCGGTGCAACCCATCACGTCGATTACCAGCACACTATTTAGAAAAAAAATGTTGCTAGTGATGATGAGCAATGGTAGTAAAACAACGCAGGATTTTACTACCTGCATGGCCATCATGACATGCGCCTTTTCAAACTGTGTTTTCAGTTGTTGGACGCTAAACTGTTTGGCGTCGGCAAGACCCTGCACAGTGATGATATGCGACTCGTCTAAATGCGTAGGAACAGGGCCATGCGATCGAACAAACATGTATTTCTCTGGGGTAATATAGTGCTCAACAAGATTCTGGATCCGTGGTTCAGCATTGAAGGGGGTTTCTTTGCGAACGATAAGCTCGTATTGAGGACGGCTTGGTTCTTTACTATAATCAAGTGAAGATGAGGGCATTTTCTCTTCTGTGGTAAAGGGGGGGGGTAAATCAAAGGATGGCGAGATAATAAGGGAAAAGAAGAGGTTGGCTGGATGAGTCGTCTTGTTCTATGGTGTATGTAGTAGGTGTGGAAAGAATGATGCAACAAAGAGAGAAAAGAAAGAGAGTAAAAAAGAAATGGTGAGCCGGGAATTTTCCCACGATCAAGGTGAAGAGAGTTCTCCAATACAACAACAACACCATGAACAACAAGTTTGAGGACTGTGATGTGTGATCATGCGATCTGTCCGCCTGCAGGTCAAATGCGCCAATGCTAAGAACCGATCCTATGTATTTGATGTTGGGATATAAGATGCTGTATGAAGAATATTCAGGGGCAGGATAGAACCACGAGAGAAGGAGGAGAAGCACAATAGGGGTGGAGGGAGGGAGGGGCTACGTTAATGGTGTGGTTATGAGATAGAGATTGAGAGACAGACAGTAGGGTAAAACGTACAGTAGTAGTGGGTTGTTGTTATGATGATGATGATGATGATGATGCTGTTGTTGTTGTTGTTGTAAGTGTGTGTGACGTGTGCAAGTAGTAGTAGTAGTCGCTTGTCTTATTCGATAGACCATCGCCGGGTGCTTGACTTCTCTGGGCCAATAGGTGCCAAGGAATGCCCAGCTGTTGCAGAGGTTGCCCTCGCATGTGATACTGAATAATACAGGACGCATCAGTTAATTGTGTGTCAGAAGTAGGGGGAACGGAGCCGGCTGTTTACTATAAAAGGAGATGATGGGATGGAACACTCACTGTGATTGATCAGGCCATGGTTAAAGTTTCGCAAACAGACAATGGAAACTGGCACAGACACCACGATCAAAAGTACATCGACAATCACTACATACACAGAACAGAGAGTTTAGCCTGTGGTGTTATTCTTCCTTCCTAATGACCCACGCGGAAAGCCAAAATCAACTTACAAAAGAAAGTGAGGAAAACCTTGGAGCCAAGAAATCGAGCAGGGTTTGAAAAGATCTGGACCAGGAGGTAGATGAAATAGCCCATGCTCGTACCGGCAAGCACATGGAACAGATACATGACCACCTTCTTCTCCCGCCGTAGCTAGCAAAGCGATTCGTTAGTAGACTGTTGGATATGAGCCCGCGGAACAAATGCTACATACTCCCCAGTAGGCCAAGCAGAGCATGGCAATGGTGACGGCGCAGCTGAGGATGACGTGCTCAATCAGTTCCTTGACAATGACGGATTTTTCTTCGTCCGTAGTGGCCTCGGGCCACCATGCAACGCAAAGCAATGCCAAATATTGAACGGATAGCGCCAGGAAAAAGAAGAAATCCAGTTTTAGCAGCATCATGAAAATTTGGTACATCTTGTATCGATCTAAAATACATCAAATTTCATGCAAGGTAAATTAATGTGTCGTCTCATCTGTGCTGAAGAAGAAGAAGAAGAGAGTGTATATGCTCTACTACCTCGCATCGCCAAATCGGCACCGATCTTTTTGTAAATGTGCCAACCGAATTCCAGGTACAGTTTATATGCAAGGAACACAAAAATAATGCTGCTGATAAGCATGATACAGATCATGGTGATTTCTGCCCATCGCGAGGCATGGTATGCGTCGCCAAGATACGCTACAACGAGCTGTACGTTCGCGTCGTTCGTGTCAAAGAGTGTTGATGATTGGTGGTATTGGATGATCGAGTACGCAGACATGCCCAATTCAAACGCAATCAGTGCAATAAGCTGGATCGTGTTCTTTTGATAGATCTATAAAACATGTCTTTGGAATAAGCCTCTTGTCCTTGCTCTTCTTTGACCACACATTCCTAATTATTATTATTATTACCGCATCAACGACGAGAGCGACTGTAAAGATCTGCGCCAGAATAAACAAGACAAAATAGACAAGTAACGACCGTGCATTCGCATAAGCTGTTGCTAATTCATCACCAAATCCTTTTTGGTCCAGACGTTCTTGGTCAATGATACTGATCTGATTGGCGTGATATGCAAAAATGACAGCTTCAAACACGGTGGCAAGAACGGCTTGGATGACAATCGTAAAGAAAATGGCACGTGTCCACCGTGATTCGCCAAACTATGAAAGATAGGGATTATTATTGTTGATGTTCCATCTATCAGAGGAGTTGTTTTGTCTCTTACGATGCGTGATATGATCCACATTTTTACTGGAAAGAGGGAGGGTTGACGACGGAGCGATAAAGAGAGAGAGAGAGAGAGAGAGAGAGGGAGGGAGGGAGGGTATCAACAGCCGACAAAAAAATAGAGAGATATGTATCTGTGGTATTAGTAGTGAAACGAGTGGGTTGGGCTTTTGTTGCTCTATGAATGTATGTCGTATGCTGAGAATGGGCACTGTCAATGAGGTCGGATGGTGTCGATTCGTTGGATTCGGTCAAACAAGTTGTGTCGAAAAGGAAAGGAAAGAGTGTTATGCGTCCAGCATGCAATAATTGAGCTAAAGAATGGCAGCAATGTGTTGAAAGTGGTCAACAATGGAAAAGAAAAAAAAAAGTGTTGAAAGGGAAGGAGGAGGTTCTTTTTTTTTTGGGGGAGGTTTTGCACACTTTCACTCTCTCTATATGTGTACTCATATAGCACGACAGACGAGAGAGAGAGCAAGTCCAAAAATAATACAGGACAGTATTACACAAACGCACATAACTCAGAGAAGGGCAAATTTGCGTGTAACTCAAAAGCAAGTTATTACATTTCCTTTTTCAATATTCTACCAAGTACTGCCTGTCCGTAGTGTGTGCCACTCAAAAGTGGTCGATGCTGCTATCAATGTCTACCAAATCCTCCATGATTCTTGCCACCGTCGTACCAATCTGCTTGGTCATTTCGCGTTGCTGGTTCACCGACAGTCCTGCAAACTCAAAAATGAGGTCGCCATCCAACACTGCCTTGGTGCGGTTTGACGACATGCGCTGCTTGTGGCCCTTGATCAGCCTAAATGCCCGCGGATTCAGCCCTGCCACATGCTGCAGTCCGTTCACCAGCTGGCCGTACAACGTGTTGAGTCGTTTGAATGTTTTCTCGGGTATGGGTGACACAACAGATATGCTCCCACCAAATGTGCCTGTATCCATCCATGATTTTCCATATCACAACAAAGATAGTAAGTCAGTTATTGCTTTTGCCTTTGTGTATAGATTAGAGCACCCAGACCCAAGATCATATTCTTTTTTAATAACCCCTCTTCCCTCTCAAAGGCACTTTAATCATTTCATTTAAGCAAGAGCTTACCGCATAAGCAAAAGTGTCGTCTGTCGTACTCATACTTGTCGCTGGTTCTGCTAATTTGTGGTAACCGCACCATCGACCGTACTTGTGTACCCACATGGAAATCACCACGCCGCATCAGCTTCTGGCCCGCAAAAGACTGCAAGTTGAATGGTGCATATTGGAAAATGTCGAAATTGTCATCCGTGTCACCAATCAACAGATACATGGACTTGTCGTCAATAATAAAATTGGCCGTCGACACTTCAAACGATTGATAGTCTTTGCCGAGCAGCACCAGCTTGGCCGGCTCGAGTTGGAAGCCCAAGAACCAGACCGACTTTTGGGCGTCTCCCAGTACAATAAAATTCTTGATCGAGCATATGCTGGTGACAAAGATTTGCACGTCGATAAAGGCGACACCCACCAGGCTTTCGTTGTCTTCAAAACTCCAGATAATCACTTTGGAGCCAATGCATGACACTAGATGCCCGCTCACGTCGCACATGGCTGTCACTGCGCCCTTTACGTCTTCGGTGTGCAGATGCTTGTACCTGTGATTCGTTTGTGGATTGTTTGGCTCGGGCACCACTTCAATGATGTCAAATACATAAATCTATTGTGTATGCAACCTTGAGTTTTCTTTCTCTTTTCTCGTCCCTCACACATGTTTACTTTGTATCCATTCTAATAGCACTTACAGATCCTCGCATAGCCGTATCTTCACCGCGCAGATAGCCCGTTCCTACTGCCATGAAATGCTTTTTACCGCTACTCGTCTGTTTGGATTCAAGAACCGAGCAATGCAATGACAGCCCTTGCTCATATTCTTGGAAATCGACTCGATCCACAGTTTCCCATGTGACCGGAGAGATCATGATCAACGAATACTGGTCCATGACAGGAAGAAATTGACCAGGCTCTCGCTCCTCATCCTCCTTTCCATCCACAAACGCGCCTTCGTCGTTCCGTAACCGTGTAGGCTTCGGCTCGGACACCAAGGCTGCATAAACATGCATTGTCGGATGATATTCAATTTTGTGTACAGTCTGTCCAAGCGGTACTTTGCGCATCACCCAGTCCATATCGTATGTAATTCCATCCGTCGGGAGATTACATAACCGTAAATTAGACTTTTTAAAGATATGTCAGTTTTTCCTTCTCTTCTACATGGGCAAAAAAGCCGGGAAGGAAATACAGAGACTAGGTCACTTACGTTGGAGTCGATGGTCAAGAAGCCATGGTGGCAGTTGACGTTGTGGAATTGAGTAAAGCCAATGATATCTTCATTGTTTTGTATACTCATTGGATGGACACGGACAAAGCTTTTGCATGAACACATGAGCCATATCGGCTGCGAGCCCGCCACAAACACACCAGTATACCCTGCTACGTCATCAAACGGTATCAGCAGTCGTCGTCGTTGTTGTTGTAGGCGGCCACCGTTCTGATTCGATCCGCTCTCATTGCCATCGACGCCAGCATCATCATCATCATCATCATCTCCGTTTGCTGACAGCATAGCTTGATCTTGTTGATTGTCGACCACAAGCTCTGTTTCTCGCGATACATATTCGTGATGTACCCGGGATAACCGTATTGCTAACCGCTTGCCCTCCACGCTTTCGTTGTGTCGATCGGATATTTCCAGATCATTGGTATCTCCAGGTATAGGGACATATGAAAATGCTTTATAGATAACAATATTGTTGGCTCGCGTTCGTACAACCAAATGCGGATCTTTGCGTTCTTTGCCAATGTTGGTCATTAATATTTCTTGGATCAAACCAGCATCTACGTGTTCTTCTTCTGCTATCGTAGCTGCTACAGGATCCGTCTTTGTTTCTGATGCAGTGCCATTGGTTGTTGTTGTAGAAGAAGAAGAAGCATTCGGTTCTGATTCGTTACTTGTCCGTCGATCCGTCACCAGTAGCGATAACATGTTGAACAGTGGTGCCGTAAAGCACTCTTCAAACTCGGGAAGACTGAATAGTTGCAGCGTGCCGTCCATGGCATACACCAGGCACCAGAATGTAATGCGGGTCATTTCACTCAAGGTGCCCTTGACACTGACATTGATTTCATCAATATCACCCAGCCCTGTATCCACTATGGTTGTGTTTTGGTTGTTTTGTGTATCACTTTGGCTACCATAAAGTAGCGCATCGTCGTCATCGTCGTCGTTGTTGTTGTCATCACCTTCTTCCACAACATCAGATTGCTTTGGCGAATCTTTTTTTTGTTCCTGTTGCTTATCCATCATCGTGTCTTGTTCACCATACAAGTCGAGATCAATTTCGTCAAAATCGAGGTCGTTTGTTGTTGTTGTAGTTGTGGATGTAGGACCCGAATATTGCTTTTTGTTGGATTGCAAGGACTCGGCTTGCTCCATTTTGCGTTTTCGTTCGCTCGATGGTTTACGTAGTTGCTGTGTTTTTGCTAGTTCTGCTTGCTTGTCGGTTATACGTGCGAACAATCCTGTGGTATCGGCGAAAACACTAGCAAGTGCAATCTTCTTTTCCTATAAAATACAATAAACAATTAGAAACAACTGTCAGTCTTACGGTTCTATTCTCTGCTGTTCAAATCTTTATCAATACTTTACGGAGATAGAAGCTGGGATGGGCATGGATGAGAGTTGTTTTGTGTTTGTGTCTCCTCGGAGGATCATGATATTTTTGTTGCTTAATCTTAGTAAAATGTATGGGTCCCGTATGCTGGCATCAACGATCTTTGAGTTTTTAACATTTATAGTTTGGATAAGTTTGCCACCTATGCAAGCAAAGATAGTTAGCAGGTTATCTATTAGCAAGACCATTCCCTCACTAAAAGTTATTCTTCTATAGACCCTACCAGGTGATAATAAGAGTACACCGCTGCGATGAACCTGTACAATACGCGTATTATCGAAAAGGGTGTTCACTAGAACAGTTCGTCCTGCAGTGTAGAAATCCGTGTTTTGCAATTCCCGTAATTCTTCACCAGCAGCCAGCACCTAAATGGTATATTGGTTAGAGTCGAACATGTACATGGTTATATCCAAGCATGCGAGCAAGCTTTCAATTTAAAAAATCGCAAATTCTTACCAAGGTATTGTTTTTCTTGCCAATGAAGAGAAGCTTATCATAAGTATCGCCCAAAGATCCATCTGTACTCCACACGTTGCCGGTGCCAAAATCTGCTGTAGCATCCCAGGCTGTAGCTCCCATTTCTTGATGCAGGTTGCCGCCCACTTTGACACCTTCGTAATATTGCTCCTTTCGGCATTTGACTGACCAAACAGCTTCGCAATCATTTTGATTGAATTGGAAGGTCGTGATAGGTCGAATATGTCGCTGATGAATATAATCAAAGACCTCCAGTTACTCATTTTGCTCTTTTTTCTTTGCCCGTTTCTAAAACATCATTTGACGTCGAAACCCTTCTTTTATTTGGCCTTGCCCTCTTGCTTTTTTTTTTGCTTACCTGTAAAACGCAAAGGGCACCGTTTTTACCGTGGCCAGAGCAACTGGCCAGTTCAAGATCTGGGAGAGTACTGAAATCATTGCTTTGATGTTGTTCCTATGATATATGTATAAGGGATAAGTTTTCCTCGACAATAAATTTCATCCAATCCCATAAAGTCATTTAGAAAAGTATACCTCTGATTCATCTGTTTGACCGATCGCCATGTCAGCGATAGGCCCCGAGTTTAATAATGTATCGCACACTCGGAAGGTATATTCCTCAGCTTCAGAATCTATATACCCCATGAAAATTCCACAGATTCAGCATCATCCCTTCAAAAAAGTCAAGTCATCAGAACGTACCTGACGTATAACGCCATTTAATCAATTGCGAATCACCCACACGGCTTCCCAAAAAGAAATATTCATCATCCTTGATATTTGCAACACACGTCGGTACACATGCCAATGGAGTATTGTTTCTCTTGGCAATAATCGTCTGCATATCGGTTTCAGTCCAAGGAATCTTGGACACATCCATACCAATAACCTTGCTACCGTCTTGTCTGATCTTGATGGCAACCCAGTCACCATTCTGCAAGAACAGTAAGCACCGTCCATGGCTCAATGGCATTGCAATGGCTCCATCCATTTCAAGTTCTAATTGGATCGTTTCGTCGTTATAGATCATGCCAGGAAATTCTGTCACTGTCTTTGTGTAACCATTCAATGCAACGCCTACGCCAGGTGAGCCTTGCGAAACGTGCAAGATTGAATTGCCGGAGAGTACGAGTAATCCGTTCACGGGCTTGGGCATGGCAACGAGTCGTCGACAGTCATAGGGTAAATGATCGAGTGAGTAGATTATTGGATAGATCTTGTTGGATAAATCGAGGGAAATGACAACGACTGATACTGTGTCCTTAGTATTGGCTAGACGTCTAATCAATGAGGATTGTGAAAATCAGAGCCAAGCATTCAATCTTCTTACACGCAAAGAAACGAACAATAACAAATAAGCAGTAAAATCTTTTCAAATCCTTACCCTGTCCACGTTTGATTGGTCTGAAACAAAATAGCCAATGTCGGTTCATAGTAATCACCCAGAAATGCCATATCAATAACGTTCTTGATTCGTCGATCAATAGACTCAAGGTCAATTACAAAACTAGCAGAATACGGAAATTTCCTATCCATTCCAATACATGTGCGCATTTAGCTTACTTTTTCGTTTCTTTCTATTGCTATCTAGTATTAACCGTCATTGTTTCCTATTAAAAACTTACTCGTTTGAGGAGCTCTCGAGATTATCAGGTTGTCGAAAGGGTAACACTGCCAGTTTGTCACCAAAGAAATTCAAGACGGCACACCGTTGTTGTGGATCGATATGAATGTCCGGTGGATAAGGATTCGTCAAGAATTCTTTCTGTTTGAAGGGAGGTTGCGTATAAATCATTAGTTGCCGATTGATTTCAAATCATCTGTCTCGTTACTTTGTCCCGTACCTTATATTCTTCTCGTTCGTAATAATGGATCGACACAGTGACGATGGAATTGGTTGATGGTGACCATTCGAGCAATGACATCTAGATATTATAAATGGTATATTCAGCAATCCAAATTGGCCGTATAATCGATTTACATAGAGCTAACCTTGGCATCATTGAAAGCAAGCAGCAGACTATCACAACCCTGTTTGCCTCGAGGGGATGCTGTGCGTACAATGCCCATCGAAGCCACGTTTCCATTGAGCTTGTATTGCGCGACCAACTCGAGTCTTCCTGAACTTGATTCGAGCAAGTCGTTTTTTAATGGTTTGAGTTTCGGAAACGCGAGTGCCTATACATCAATATCAGTCAGATGTTATTTTATTCTTATGCCTTGAATCCTCTGCTTTCTTTGAGATCGTAGACATAATAAATTCTCTTTAAACTGTGATTCAAGAAAACCAAGTCTAGTAACCTGCTCGTCCTTTTCATTGAATCGATCTTGGGCGTTCTCGTCTAATTCAATTTCACCTTGCTCGTCTTGGATTTCAAAATCCGTACTCGTGTCAGTTGGCGTGTATTCAACAAAATCGTAAATTTGCAACAACGAGGCTTTTGCTACAATGAGATTCGTCGCGTCAGGTGTTGTGAATTGACCGTATTTGACATGTTCGACCGTCTGTGGTGGAAACAGCTCTTTATAAATTGTATATGCTGACATTGAGTCTTTTCGTCGTCGTCGTCGTTGTTGTTGTCATGCGTCTGCGATCCGTCGCCTATTCTTTTCTTAGATTATGTTGTGTAGGTAGTCTATAAATCCACGCACACACACACACGTACACGCAAGGTTTGAAAGGGAAAAAAAGGTGGAGGGCGCTTCCAAAGCTGTCGAGTCGGGGCGTTCGTTGAAAATCGACGACTGCGATTGTTGGTGTCTTCTAAAGCAGCTCAACTGTACACAAAATGCAAAAAAGGGATTCAGCTAGTATATACTTGTCTTGCTGATGCTAAGAGGTATATTGTATACTAGTCATCAATGATATGACTTGCGTTCAAAATCAAAAACCAGGTGTAGCATCAACTAGCAGCAGTACAAGAGCTGGTTCAGTGTAGAATTTCTGTTATAATGAAGGTCTTTGTAAAAAGCGCTTAGAGCGAACTACATACTGCATACCACACTACATGTACGCAAAACGTGTATTAAACTGAATGTTTCGGCCAAGACGCAAGCGTGTTGAAATGATGGCAGTTTTCGAGGAGCGTGAACAGAGAGGAGGAAGGACTTGACATACTTTGCTTTCTTCTTCAGTCACGAACTCTCTTCTCTGTGCTTGGACTTCCTTTCCTCTTTCTCTTTTTTTTAACCTCATGCACCGTGAAACCACCTAATATAACCCGCCAAAATACCATACCATAATGAGTTCTCAACATTTCATACCACCCGTGGTACGCGCAACATTCGTAGATCTTGCTAAAGCATATATGCACAGATAGAACTGCTGGTTGATCGATGATTGCGAACTTTTTACATGTTAGAATTTCGGAATGATTGAAGAAGATCTGTACCGATCGGGCCAACCTAATGAACTGAACTTTCCATTTCTTGAAAAACTCGGTTTAAAGACGATTGCATGGCTTGCGCCCGAAGAACCCAACCAACGATTGCAAGTATACTCACCACACTCTTTTTTTAGGGGAAAAGCATACATGGGATGATTCTAACACACATACACACATACACGACATTACTCTTATAAACTACTATTAGTTTGGACTTTATTGATGATCAAGAAATCCAACTACATCATTTGGGTGTTGTATCTTCCGTCAATGCATGGGATCCTATTACTGAAGAAGCAGTATTAGAAGCATTGGATCTTATATTACAACCAAGCAACTATCCAATGATGATCATGTGCAATTTAGGTCGTCATCGCACAGGTAATAACAGATAACTGTGGTTATATGTCTCTGCCATGATGATCAACAATGTGTTAATGCTGATTTGTTTGCTAGGAACCATTGTTGGGTGCTTAAGAAAACTACAACGGTGGAACTTGACATCCATTTTTGAAGAATATCGACGCTATGCCGGACCCAAAGTCAGATTACTCAATGAGCAGTTTATTGAACTATTTGATACTGATCTAGTACGAGTGCCTGCAAACAAACCGGGGTGGCTCTAGTTATAAGTAAAAAAAAAAAGTCATCAATAAAGCCTCCTTTTGCCTCTGATATGGTTCGAAATAACCATTAGGATCGAAAAGTATATAGACGTGCAGTTGTGAGCTAATCCAGCGAATAGTATTTGTTAAATTGCCCTGGAATTAAATCGCAGCGGATGTGCCATTCGTCGGTGACGTTCGTACAGTAAACAAAAGATCCTTCTTTCACCCTTTTAACTCCCCTCTCTTCGATAACAATGGCTGCATTGTCGCGCACATTAACTTCGGCTGTTGCCCATTCCCTTAAGCAGCGTTCTGTCAATGCCATGTCGGCCGTCTCTGGTACGCTAAATTTCTCAGATATTTTTCTTGGAGCTCTTCATGACTTATTTCTAAATTAATTCAACTCTACAATTATAGTAGGCGCGAACAACACCCAAGTCCGTCTTCACAACACGACCGCCGTTCCCGATTTCTCAAAGTACAAAAAGAACAACACTAGCGGTGAAGCCAGCCGCTCGTTTGCGTACATGATGGTCGGTACCACGGGTTTGATTAGTGCTGCTGGTGCTCAGGCTACTGTCAGTGACTTTTTGGCCAACATGAGCGCTTCGGCCGATGTGTTGGCTTTGGCCAAGGCTGAAGTGGACCTGAACGCCATTCCCGAGGGTAAGAACGTAACGATCAAGTGGCGTGGTAAGCCCGTCTTTATCCGTCACCGTACTGCCGACGAAATTGCCGAGGCCAACGGTGTCGGCATTCAGGAATTGCGTGATCCCCAAACTGATGCCGAACGTGTCAAGAAGCCTGAATGGCTTGTCATGTTGGGTGTCTGCACTCATTTGTAAGTTGCTGCTATCGCTTTGGAAGCTTTGGAGCTAATTGAAGAGAGAGAAGAGAGCCTATACCTTGTGTCTGTGTTCTGTGTGGGTAGCGAGACAATATATTGACGCGATGGATGATGATAGGGGTTGTGTGCCAATTGGTGAAGCCGGTGACTATGGTGGTTGGTACTGCCCATGCCACGGTTCCCATTACGATATCTCGGGCCGTATCCGTAAGGGCCCTGCTCCTCTCAACCTCGAAATCCCTGGTAAGTATCCGTGTATAAGCATGGTCTGACAAAGCATGAAAACCGTTTTAGCAGGAGAGCTAAACACATGTCTTCGCTTCTTTATTATAGAATACTCGTTCACCGAGGACAAGTTGATTGTCGGTTAGATGCCTTTGCCACGCAAATAATAAAAGCCATATAGATTATATATATAAAGCATCCGCTGCTATCTACCTGGAAAAGCGTGTTTCTGTGTGTAAAAGTAAATGAAGATGGATGTGGGTATGACAAACGCGTATTCAAAGCGGGTCAGACCAAATTTCGCTTTTCGTTTCTTCTTTTCTTCGTTGACTTTATTTGATTCCACTACTCCAACCCCCCACTCTTTTTCTAATACGCCATGGCCTTGTACAAAACTTACGGCATTTTAACAACGATTCAGTCCGCGTCAGCAGTTGCATTTTCGTCTTTTGCACTTATTCATGGTTCTCAAATTGCATTAGCCAATGTCGGGGGTCCAGACATGACCAATCGGTGGTTACTGCTCGGCCGACCGTTCTACCAAGACGAACACACCGAAGGATTGATCGTGACAGGTGCATTGACAGTCCACGTGGTATCTGGACTAGCCAAGGCAGCGATTCGACGCTACTGGCGCGGTCAGCAAAAGCAAGACAACGACACCTCCTCTTCCTACTCCAGCAGTAATAACAGTAACAACAATGCTGGCGTGTTACTGCCCTATCACGGAGCTACCGGATATTTTTTGGTACCACTGGTGTGGATCCATTATCGTTTGGTACGCGAGCTGCCAATCAAGGTTTTTGGTGATTCGTCCATGGTGGATGTGGGTATCGTCGCTTGGGGTTTGCAGAACTGGCCCGTGTTTACATACGCAGTACATGGCGCGCTTGCTGGCGCAGCCGCATATCATATCATCAGTGGAGGAGCAGCAGCGTACCGACGCACATTTACTAAGCGGAAAAGTGGTAGTAGCGATGGTGGTGCCATCAAATGGACTAGAAATAAGGTCACTGCCGCAGCTACAACGGGCATTGTCCTAGTGTCGGGTCTGATCATTATTGGCCGATGCACGCAAAAGATTCCTCTACGGAATGAATATGCATCCATCTATGGCATGATATTTTCTACAAGATAAAATTGCTTTGTATTTAAATATATTCCTATTTGTATAGATTTTCGAAATAATTTGGGCGAGACAAAAGATACATATAATACCTGCCATTTCCACAGTCATTCTATTATGTGCTCGTGTGCTTGACCCAAACTCAGAAGAATTAAATACCGCAACGTGTGAAGGAAACAGAAGCTTTTTCGTACGTCATTGATTTCAGAACCTTTAATCTCAAGAAATGGATAATCTAAGGTCTACATTATGACGAAGAGCAACTCAAGTTATACTGATACTTCTGCTGCAAGAAGTAATGCATGCAGATCACTATTTCAAGACTTGGACATTATGTTCGAGTCTCCATTTAGAGAATTTATTTCTCTTGTACTAGCTTTTTACGATCTAGAACTATCGCAATCTTTATGATTCTCTTCCATCTCCTTTTCCTGATCTAAGCGACTGTTGCTCACGATCATAAAAGACAGTACTGACCAGCATACATGGACTGTACTTTCCTGTTGCTTATTTTGTTCGTATAGCTGCCAGGCCAGGAGTGAGTATAATCACTCAGGGCAATACAGCTGTCTACGCTAGTGATACCTTTATCATGTGGAATTGTAGTGGCGAATAGCATGTAGAATCGAGGGATCATTATCATAATTCGCATTGCTTTACAGCTGCTGATACGTCAGATTGAAAGTATGCACAAATTTGTGATATCGTTTGCATCAACTTTTTAGCAACGCATAAATGGTGTTATTATGTAGCGACTGACAAACTCATGTAAATACAGAGAGGATCCTAAATAGCAATGTACACAATGTCGTGCATCTTCGTTTACTATTCATTATACATACGCGCCTTTAATAAACCCATTGTTTTCATTCCGGTAGTACTACTGTTTGTTTAATTTGAGTTTGTGATGAGTTTTAAAAAACTCTGTTGTTGCGCGACTTTTATTAGCAACAAACTCCTTGACTCCACACAGTGAGATCGATCCGGTAGGTCCAGTTACTGCTTTGTCGAATGTAATATTGAGCTTATCTCTGACAAACAATCTGTCGTACATTGTTTCCCTGTCTAACGGCCAGGGCACAATGTCGTTCGGCGACGGTTTGTGATTTGAGCTGGAATTGAAACGGCTCAAGCGTGCGAGTGAATTATCCCATTCGACGTCCTCACGCACCATGGCAACGGTATCATCGATGAAAGGTCCCATAACATGAAGATTGACAAGCTTTTCGGTAAGGACTTTCAGCAAAGTATCGAAACGTTCCCTGAATTCGTCCACACGCAAAAATTGGCTCGTCAGTGGACGTACAACCATGCCAGGGAAATCACGGTAGTCTCCAGTTAGCAAGTCAGATAGTTTGACCCTAGTATCCCCGAAAGTGAGATCAAGATCCCATGGCATGTAAATAAATCGCTTGGAGTCTGCAGCTTCTTGATATACAAAGTAGTTTTCTGCCGATGTGCTGTACCCATCCGAATAGCCAAGAAGTACTTCCAGCGCCATACTAAGAAATTAGATAGATATTTTAGCTTGAACCTGCTCCATTTCTAAGTTTGGGTACCCCAAATTTACATCGTTTTTCAGGTTGAGGTACTATACCTTCGTAATACGCTATCCATGTCCAAATGCTCTTCCCATTGCCGGACTGCATCATCTGTTTCAGTAGGTGCTTCTGATATAAACTTCGTAAGCTCCATTAAATGTTGATAGTTGGTCTTTCCTTCAGATGGATCCTCCTTGATCTTGTATTGCCCGTCCGAATAAGCTGTGATATTATCGGGATAATAGCTGAGATCAGACATATGCTTTTTGGGAACCGAACCAAAGTAACCGCTTCCTCCGTTTCCTTGGTAAGCGGTTCCTTGACTGTATTCTTTCTTGCTTCCATTGCCAAATTCGTTACGGTACCATGGGTTCTTGAAATTTTCGATTAATCCAAAGAATCCAGCTGTCTGATTATTAATGAATACTCTGTATTTTTATAAGAAAAAAGATCGAATTAACTTAGCATCGAGCTTTTAACGACTGAACAACAATACAATAATCACAAAAGAGTATATATCTGAGGTGGCAAGCGTGACAGATTTGAAAATTAGGCAACGAGGATAAGAGCGGCTGTCTTCCGAGCCAAAGAGTAAAAGCCAGGGATTCTGAGATAAGCAAGAACTATATCTTACAGTGGCAAACGCTTTCATATGCCTTATTTTCGCTTTTTCCCGCAATTTGACCGCCTCAGATAAAACTGCCTGTAATGGATGGGAATTTTGTTGATGGATAATACTTTTACCTAGCATAAGAGAAATGACTAGATGCCAATCCAGCAGACTCGATGGCGCCATAAGCCAGTGCTTCTCGAATGTTTGAGGGATCATTGTATAATGAGCGTAGCTTGAAACGACGATATCCGTGAAGTGTATTGCCGCCCTTTGCAATCTTGAAATTGTAGCTCACTTTTGGATTGCGCCGTGAACTTCTACCTCCTAGTTCAAATTCAACGTCTTTGAATGTCTGAATGTCGTTGCCCCTGCATGCACCGCAGTTAGAAATAGAGTAGACGACACGATGTACAGCAGAAAGAGTTTAGCGAATCATCGTCACATCCTGAAGACTACAGCTTATGCATCTATTGCTCCCCTAGCAATATTTATAAAGTTGACTCGCGGTGACGTACCTAATATATACCATATCTGTTTTCAATTGGTAGTCCTCTAGGACGTTGGTGTGCATATAGTCGATCTCTGTTTGGTTTCCCATCACATGAATTGTAGCAATTTCGCCAGACACGTGCAGCTCGCTTTCGATTCGATGGATAGCCGAGAGGGGATCCAGGACTTGTGGCAACGGTGTGATATCCCAATAATCTCGTGAGCGATTATAAAATTGATAAGGTGTAGTGGTATCGACTATGCCAGTGAATCGCCTCATATATTCTTCCTCAACAATCACATTGTCTTTGATTTTGGCGTAATAATAGCCGTCGTCACGAGAAGAGGCTGGCGCAGTGCCCACATGAACAAGTTGGGATACTGATGATCGGATCAATGGATAGCTTTTATCATCGACAACTACGGCGAGCGTGTGGTGGTCCTGGCCAGTGAATGGAGATATGACTCGATATTCTACTTCTTGTTTGGCATCAACTGCTAGGAATGCTTGTAAAAATGTTGCCGAGAAAGAGGCTGTTCACAAGTTTCTTAATATTCTGAGCACGTACGTATAAAATAGCCAACGCATATCAAAACAATGAATAAAATGTTTCAAAGTAAGAGTAAACATATACCAAGAAAAGCTATTATGAGGAGAACCATGTAGATTTCTATGATCGTCCGACTAAGAGTTAACGTGCCGTTTCTTTTCTTTTGAAAAAATAAGCAGCTTTTAATGTAAGCTGTGATAAAGAAGAACCTCTCAGCGGCGGTTGCCTCAGAAACATCAATATATATTCTCAGCAAAGTTTACCCCTGAAATGTAACTATTGTTTATAGCACTGTTTTATTCCCAATATTAAATAAGCTCTGTTCTTCAGTACCCAACCGATATTTTTCCTCTAGAAACTTAAAGAAACACACAGAAACTAGATCCAAAAGGAGTGCTCGCTTACATTATTTAGGATGAGGAACACAATGGCAAAGAATACTGTGAAACCATGAAATGTGTCAGCAGGACACTACAAACTCCTTTCGTCATGCATAGTAAAATTTACAGCTAATAGAATTAACATTCATCTTTAACCGAAAACATTACCATTTGGTCATTTGGTATTACACAAGGTCATTAATACATATGCTACATAGTAGAACGGTATACGATAGTACTTCAATGTGTGAGGACGAAGAGCATTTACGGATGGCTGCATACCTGGTGGTGGTTTTGTTGGAGTGGCAAACACATAGTGTTTTTGAGTTTCGACGCAGGGGCATGCAACGTAACACATTCATGCATTTGCAGGTCGAATGATGGTATCGAGCAACTTCAAAAGAAGATGGTTGTACATAAATAGTTTCTCATTATTACAATAGTGAAGGTGATTTTTACATAGTAAAAAGGCTCGTACAAGAGGACAAACGTATTAATCTTTGATCATGGTTGTTGCGCGAATCGATCATTTACATAACAAACTCAGAGACTCTATGAATAAGGAAAAGCGCACATTTGTGGCACATCAAAAGAGCTACTCATTCCTATAAAATGCATAATTTTCCAGAGGAAGAAGGGTCAGTAAAATCACAAGCTATATAGAGTGCCAGGAGGCAAGTCATCGTCTCGTGTTGCGATGCAAGAACGTCATCGATTATTGAATGGTCAAGCTGAGAACTACTATCACGTTATCGCATAGTGTTTTCTACTAATAAATAGCATTTTATAGCGAAAAGAAACATCACCAGATGTTTTATTGCTACATACACGCTTCGACTTGACTGTAATAATATGAATTGGACCAACATATACTACTCTTGCTCTTTAATCAGATTCAAAATATTATAGCTTTGCCAGTATTTCTGGATTAAGTTTAAGCTTTAGATAGAGCGTGACAATGCAACTAGTAATGGATACGATTCCACAGAAAATCTTGTAGCTGAGGAATGGCTCCCACGGGCTTATACTCTCAATTGTAGAAGCGAGAGTGGGGCCGACAATAGCAGGACTTGTCAACACCATCAGGAGAGAGAAACCTGAATGAAATTGTTCAGCCCCAAGAATAAAACGTAGCGTAGGTGCCACTGTTTTTAGCGAGATATTGTATACAGAAGAAGAACCGATCAATATATATGTGGAAAATGAATCTGTATGATACATCAGCTGTGTATGTACGGGCACTTACATATAGTGTAATACGCTCCACCAAAAAATCCAAAGGCTACTGCGTAAATCAGCAACATTGAGTAGTCGTAAGCAAAGGTCCAAATAAGTAGAGATGTCAATCCACCTATCAGGGAAAAAACAATGCTTGCATTTAGGTTTCCCACTCGATCAGCAAATAATCTTTGATACACAACAGTAGATAAGAAAGGGCCTAGTAAGTAAGAGCACTCCATAATATAAAGTAAATCCGAAGCGTGGAAGTGGATACATTATGAGTATAATAAAAGGATACACACCCGACTGAAATTCGACCAATACAGCTCGTAGCAGCAGTGACAGATACTAAAGAAGAGCCTTGTGCTGTTGATAAACCCAAAAAGGTCGCATACGCTGTATTGCGTGCGTATAAACGTTAGAAAACATTCGCAAGATAGCGATAATATGAAAAACCATCTATTAGAAAGAAATAACCAACGTACACGGCAGAAAGAAATATGGTACGAAAATACACAGTACTTGCAAGAATGCCGACAGAATCCAGATTTGCAAGTTGGTGTTCTTCAATAAATCCCACTGGATAACGTCCCCCATATGTTTCACGGCACGGTGCATTTTTGGATCTTTTTGCTTAACAAGTAATGTAGTAATGAGGTTGGCTCCAAAGAATGTGAGTCCTAGTATACGAAACGTCCTATATGTTTGATGCGAAGTGGCAATGCTTAGTCAGACAAACTATACTTTCACTGCGTCACACAAATACGAATGATGGTAACGACGTTCGAATAATGTTAAGAGCACTACTTACCAGTGGACGCCCAGTTTACTGTTTGAAGCTGTCATAATCATAGGCGTAATCAAACCAGCAAGACCTATACTGCTCGTGACAATTCCATTTACAGTGCTCATCCTTCCTCCCCGCTGAAACCATTCAGTAGTGATAGTCATAGTTACCTAGGAATATGCACATAAATGTTAATATGAGAGACGGCAATAGTATATCCACTTTCAAGTAAGCTACTAAACTCTTACAATATACATGATAGAGGAACCAAGGCCAAAGCATATTCCATGTGACAAATACAGGTGCCAAATCTGTCATCATTAGTAAATGTGATTAGAATCTGTAGCTGCTGTTATTTTATTGGATTCTATGTAATAGAAAATACCTCTGTTGCTGATCCTGAAGCGACGAGTCCGCCACTGACAAGAAAAGTGCCAAGAAGTAATGCAGGTTGAGTGCCAATGAGAGATTCCAACATGCAAGCGAAAGGCGTAAAGACATCCGATACAAAGTAGCAAAGTGTTCCCGCAAAGCTGACAAGTGTCCGATTCTGGCTAGAATCACCAAAAAGATGATGTACACAATAATTTTGCATGACACCTACGCATTTAAATGAATAGATAAACAGCCATTCCTAATGTAGATTTGTAGCTGTAGCAATAATAAGAGTAGTGTAGTAATTACCCCTGTATTTCATGTATAGAATAAGTAGGAAAAGAAGGCGTTAATACGTAACAGCATTAATGAACGTTGCTTGATATTGAAGATTGCTTTAGTAGCTTCTTTCTATTACTTACCAGCTCATCATAGTTCCGAACACTGTAAAAGATGCTAGTGATGATCCGAGAACAACCAGCCAGCCATAGTGACCCCCAGCGCGCATGTTTTCAGTTTGATCTTTCTTGTTCTTTGGCACATCATCCATCGTAGTTGTCGCACTTGATGACGGCGATGGAGGCGGAGGATCATTAGAGGAATACGGCAACGACATGCCTGTACTCACGTCGATCAAAACCTCTTTACTGGTATGCGTCGCCTTTTTTTCGCTGGTTGCTTTGAAAATATTCATGCTTGTTGGCGTGTTTCCACGATTCAGAGAAAGCCCACTTCGCTTTCTTTTCATATCGTCAGAAGAAGGCGTCGGCTGATGGCTGCTTCCGTACATAGTTTCTAGTGCACACCAGGCAGTATTATTTGTCTTTTCACTATATACATTTTTTTCATAGAAATCGTACCTTTCATGAAAGATGGATATCACAAGAAGATTAAAGGGAGGATAAGAAGCGACGACGGGTCACCTATTCTTCCTTCCTCTTTATAATTTTTCTTCTGTGTGCAGCAAAAGAAAACAAAGTCAGATCCAGCAGTTGGACCTTGTTTATCTTTTTTGTGAATCAATAATCGGCTTTAACTCAATCAAAGCCTTTGCCAAATATGTAATTGAACGCTCAACATCACAGGTGGCACCTATTCATCTAAAGTATGAGGGAAAAGAAATAAAGCCACGTCACGCCCATAATATGCAATTGCTATATAGGCTCCCAAAAAACATGACGATGTTTTTTTATTGGATACTTGTGACATCCTATCTAGTTCTTCAACCGAGCAAACGTACGAGTATCAAAGATGGAAAGAAGGCCATAAATGACATTATGACGGTGATGTTGAGACTGTTTGCGTCTCCGTGTTGAAACATTGGAAGCCAGAAAAAGGTTACTACATAGCAAACAATACATAGCAAACAATAAAATGTTTGGTAAACCTTTACTGTCGTGTGACAACAGCCTGGGTATCTCAGAAAATGATGTATAATGGGAGCATTATGATGTATACTATGTGTTTTAGAAGACGAAGAACATGGAATGTGGAGGGATTTTTTTGGTTATCTTATGTATGGTGGACGTACATTTACAGTATTCCGCTTCTGGTTTCAATTTCTGTCATCGCTATAACAATTATGCAGGAACGCATGAATCAGAACTTAGGTTCAAATTTATTTTTAGTTATGAAAGACTAAAAATGGACCAGCGCCATGGGTGTGTGGTCACTTCCTTGAGATACAGTTTTGGAGGAGGTATTTTGGTATATTAGGACGTGGTGCAATAACTCTGAAAACCTTGTAAGGGAAAAAGCTATGTCAGTGTAGGATAGCACAGTACTACAAGTGTAGGTGGCGAATGATGATACAAGTGTATATGTAAGGTAAGGTGTAGTTGCAAGGGAGAATAGTAGGATTAATGGTGTTGTTGCGTTGGAGTAGGTGATACTGCTGGTAGCTACAGTGCTTCTTCTGGAGCTGGCTCGTCGTCATCGTCGTTATAGCTGCCAATAGGGTGACTTCAGCGGTCTATCTCTCCGAGGACGTGAGTCAGCGCTGACCAGGAACTTTGCCATCTGGATCTGAGCTTATCTGCGTGTTTAATGTCTATCATACAGCTCATGCCTTGACGTTTATTTACATTTGTGATGGCAAATATTCTGCAAAATGGCCCAATTGTTTATTTCCTCTTCTGTTTGTTGATGATGGCGATGATAGTAATTGAAAACAATGGAAACAAATTGTAGTGGAATCCAATGCTTCTGCTTCTTTTGCCGCTGTAGGATGATCTTAGAAGGTTTCTGCTAGATATACTACACTTGATTTCCTTTTGCTTTATATATATGTACTCTCTAAATTTTGGCCCATAGTTGGCGTTTAATTCGAAGCTTCAGTATCAGCACAGCGACGGCGGAGGCAAATGCGGTGATGCCTGTATATAGCTTGAAGACCAAGAATGGCTCGATAGGGATGACGTTTTCCAAAGCACTGGCTATGCTTGGCCCCGCATATGCAGGAGCCACTATGAACGACATTAGTGCGAAACCTGATGCAAATCTTTCAGGACCGAGAACTGTACGTACAATAGGTGCCACTGTTTGTATTTTTTCTAGTTAGTATATAATGTTCTCCTTTAATATTACGGAGTTGTTCATGATTTACCTAATGCCAGGTAGCACCCGCCGAAAAAACCATATGTGATGGCAAACATCAACAACCCAACAAAATTGTATGCAAAGGTCCAAATAAAGAAAGACGCCAAACTGGTGACGACGTTGAATAGAATACACATGTTTAAGTTTCCGGCGTAATCAGCAAGTGCACTGCTTGTAATGTTTTGACGATAACGATCATTGTTTATGTTTTTAGTATTTCGCTAATCAAAACAAGCTATGTTTTGCAAAATATTTACCCTACAAACAGGCGCCCCACGAATGTTGTTGCTGATGTGACTGATATTAACGCCGAGCCCTTCATTGTATCCAAGCCGATATGTGTTGCATATGCTATGAATAATTCGTAGATAAAAAGGACAATAAACATATCATAAGTACGCTGAGAACTTATATAGATCAGAGCAAGAAGTCTAAAGATGGAATACAGAACTTGTACACTTACAAGGCAGAAAGTAGAACAGCATGTTCATGTAAGAAACTTGTAAAGAAGCAGCCAGGCTCCATATGATAAAATTGGTATCTCGCAACAGACTGAGTCTGAGAACATCACAAGGATTTATGATAGCGCGCTTTGTCGGTAGAGTCTTTTCTTTGACTAGTACGCTTGTAATAAGATTCATTACTAGAAATACGGCTGCCATAATTCGAAATGTCCTTTTGAGAAGCGAATAAGTTATATGATACCGAATTCAATATTGCCTTTCGTGCCATACCATGACGCGCCCAACGAGCTGTTGAGTGATGTAATCCCAAATGGTAGTATTAAGCCGCCTAATCCACCGCTACTTGCAACGATACCCATTGCCGTGCCTTTACGTCGATTAAACCACAGGGGGACAGTTTTGGAGGTTACCTTATGATAATAAAAATAAAATTTTAAAGTCGATGCAAGATTGGTTTCACATAATGATCATATAAGTTTGCAGAGAATTGCAAATTAGTTACCATGATCATGATCGAAAATCCCATACCAAAGCAGATACTTAAAGCTAGGTACAGCTGCCATACCTGAATTCGAGCATTAGTGACATCAATCTCTCAAAACAATACTAGTAGAAAATGACAAGTACGTATAAAACCCACTTCTGTAGCCGAACCAGCGGCAAGACACCCGCCAGAAATAAGAATGGTGGCAATCAGAAGAGTTCGCCGTGCTCCAAGTACAGATTCGAGCAAATTCGAAATTGGTGTGAAGACGCCACCCACAAAGCTTATAAGAACAGCAACAAGACTGAGGGATGTGGCCAGTTGGTGCTGTCCAGAAAACACATTTTCAATATAGTAATTTATCATGATACCTGCAGATGTATTATAAAACGAGAGTGACGAGTTTCACATACAAAATTATATTAATAAGCATGTCAAATCGTTTATGTATCAATGATATATAAAAGGGAAAAAGCTAGCATACCCCTAGGGATAGTAACAGGTACCATCATAGTATGATTACGGCAAGAATGTATTAGTATCATCGTTGTACAAATTTTATAAGACCCTTGTCGAAAGTTTCCTTCCTCACCAGATATTGGTCACCCCGTAGATCGTAAACACGCCCATGAATGCTCCAAATACAACAAGCCAGCCATAACCACCATCATCTGCTGAGAGGCATTTTTCCTCTGACTCGTTACCGCCTTTTGCATATGTCGATTGGGACATACAATCGCTTCTCGCGTCGTCTGATTTATCTTCAACATGGTATGAATAGGTGTAGATAGCTTTCGATTCTGTGATGGTACTCGACAGTTCTTTGTTATCCTTTAGCAGCGTGGACATAACTTTTATGGCTTTGCGAATTATCAATGGATGTAAAAAGATCTTTGCTTGCGATAATTCCCAAGGGATTTAGACTGAATTGCGATTAGATGAGTTTATATATTTGAGAGCAGCATAAGATGAATGCAATCGAAAGTTCAAAAGAATCTTACCAGAATTATTGCTTCAACCAATGACAAAATTAAAAAAACAGAAAAAAATCCCGAAAAAAGTGCGCCTCTTTATAAGTGCTACGCTAAAGTAATAGTGCGCCAGAAACAGTACCATAGTAAGTTAATAGTAGTAGTAAGGCTCCCTTTTTTATACCATTACATTTCACTCCTTTGTTCTGCTTTGCGCACTACAAGCGGTGTCAAGTGATTAGGACTCATTATTCAAAGATAACAGTGGCTATCGGTAAGGTCGATCCTACATCCCTTACTTTTACAAAGAGGATTTCATTTTGGTTTTTCCTTTCAACGGGTCTGAAATATTTATCCTTTTTTGGTTTGGAAAACGCGAACATACGTCGATCACATTCCTTGATTTGATGTAAAGACAAAGATATAAAAATTTAAAGCAGAGGAAGAGTATAAAGGAATTGAAAGCGCATCAGTTGTCAGGAGGCTTATTTCCTCGTAGGGGAAGCGGATTGAATATCGGAAAGAGGGAAGGAGCGCCCGTTATTGCTACTACACGACTACTCTTCGAAATCGGGGCTAACCCCAAACTGACTCCAAAGGAGAAGATCTGCAGCTCGAACCTTACTTTCGCCACTATCAAAAGTTTTTAATGCCAGTATCTGTCAAACTGTCCTGTTCTGCTGGATTCACTAGATCCCCCTAGTTTCTCTCTCTCCGTTTCTCCTCCTGTGGGCCACAGGCGTTAATTCGAAAGAATCTTTACCAGCCAAATTCTAGCTTAATCGTCATTTCCCTTGTACTTCATTCAATTCTTTATTCTTTACTCTAGATATTTCATACGCAACGAACGGCAACTAGTCAGCAACCATGTCTTAAAGAGATAAATTCTAACAAAGACTAGTTAAAAAAATTGTTTGAACTACTCTTCGAAATCTGATCTCTTCTCCGCAGTGTACAACGCAAGTTGACACCGTCGATCTTTTCTCTGAACCATGACCCGAACCATAACTTTATGCATAATAGAAGAGTGACTCACAGCCTCTTTGCGCCGTGTTATTGTACATTTTGACAAGAGATGGGAAGCTTACGTCCACCCTTTCTTTATATATCTCTTCTTTTATCGCAATTGTTAACCGAGATTAGCCAGCTGCATAATATATGTAGCTTTACGACATCAAACGTGCTAAAGCGGATACATAACTTGGTAAAAGAAAATAAAGGAGCTTCGAGTTTATCTAGTCGATATATTGCTGGTTGGCCGCTCGCAGGTGCTCGTTGAGATATTATAAACAGCTGCAAATTTTTTAGACTAGCAGTAATAAGTCGACATCAGATCGACACACAAATATGAAAAAGAGCAACAGAACTTCAAATATCATAATCACATTTTCAATATCTGAGTATTTAATTCCTGGCGCTCCTTACTTCATTGATGACAAAAGCATCTATTTTCTGATGAATATCTCCATACTGTAGACATGCGTCGATCGTTCTTTGCAATTGAATACATATACATGCTCTGCGGTTCATTCGGCAATCTTCTGTGCTTTCTCGAGAAAACTTTGAAGTAAACCTTTTTTTAGGTGCAATTCAGTTACATGAAAGTGTTTCTCGAAGTTCAAGTTTCCATAATTCAACTACTGCATGTAGAAGACGCAAAGACCACACAATAATTTGATTCTAAATAACATGATAACTTTATCACAACAATTGGACGTCACTGAGATGATTCAGTTATTGTCTGGTCGCTGTGTTTATTGTGCTATTACTGCAATTTACTTCCAATACACTTTGCAAAGAATGCCTAAGCTTCTGATGGTGGGCTATCGATAAAGTGTAGGTTGCGAGTTCACATATTGTCTCTATATTTCCTCGAGCCTACTCAGAACAACGACTGTAACTTTTTTCTTATTTTCTACAAAACATTGGTATGTGCGCAGACAAAAAATCTGTGATGTAGGACGTGAGTAAATTTATAGACGACAACACTGGCGATGATGCTTTGACAGAATCGGTGTTCAGGAACATTAAAAGTAATGGGCGCGTCAGCCTGCGTATTAAGGAGGTTTGACCTTCCGACTTGCACCACTTTTGTTTTATTTCATACTGCATAATGAGCAAAAAACGCCAGTCGACACTAAGCTCGTTCTTCCAGCAATCCAAAAAACCAAAGGAAAATGGTTAGGTTTTTTTAAATCTTTGAAAAATAATTTCTGATCGCTAAAACATGATCACTAGTAGTAGATTCGCCTTCCAGTTCGAATTCACCTTTTTTCTCGCGACCACCTGCACCAGCACCAGTGCCAGTACATACCCCACGATTGCAACAAGATAGATTCGTATATAGCGAAACTTCGACTGACGATGCAACTGTACAATCACCCGAGCCAGCATTTGGAGCAGTAAAACAAACACCACAATCTATAACACGACGACACGGAGTAGAAGGAGGAATGGAGCAACGATTCGCGTTTGACAGTAATGCTGGACAGTCAGGAATAGAACAAGAAGCAGAGCGCGATCCTGTCAAAGAAAAGCGGCATGCTGAATTTGTCGCGCGTTTTGGAAAGCTAGAACAGGAACGCGAACAAAAACGACGACGTATTGACGAAACCGAGAACCAAAAGATGTGGACACCATTGGAGCTTCAAGTACTTGAACTGAAAAAGAAGCATCCAGGCGTACTGCTCGCAATCGAAGTTGGTTACAAGTTTCGATTTTTTGGAGTTGATGCAAAGACCGCGTCGCGTGTGCTGCATATCGCCCATTTTATCGACAAAAACTTTTACGTCGCTAGTATACCCACCCATCGACTCGCGGTCCACGTGCGCCGTCTGGTTCATGCAGGACACAAGGTTGGCGTCGTGCGACAGACTGAGACAGCCGCATTGAAAGCTTCTGGAAGCAACAAGGGGGGGCCGTTCCTGCGCGAACTCAAACACTTGTATACCAAGGGCACATTTGTGGACGAAATGGCCACGTCCGAGCTCGAGTTGGATGATGCTGCAGGATCTTCATCTTCCTCGTCCACGTCAAATTATTTGTTATGCATTGTAGAGGAGAAGCGAGGAGGTGGCGGACCAGATGAACGCGTTCAAATTGGCCTTGTGGCTGTCCAGCCTGCGACGGGTGATGTTACATACGATTCGTTTGAGGATGGCTACATGCGGTCGGAACTAGAGACGCGGATTCTACATATTGAACCTTGTGAACTCCTGCTACCTCACGCTTTGAGCAAAGCGACCGAGAAAGTCGTCCAACATATGAGTATGCAAAGGTATATTACAGTGGAACAATGGAGTGTAGTTATAAGCATGTGGATAAATGCTGATATCTTCCTCGTATATAACAAAAAGAACCACGGCATTTGGCGAGTCAGTGCGCGTAGAGCGAATGCCTGAAAACGACAACTTCGTCTCAGATTACAATGCAGCTTTTACACACGTCTCCGAATTTTACACTCGAATTAGCAATTCTTCTGAAGAAAAATCAGCGAACAGCTCTTCATCTGCTACTTCAAAGGTGCTCTTCTCCGAGATATTGCGCTTACCGGATACAGTCATGTAAGAAAATCATATGGCGCGACATTGGATGAAGCAAAGAATGTGCTCTAATAAAGAAAAAATCAATACAGTAAAGCACTCGCTGCAACGATACGTTACCTCTCCGACTTTGGTCTACAACATGCTCTCCAATTAACAAAATACTTTGTTCACTTTTCATCAAGAAGTCATATGCTCCTCAACGGCAACACGATGGCAAACTTGGAAATATATCGGAACTCGACCAATTACACCGAAAAAGGCTCACTTTTCTCGGTACTTAACCATACTAGCACAAGCTTTGGAAGACGATTATTGCGCAAATGGGTCGGTCGACCGCTTGTTGACGTAAAGTGAGTAGTATTAATAGATTGTGGTTGGAAAGTTCTACAAACTAAGCGTATAGGCGATAGATTGATAAATGAAACACCAACTAACTAGTACATATCCAGGCGACTTAACCAGCGCATCAATGCGGTGGACGAACTTCTGACAACAGATAATCCAAACAAAGACAAGGCCAAAGCATTACTTAAGCAGATACCTGATCTGGAAAAAGGCTTATCAAGAATACACTACGGACAGGTAAATGAGAAAAATGTGCTTCTCCTTGCCATGTCAAATCAAAAGTATCCATATCTAAACAGTACCATTATAGTCCTCTCCTGCAGAACTGGTTCAAGTACTCGACACATTATTCAGGATAGCGAACACGTTTCATGGAGCAACAGATACCTCATTTCGGTCACCGTTACTGAATGATATTTTTGCTTCACTGCCAACTATACGGCCGGACGTAATTGAGCTTAAGAAAGTGATTAATTCCGATGCTCTCAGCTCGTCGGCCGATCGCAAAATTGGTCTACTCAAGGAAGATGATCGCTGGCCAGAGCTTGCTCAAGAAAAAGAGGTTTGTAAAATAACTCTCAACCGGGGAATTAGAAAAGAGAAGGCAAAATCAAGATGATGGTGCTGGTATCTAAGTTTATGATCTAGAATATTGCTCGTACTGAAAAGGAACTTAATGAGCACTTGGTTGAGATTAGATCCAAGTTTCAGATCCCATCATTGCAATATATCAACGTTGCTGGTATCGAGGTAAATTACAAGAAGGAAGTCTTATCATGACGGATGCTGATCGGTCCAAACAGTATTTGCTAGAAGTGAAGAATACCATGATCAAAAAAGTACCAAGGGAATGGATTAAAATCAACGGAACCAAGGCTGCTTCGCGATTCCATACACCATGGCTCATTAAAAAACTTAAAGAACGCGAGAGGCACAAGGAATTACTGGAGGCGGCATTCGACAAGGCCTATCGTACTTTTTTGACGTAAGTTTTCTATTTAAGATAAAAAAGGATGGGTGGATATCAAGCTAATATAAAGGTATGGTCAAGATAGGCAAGTTACTGAGAAATACGAAACGTTCCGGGACGTGGTCCTTGGGCTAGCTCAGCTGGACTGTTTGTTTTCCTTGGCAACAGTAGCCCAACAACCCAACTATGTCAAACCAACATTCTCGGAACATGCGCAACTCAAAGTAGTTAATGGCCGGCACCCAATGGTGGAGCAGCTCCTATCAGATTCCTATGTACCCAACGATATTGATTTCGATATGCACAAGAAGCGGACTATGGTTTTGACAGGTCCTAATATGGGTGGCAAGAGTTCATACATCCGACAGGTAGCTCTGATTGCCATCATGGGCCAGATTGGATCGTACGTGCCGGCCGATTCTGCAGAACTCGGCATCCTTGATGCAGTATATACTCGGATGGGTGCATTGGATAATATGCTTGCAGGTGAAAGTACGTTTATGGTTGAACTACACGAGACATCGGATATTATGAGACAAGCGACACCTCGTTCTCTTGTCATTTTGGATGAGCTTGGACGAGGCACTAGCACCCATGATGGTATGGCGATTGCCTATGCTGTGCTTCGCCACTTTATCACTGAGGTATGATTGTGAAAAGGCTGAAATCACAAAATGATCGGAAATGGCTAATTAAATTGGGCTCTTCCTCTCTAGATCCGGTCAATCACATTATTTGTCACACATTATCCTTTCCTCGCTGAACTCGCGGATGAGTTTCCAGAAACAACAACAAACTGTCATATGAATTATATTGAAGATAGTGACGGAGGTAAATACATTTCCATGTGACATGCGCCTCTTTGGAATATTTCAAAGCTTATTAACGAGTAATTTGCAGATCTACCGAACATAGTGTTTCTATACAAATTAGTACAAGGTGTTTCTACACGCAGTTACGGGTAAGAGATGGGAATAGATTGGATGGCTATGTTAGGATGAATGATGAAACAATCGACCGAACGCGGCGACTTAAATGATGATATCATTTTGGTAGTATTAACGTGGCACGACTTGCGGATCTTCCGAGAAATGTACTGCAAGTAGCAAAGGTGAAAGCCGTTGAGATGGAGGCGAATGTGGATACAAAAGTAGCACAGCATTCTTTGATGCGTGCTATCTCAGATCCTGAGCATAATCTCCAGCAATTACGCAAATATCTTACAAAAATGTAGATAGATACGATGTACTTTTACCCTCGCCCCCTCTATTCATCATTTAAAATAGATTGCTTTTCGTATGTTCAGTGTATAACAAAAAGCGATAAAGTGATTGATAAAGTACATATAGAAAAGTCTATGGAAAATGTGGGAATGTGCTTTCAGACATAAAATATTCCACAAGACATAAAATAACAAGTGGTCAACCATTCCGATTCTTAGAAAAAGCAACAGACACTTAGTACTGTGGCCTATTAAAAAGTTGGAATCAATCCTGCCATGTTCGCACTTGATACAGTAACAGAAGCGGTATGTGCATACACTGCGAATATATGCTGACAGTGACCAAAAGCTATTATCATAATAAAGGTGAGGAGCCATTTATATAACCAGAACACACCTCCAAGTTGCTATGATACACCTTTATTCCTTTGTATGTACTGATTAATTGCCGTTACGCACACAATGTTTTGCCGAAGATAATCATATGGACATGCAATACAACTGTTCATGCAGCGACAAATCCGCGACGCTTCCAGCATTTCCGTACCCAGTTAGCTACCAATTATCCTTTGTATGTGAAAATGTTATCCCTGCATGTCTGGAAAGGACGCTTTGACTCGAAGCGAGAAATATTAACTCTTTAATTGCAACTGTAATTATGAAATGACGTCTACTTTTAAAATGCTTCAGTAAGCTGATACTTTATCATATTCAGAGCCTGTCGGTAAACCGGTGTATCCACGGCCGAACTGAAGAATGTGTGCACTAATGATAGACGAAAAAATGATATTTTAGTTAGCATGCATTTTGGGAAAAGATTCGTTCTCTATATAAAAACTATATAAGAAAAAATAGGGCCCAGAGCGATCAAAAACGACTTACCAGCACCACCGAGTCGCACTGATGCTATCTTAACATCAGCTTCCATGAGTTTGCGTGCATATGCCTCACCTTCATCTCGCAAGATATCAGCCTCCGCAGTAATCATGAGGGTTGGAGGAAGACCTTGCAGCTCTTCTACAGTTGCTACCAAAGGGTGCGAGAACTTTGTTTTCTGATTTTGGGCAAAATAGATCTTGTCATAATAAACAATATCATCAACGTGGAGTGGATAACCATTGTCAAATTCGCGGTATGAGTTGAAAGCATCCGGAGAAGGCGAGATCCATGGATAAATTAGAATTTGTGTTTTGATAGCATCTGGTGCCACACCCCGATCCTTTGCCATCACTTTAAAAGTATTATGTAGAAGGGCAACAGTTTAGAGCATTTTGCAATATTGATGGCAAGTGGTTCTTGATGTATGATAGATAGTAACAGGTGCAGTATATACTGTAAGACTTACAAGCAACAGCAGCGGCCAAGTTGCCACCTGCGGAATCGCCACATATGGCTATTTTAGACGTATCAACGTTGATTTCTTTTCCGTTCTCAAGCACCCAAGCAAAAGCGGCATAACTTTCTTCGTGTGCGGTTGGGAATTGTACTTCGGGTGCAAACGAGTAGTCAACAAACATTGCCGCAACCCTGTTTTCTATGCAGATCTTTTTTATTTAAAAAAAGAAGAAGGTAATTGACAGATAATTAAATTGAGTTTGTTGTATTTGAAATCAGCAAAAATAAACGAATTGACGCTACGTTGGTCACTTACTTGACGGATCGCTTTACCATGAGAATATCTGGTGCCAAATACAAATCCGCCCCCATGACTATAAACGGTAAAATTTGAATATGCCAAATGAATTTTTCATTTTGATTGCGCGTTTCAACCACTTACTAATATACCACCATTGGAAGCACATCCTTTTCGGCACCTAAGGGACGGAACAGAACTATTTTGACTTGAATACCATTATAGCTGATGATTTTATCTTCTTCGATGACTTGCGGTAATTCGATGCTAGCGGTCGCCTTGTCGACATTCGCACGAAATTCTTGCATGGTAATTTCACCAATGCTTGGTCGCGGGTTATTTTTAGTCCTTTCATAGAGCGCAGCATAGGCTGGTTGAATAGGTGTAGATCTAACAGATTCTGATGTTGTGGGTGCTGTCATTTTCATTAAGTTGCAATAAAATGATGATGTGTTCGCTAAGTGTGATGAGTAGGGTGAACAGATGAAAAGAAAAGTAAGAAAAACGAAAGACAAACATGGCCGAACCCTTTATCCTTTATATATCACTAGATTGTTCTAGTTACACGACGTTGAGTACATATACAGTATAGCCTCCGTAAAAAAGTAATCTGTAGCTTTTATGACAAGTAGGACATGTACGAAACCTTCTCTCCGCCTGTCGCAGCAATCTTTGACAGTGCATTTGCCATTCGTGATACCGACCTAAAAATAAGAATAACTGTGGTACACACGCTTCGCAATTTTATTGGTCGCGTCGAGCTACTGTAAGAAAAAGTCTTGATGATTATCGATGCTTACAAATTAAAAGTGATATCCATATTACTAATACGCTAGTGCTAAATTTCAGCATAATGGACAATTGCAGCTATGATGATCAATGAGTTATAAGTCCGTTATTCCTGATCATTCAGGGACGACTTGTGTAGCGATAACTTCTTATACAGTTGCTGTGGGGATCTGTTTGATAGCTAAGATGATATAAACTTGAGCATGGGAGCATAAAGAGTAATATATAAAAGAGGAAGAGATGCTATGATGTGTATGAGTCGCTAACCGAATGTACATGGTTTCAAACAAAATAATATCGGTTACTTTTGTCCTTGGTTTGTTTCGCTTCGTTAGATGTTGTAAATACTTTTTAGCACAGTGCTCATAAAGCTTTCAGTTTGTCTTTTTTATACACCAGTGCTGACTATCACCCCATGTAAAATAAGAAAAGCTACATTGTAATGGTCAGCACTTATGTTATGTGGATGGTTGATTTGAAAAAGAAATCATGACAGCTACACATCTTTTTTTTATCCCCGAAGTAATCGAGATATGATACAGACTATTTCTATTAGCTATCTATTGTCTGTATGCAACTTTTAACTGCTAAGGTAATACTCATGGGCGATCTAAGGTGCTGATATATATACTATAATGCGCGTGTGTATTGACTCGTTGAGTTACTTCCTTATTTTTCGGACAAGAACGTATTCACATTATGCTGCGTATATATAAAGGGTTCCTAGAGCAGGCTCTAGTACATTCTACTCGATTTGACAATGTTTGATTGACACGAGATCCACCATCATGTTTATATATTTTGATGATTACACAGAATATAATCTGCAATCGTTTTAATATTAAGAATAACTTTGTTATACTTTTCTCTATTAGAAGCCCGTACGCTCCACTGTATTTCTCCTAACATTCAAACAAACCATGCGTTGTTAATCGCTTGTTTGAAGACCGTATGTAAAGTGACCTGGTGCATCGGTCATGCACGTTCGAGCGCTATCATCTCGATGTCTATATTAGGGACAATTTTTAGCAGTAGCTTATGGTACTATGTATATTGACAAAATAAAGGCGGATAGTGGATAATACAGTACATCTCTTATTCGTGCTCACATGCTTCATGATAAATACCTTTAGCTGATCCATGTTCTGCTTTTTTTTTGAGTCTGAAAAGCGAAACAGCATAATGTAATCGCCAGAACGAGACAGGCGGTCGTACAAGGAGTTGAAATGCAGATTCAATTCTGAAACGGAAAAAAGTGACGCTTTGCTAACCGGTCAAGCAGCAAGTATGGTAATGTTTTCGAGGTAAGGTGCTGATGTTAGATGTATAAAGAGCAAATAAAATAAAGTACTTGAAAAGCAGCAAATACAAATGTTCAATAAAAGCGAAATAGTATTAAAATGTACAAGTAAGATATACTACAAAGGGTACACAGATAGTATTGTTTTATAAAAATGTATGTACGGTATATTTAGCGGCTAGAAGAAGTAAACCGGTTGATGGCTTTGCCAATCCAACCTAGCCAGCCTTGTTTTTCTTCTTGATGGCACTCGTTTGACTCTTCCTGTAACTCGATTGCATCCGCAAACATTTCTGTATCATCGTCTTTATCGCCATCTTGTACGCTGTCGCTTAATGTCGGCCTTGGCAGTCCTTCTTCTTGTCTGGTGTTTTCAAATCCTTCATGTTGCCTTTTGGCGCGTTTCCGTGTTCGCGTTTCAACCCCATTCCTTCTGGGTAGGTCCTCAACAGTCTCTTCCGGCCCAGCATACACACGTTTCAGTAGTCTGCGCGTTTTACGGCTGATGTACTGACTTTCGATGGTACCAGATATAAGATCTTTTTGTTGTTGTGATCGATTATCATTTGCTGCTGATTGTGATGCTACCGGCAGTAGTCGTTGGAAGCTAGTCGATACTCCATCGTTTAACTCAACTAGAGTTTCGGGATCTAGGGATGGAGGTAGTAACGGACGACCTGCAACTTTTAACGGATCCGGTGAATGTATGACTTCGGATACAATGACTTGGAGTTGAACAGGTCTTTGGTTCATCCTACATGGAATATTTACGATAATCGTCAGTATACACACATCCATTGTAACCGCATCGCAAGGACGCTAGTGGTTATATATAAGCTACCTTTCATCTCTAGCCTGATACGCATAAGTTTTCACCGTTTTATTCGCTTTGCTCAGCCATTTATGGTCTCGGTCAGCCTATAGAACATTGTTACGCGTTATTATATATCGGCATGCACGACTCTTCAGACGCATGTACGTAAAAAACCGAACTAATCCATACTTCTTCTGCGTAGACAGGCGCAGACCTCTGATCCATTACATCGTGTACTTGAGCGATCATTGCTGTGACCAGTTCATCACGCTTCGCACCAGCTTCCGTTTCGCGTTGGTTGATAACTACGACCGTTGTTATCATAAAACAAATTAATCGATCCAATCAACCAAATTGACATGCCATCGTCTCTCCTCATTGTATCATCGACTGATTTTAAGAGGAGAGAATTATTGAAAAATAAAGTTACCCTGCAATAGGAGTGGTTGATGAGCTCTTGTATATATTGTCAAGGACTGATCACTCGGGCACGCTCGAATCGCGGCTAAGACTGCCTTTATTTATAAAATCATTATTAGAATGATTTTGACGGACAAAAAGCATAATAGCAAACCCCACCCTTGCTTACCAGCAATTGATGAAACAGCGGCTTTACCCATCTTCCAGCAGTGTAGGTACCAACATGTATCGAAAACGTATCATCCTCTTTTGGGCAAAGAACCGCATAAGTGCAAACGCCAGCCTCGTCCTTTCTGTTTGGTCCTATATAATATATGACCGCAATACGATCCGTATTCGGTTGCGGAGGTCCGTGTACTTGCTGTCGCTATAAATTAAGCTGTAAGTAATGTTGTATAATTCTTCGAAGTCATCGGGTACCTACTGCCTCAATTCTGCTTTCTGCTGCTTCGAAGGCTAGCATTTCACCCGAGTGAACATTGAAGTTCGCACGTCGTCGTGAGCCACGCTTTTTATTAGGCATTGTTTCTTATTTTGTTTACGGCAGTAATTTTCTAGTTTTAGCAATTATATATTAAAACTCTTCCTTGTTTAATCTTCAACGCAATGTACAAAGACATATTTGCCATTGCTCAACAAAACTGATTTGAAAATAGGTAACATTCAAAGGCGACTTACTCGCTTTCGTAACCAGAAATTAGACTGTTGTCAAGTAGTAAGCATTGACGGCTTTGAGATAAGGAGGGAAGAACGCAAAGTGCAGAAGCGCAGTATGAGTTGTGACAATCCTGGGCACTGCAGTATAGAAGGCAATGACGTCAATTTATTGGTTACACGCATTACTTGTATTTCCGACAAGCACAGTGCATATTCCGGCCTCGAGCTTACTTAAAGGTCCATTGCCAATTGTCAACATGCCATCACTTGCTATTTTCGATGTAGTATATCAAATGTAGCATTATGTGGTTAGTTTCTTCTCACATTGTCTTCCGTCTCTCTTTACACATCCGCCTTTCGCCTCCCCAGCCTCACATGTTACTGATACAGCGACATTGCTAACAAACAGTGAAAAAAAAGATGAACGACGTTATTGTTGCTTCATAGCTACTTGACTTATCAAAACCTTTTTCCGTTGCTTAGCGACTTGTTTTTTCTTACGCCGTGCTGCTGAACTTAAAGTAGATAAAAACCTACGAGAAAGCTTATTAGCCCATTTTTCTTGTGATGCACTACCTCAACTTGGACTTCTTGCGTGTATACTCACCTTTCATGTGCCCAACAAGAGCGATTTTGAAAGAAATCGTGAAAGAAGGTACCAGTGATACTGTTGAGATAAAGTAAGAGAGAAAATAAGATAATGAGATGCTTGTCGAGCAAGGATATGCGCATTTACATAACTCTCATACGATGTTGCTACGAACTGTTAACCCAAGAGTGTTCTTTTAAATCGTCCCATGAATATTTGATGCGACGGGTTACCGCATAGCGCAGTGATTGATCTTATCGTCGATGTGTCGTGATACCTTTTAAATATATACAGCAATTTCTACCTTATGAGCTTAGTTTAAGAATTACATATTTTGGGAAGCGAAATTTAGAGAAGAGCGTACATTACAATAGTTTGATGTTGATATATGTACATGCACGTCTACTGTACATGGTATCATACGGACGAGCATGCTGACTGTTCCTGATTGCTGTAACTGTTTCTGCTCCATACGCATTACTGTATGTTATATATGTTATATCTAACGCCTTTCTGAAAAAGAATAACGTTTGCTACGTGACACAAGAAAAGAAAATCACACGCGAGATTCTATGTAGTGCATAGTTTCCATTTTGTTTCCATGTGAAGCTAAACCTAAGCACCTTTATAGAGTTTATGAGCCTTGCATGGTTCTATGAAAAATAAAATTGCATCAACAATACATGTGTTGAAAGCAGCTTCCCATATCTACGGTGCTCATCTTATACAAATGGTGCCTCCAAATTGTTTAATGAAACCAATAAACTGGCCTTTATTTTCCATATCGCAGCTAAACGGACGCTTTTGCAAAAGAATAAAGCGGCTAAGCAGTAGTATTGCGTTATTCCATATCATAAATATTACAGTTTTCAAGAAGTTGAAATGGCCTTTTTATCAGAATTGTTCCGTCTCTTGTTGACCGATCAATAGCTGTGATGGCAAAAATATCTTCTTCAAGGCGTGTCTGACAGCCCGACCTTTGGTTGGCATCAATGGTCCAGCAAAGGCACAGCTTTCAGTCTGTGAGCACAATAGGCTGTATAATTCTGCCCAACGTTTGCCATCTGCAATAAGTATACTGTAAAGCAAGTAGCTGCAAACCAAGTGAAAGAGTCAACATGATTGTTTTGTTTGTAATGTATTATACAGTCAGCAAGATATACCGGGGCAATAAGCATTTAAAAAGCAGCATGATGAGAATTATGTAACCCATTTGTTATATTATTGAGAAATTTAATCGTTTATTTCTTCAAATACATGTTTGACGGTATATTGTCTGGTCTGTCGCCGGCATTTGTAATACCACATCGACCATTACATTTTACGAATGCAACGCCGTCTGTTTCATTGTTCTATAAAAATTTTCAAGATTCGTGGTTGCTCTACAGTACTTATTATCTTTAATGCAGTTCTAATGCTCAAGCGTTGTGGGTTTCACGAGGCAAACATGGATTCGTATGATACTAAGATATAAGCAAAGCGGAAACCGATGCTCTAGATCCAATCAGCCGCGCCCATAATGTTTACATTCATGGTACATGGATCGTCGTAACGTCGTGGTCCAAAAAGTGTAGAATTCCAGTACTTGGATCGCACCAAAGGGTTGTTTTTGGAACCAAGAAGATATCGTTCCCATTAGACGCCCTTTCCAGGCTCTGGTACATAATATAAAGTGCGAGCGAGGGGATCGAGATAATATGATTTCTCTAAGGTGGTACAATAGCAAAGACATGCACAGAGATCGTAATCACCTTCACTCCTTTCTCCCTATTCAAAGTAGAGAAAAAAACACTTTAAAGAAATCTTTTGCATAAGAATGTTGTTGGACAACTTGATTAGACGGTTATTCGTGTCAATGTACAGGCCAGTATGTAATTCCGCTCTCGACCAACCAAGATTCTCTCCAAAAAGGTGACAGAGGCGCTTTTTCGGTATTCATGAGGTGCATCATGTTGAGCATACAGTCCACCTGCAACAAATGATGCTTACGATCGATTGCAGTGTAGTAGTAGTAGTAGTAGTAATATTGTAGTATTAACAACCATTATTTGAGTCAAAATTCGTTGTTCTTTCATCAAGTCTTCGCACAGGAGGTATGAGATAGTAGTGAGCCAAGGTACTTGAACAGGTGATAAACGTGCGAACAAAAGATAATGCTCGAGAAATTGGTGGGGATGACGGCTTTGAACTTGCGATTAGGATCGTCATGTAAGTCAGTGAGAACAGATATATCTCGGTTATAGAAAATCTGGGGCTACTGTAGATGATTTCTTTTAATAGAAGTATAGTACTGCTCGCCAAGCCGACGCGTGGTGCTTACAGTATCGGCGCATGGTGACAGGATATGAAAGTAGACCCACAAGTGCGTGGTAGTATCTGCGAAATGACGGAGCATGCAGGATTCGCGTTTTGGGTTCTTATGCCGTATGTAATGAGTACGAGTTTATCTAGGATAGCGCGGACATTTTTAGGTATCGTTGACTAATTCTTTTTCTGAACAGTAGAAGCGGTACCAATAGCGGTGTCTGATAAGTAACCGACGTTGCTGTTTTTTGTTGCTGTTGTCGTAATAAGTAAGTATTCGTTAGAATATAAAATCTCTTTATACATAGCATTTCATGGTTGTTAAACCCTCAAAACTATGACACCTTTATCAAGCTCGCCTGTACGCTCAAATTTTAACGAACTAACTTCGAATATGGTCTCGCGATAACCTTATTAACTGAGACGCAATTGAAAGCACTCGACACAGCCTAAAACCAATGCCTCTGTATATCACAAGGTGTCCACCCTTACTCCAAAACTAAAGTGATGCGACGTATTGCCAACCTACCCAACATGCAGGAACGCACCACGTGTCTGTAAAGATAAATCCCATCGGAAGCCCTTCCCGCTTCTTGAACCATTGCAATGCAACTCCATGAGGTCTTTTACAATGCATTGTGGATATATCATTTGAAGATAAGGATATCTAATACAAACAGAAAGAGGTTGCTTTAAAAGACTTCTTACTTCAAATAGTAAACAGAAGAGGCAACACCAGAGCATACGCCTACAGAATATATAATTGCCAGATCTGTGGAATTTTAAAGTTTGCTTGTCTCTCTCTCTCTCTCTTCTCGCTCGTTGCTTATGAAACCAAGTTTGTCTTGTCACTTTAGTTTTACCTGATCCAAAAGACTTACACTGACCATTCCAACGCAGAAAGTTGCGCCTGCTATCAAAAGCATGATTCTTAAACCAAACGTTACTGCCAAGGGACGACAGATTGGCGATAAAGCGTGCGTAAGAAATGTATAGGTCTGTTCGAGTTTGCGTCTTTCGAGTAAATCGATGATGACGCCTGTACAATTCATAAATGTAGCCAATAGTAGTTCTTATCTAACGTGGTATGAAGACATATAATGCTTACAAATGCAACAGTAATGCAGATCCAGTACTATCATATGATACAATTTTTTAACGGTGCAAAATATCATAACAGAAAGGAAAGAATGAATCAGTTATGGATAATAATATTGAAACATATCTTACAGATCTAGCTTGCATACTTTATTGCATAGTTACCTGCTTAAGAGAACTATGATAGGAGCAGCAAGAAACGACAGAGGAGAGCGGAAAAAACTTTAGTGTTGATAAGTACGTGTGTGGAGTACATATGAAAACATCAGCAAGATAGCGAAAGAGAATCTATGCGCAATTTCCAATAGTGACGGATACTTAATATGGTACAGTACATAAGATCAGTTGGTAGCCATTTATACATGTGGTTCTTCCCTAATATCTTTTCTTTCCTTATATGATAAAGAGCAAAAGGACTGATGCACAGGAAGATAGAGGAGTCACAAATTTGTCATATTCTTTCCCTCGTACTTCACGTCATTCATAGCTCGCATATGTATTTTATATATCCGGGCATCTGCATTGGTGGTGGCATAATCATCACAGCGAAGCAGAAAAATCGAGGTTTCTAATACGATCGTCGATTTAAAAGATACTCCCTCGCTCCTTTAATTAATCTCTCCCTCACTTCATCTCCAAAACGTCACCCTCGTTCCCACTTTCTTGTTACCGAGCACCTTACTTTCTTTCGCTCCTGATTGAATGAGTGAAATTTCTTGTGACGGAGTCTAATCTTCATAAAGATGAATTCATTTTGGCAAGAAGCGATGGTGGTGATACAACGGTCTGCTTTTTGACGTCTTGGCACATCTGTAGCAGCAATGTATGTATGTACACACAACTGCTACTACTCTTGCTTTACATTAGGTTTTCTGATATGCATGGGCTACAGAATATTGCAAAGAGCAAATAATGGTGATCAATAAATAACTAGAGTACACATGTATCTTTTAATTCGCTAGTAATATGAATATGTACAGTCATGATCGTAGAGAATGTTTAGCAGTAATAGATGGCAATGGGTTGATTCTTAGCACCATAATCGGAAAGCAGCAATAATCATGGGTTACTTTAACAAACAAAGACATTGCTATTACTGCTATACCCCTCATGGTCCTTGTCCTTTTTTTTTCTTATGAAGCCTCCTTGTAGCTCATCCTCGACGTGCACGTGATGGTCAAATGGGCCTTTGTAGTTGGTGAAATAGTGTCCTTTAAAAAAACTCCTTGTTGTCTTTAGAGGCGCTGATACTCGCACTATATGTAGCAGTGGTGTGGTTACAGCAATATACCAGTAACAGAAGCTGGTGCGTGGTGGCCGTCTTTTCTTCCCTTTGTCATATGATCCACCAGCACCACCAGCTAACTGTCACTCGTAAATCTTACTACAGCGGCGACTATTTAGTTTACAGACCAGCTATATCGCCATCAATTTTATTCAACGATATATGATTCATGGATTAAAATCTTTATGCAGTGCTATACAAATAGCATCACCAATATATTTGCAATATTTTTCAAAGGAAAACATGGTGTTTCCACGCAAAAGACAGTAGGTGCTTGTGTGAGGATTAGTGGTGGTGGTGCTATGTACTTCATTTTGAATCGAAGGAGTGTTCCCATTCTTCTTCCCTCCTCGCATTGCCATTTTCCGCCTCTGACGAGGTATATGACCCTCTTTCTCTTAACAAGCTCCCAAAGGCACGTTTTGATCATGATGGATGTAATATAAACGACGTCGTGGACGTTGTTATCATTTAGGTTTTGATATATCTGAAACTAACGAAACAATACCACCAACAAAGGGAAAAGAATTTCAGAAGGAGAAACAAGCGATTATCACCTTATTTCCTACTATCGCTGTTACTACTGCTTGGTTCGTACCACCTCAATAAGCAAACAAACGGGAGCCAAAAAAAGAAAAAAGTGTCCGTGCGGTTTTGTTAAAAATGTCAAAGGGAAGAGAAGAGAAGAGGGAGAGAACTAGGAAGATGAAGTAGGAGATTCGGGCTGATTAGTTTTTTTGTATAATGGCCATGTGGAAATGCTCCCTTGAAATGCATTATCAGTGGAGCACGTAATGGGATGCATGAGGACAACACATTTCGCGCGAAAAAAATTATTATTCCCCTCTTTTTCTTTTTGTTTCTCTATCTTCTTTCATGAAACTCCTATACCACTCCTATTCTGATTAAAGAAAGGGCAACTTTTTTTTCAATATGAGGGAAAAAGTGTCTAGTTTGGGCATGAGAGGGCACTACGTCCGAACAGGCGCACTTTGTGCTGGCAACTTCTTATGTGGCGTTCCATTTCGCTACAATGACACCTGACTAGTACGCATGTCTCAGTATTAGACAAGTTTTACATTACCAGTCATCATAAGGGACCGATCACAGCTGTGGATTGATGATCCGCCCACAGCAAGAAGAAAAATAGGGCTACTATATGTTACTACCTATTATGATGACCAACTGCTTATGATTTTGAAGATGGCTGTTGTTAATCAAGGTCCGTGCTGCTGCATACGGATAGGTAAACTGAATATTTAGCACAGTCCCCGAATGAATCACTATCATCACTACTGCCTGGAATCATTTCCATTGAAATATGATTTTTTTGGAAACCATATGACGCGCACGCACATATACATACACTCACATAGAGACGAACCATAGAAAAATACACTTCACCCTGTGATGTTTCTCTGTATACTACCCGATATAGGCTTTTTTCATATGCGTATAATTGAAAAAGAGAAAGGAATGCAGCATATTTCATATCCAAAGTCCTTTCATACACCTCGTTCATGTGCTCACGCATATACATTAACAATGTGATGAATATGCAGCATTACACTGTTTTTGTTATATAAATGTATTGCGCTACATTATTAATACAGTATTATAATAGTTACATACTGCTCCGCTGATGGCACTGTACCAAGGGAAAAGAAGAAAGGAACCCCAGGGTCAAAAACGAAGCCTGTATTTTTAGCATTTGCTCTTTACCATTGTTCCGTTTTCACTGTTATCCCTGAGCTTTGGAATTCGCTTATGAGGTGGGAGTGAATTGGGTATTGGGGGTTGGGGGTTAGGAAAGATGTTTGTCTACCTAAAAATGGCAGAATCCCATATTATCCTTTCCGCCGTTCTGTAGATCAATGTGGTCACGATCGTACAATGCATACTGTCATGAATTTCTAGCCTATAGATCATCCTGGATTATTCTCATTGTACGAAATATCCACTATGCACTTGCTGCTAATGCTCACTTGATTACATATCCAGGTACATACCATCCTTTTAAGACCGTCTTAACGGCTTCATATATACTCTAAGTTGATTTTCACAAGGAAATAATAGTGTATAAGGATTACCGTGTATAGCACATTTCATTAACTCATTGTAATCTGATCAGTCTATATGATTGCTCTTTTTTTTCAAACAAGTTTCGTGAGTTTCGATGGCTGGCCACATTGAAAACTACTCCTTTGTAATTTCTGTTATATTCATCTATCGAATTGATGAAAAAACGTGGAGGAACGGACGATAGACTGAAAACTCATGGAAATACGTAAAGGAGAAAGAAAGGAAGAATGGTCTCAGTTCTTTACTCACTCTGACAAGGGATTAGATTCAAATGAACATATACTCATTATCGCTCTTTATCCCTCGCAATTCCTTTAATAATTCGCTGTGGAGAGGACGAGGCCACGATAACAAAGTCATAACAAAAATATGAAAGGGAAAAGGTTCGTGTGCGTATACGCGGGGCATGCCTAAGGAGACAAATGAAGCCTGGGGAAATAGAAAGAGAGAAAGGGAAAGAGGACACGCACAGTCTTGTACGTACGTCGATACATATTTACACACACGAACAACAGCGACATTCGTATGATGGTTAAGCACTTAGAAAGGTACAAGCACACTTATCTAGTAGGAGCAAGGGCCGTTGGATAATATTAAGCTCGATCATTTTATGACGATACGACACAAGGGGCGATACACCCAAAGGAAAGGGAGAGGAATAGGAGTGAGAGGAAACAGCACGGTGCTTGCATAATAATTATGAAACCGAATAGTCGGTGCCATTCTACCCTATGTTCTGGTAGTAGATTAGAGAGAAATTGTGTGTATGTGTGTCTGTGAGAGGTAATGATACAGAGAAAGAGAAAGAGTGTGTGTGATTGAGGCATATGATAATGATGATGATGTGATTTATAGGGGGTAGTAAGTTTAATGACAAAATATGGGGTTCTCCCGAGTATAGTCTTGAGCAATGATGCTATTATGGTGTCATTGTTCGTAACTCCTTCAAAGGAATTTGACAAGCCTGAGGTTAGAAAGTTGTGTTGCCTAGATATAAATACCCTCAACTCTTTTTTGCCCGGTTTCCGTAGTAACCATCTTCCAACTATCACTTTGCAACAAAATAAGTAAAGCCTCTTATCACAACGACCTATTATCAATACAGTAACACCATGGATATTAAGCACCTCCTTTGCCGTACACCCACGTTTTACGCCTGTCCTGAAACAGTTATAACTTCACCTGTCAACCAATGCTACCAGCAAACTTGGTCTTGCGCTTCATCCGACACTGATAGCCCAGACCTGTCTTCGTATGCTTCGCCCTCGTTTACACCAGCTTCATCACCTCCATCAACACCCACAGCAATTGTGCCACCTCTCGAACTCCATCAACACCACCGTCCATCCTCTTCTTCGTCTTCTTCTACCACCACTAGTCCTTCCGCAGTTCCTCATCAACAGCAACAACATCCCCGCTCCGGTCCTCAAACGCGAACACCTTGGACGCAACATGAAGACAATCTTCTTCGACGCGGTTACGACCAAGGTCTATCTTGGGCCATGATTTCCTCTACCTATTTGCCTCACCGCTCGCGTGGTTGCTGCTGGGGCCGATTCAAAACATTGCAAGCGAAAGCGCTAGAACGACGCGATTGGGACGACACTGAAGATCAGCTTTTACTCATTGCCATGAAGAAGCATGCTCGGTTATTCAAGTTAGCGTGGAAGGCAGTATCGCAAGACATGCCCAATCGATCGTGGCGAGAGTGTGAATCACGTTCATTCAAGGTTGCTTCAGCAAATGTGATTCGGAAGAGACAACTCTTTACTACCCCTGCCAACGTCATCTCTTAAAACACTTTTTTTCTCTTTTTTGTGTTACCTTTTATTACGCCTGCATCAGCAAAACATATTATATAACTTTTACCCTCTTTACACACTCACGCACACGCACACCCAATATTACTATCAAAGTTCTTATATAGCACTATTACAAATACCCTTTTCAGATACAGATTCATCCGCACATATTGCTTCTATTTTTCCTGCACACACTATTACACGCACAAGTTTTCTCTGAGTACTACTAGTACTACCCTACTATGCTTCATTCTTCTTTTTTCGTCACATAAATGTTGTACATTTTCTATTGTTCTTCAGTATGTCTATCATCATATGGAACGTATTTTTTTTCATATACAACAATGCACAACGTACATATATACACAGAAACTTTTTTCCTTTCTATTACTTTTTCTTTTATTGAGCTTTTGAGAATAATAGAATAACAAAAAAGCTTTTTTTATTGATAAACGGAAATTTGACGTTTCTACTCATAATTTTTAATTGTTTGTAATATGGTTATTGGATCGTTGGGTGGATGTAAAATCGTGTTTGGGTCGTTTTACCAAAATTATTAGGTTTCGATCAGTGTTGCAGGAAGAAAAAACCCGCGTCATCTTCCCCTCCCCCCCCGTCCCCCCTTCTTTCCTTTCTCTCTCTTTTTTTACAAGCCAAGCTTGTTCTCTAACTATGATCCTGTCACCAATCTTATTTTGGATAATACTCCTTGTGTTACGTCAGGCCAGCAGTAACAACAACAAGGCTGCAGCCGAGCCGTCAAATCGATCGGTAGAAAGTGTCGATCAACAGGCTCAGCCTCCTCCCCATTTACCAAATTGCAGTCGAAAAAATGCATCTCCACCGAAACCTCGAATAGCAGTTATATCACACGATTCAGCGATGGCTACGTTTTTCCATAACCCTGAGCAAGGTGCACGAGACGCGGCAGCCATCATGGATATTCAAGTCGAATGGGATCGGCATTTGATCAATACAGGCAGTAAAATGACCAGCGATATACGGACTGCAGTCGATAATGTAGGCTAAAGAAAAGCACCAAACTTTATTATTACCGTTCCTTACAACTGTGTATGTGAGAATCTGTAATGCCATTCTTCTTTCTTATTTCTTTCTTCAATGTATCATCAATTGTTAGCGAGTCGACGGTATAATTCTTACTATTCCCAACGACGAGATATTTGAAGCAGCCCAATACGCACTGGACAATCATATACCAGTTCTCGTTTTTAACACAGGATTACAGTATGCTCAACGTCTGGGACTAACTCGCGTATTACAAGATGATCGCGAGGCAGCTTACATGTTGGGTGAAGAATTACGGAGGCGTGGGTTTTCAAAACCACTAGTGATCCAACTTGCTGGACTCGATAGTCAAACATTTGAAAATAGGTTCGCGGGATTACGGGATGCAATCGAAAGTGAGCCTGCATTACTACCTCTTCACGATTATAACAATACAGCACAGCCATTAGTAAAAGTGCGTGATACTTTCCTATCCAATGGGTCCTATGATTCAGTCGTATCGCTGGGAGGCTCGGTAAGGGATTTTTTAAAACGGGCAGTGTGTGTTTGTGTGCATATGACTTGCTCAAGTTTTGCTCAAATTCTTGAGACACTTCTTTTTCAATAGATTGGAGTGGACATCGTATCGGGGGCTGTTTTAGATATGTTGGATTTACGTAGCGATAACCCTCCGCATGTGGCAGCTGCATTTTTTGATATCGGGGGGTCTAACATGACTACGCTGTTTGCTCGACATGAACATACTGTTGCGATTTCACAATTACCTTATTATCAGACGGCCCTGCCTGTATTTTACATGTACTTGCGTGTAATGTATAATCGCTCGATTATTTCTAACGCCCTATGTCATCCGCATCTAACTATTATGCAATTTATACTCTGATTCATATCACAGATTTTGACAGGCCGTGATGTATTCCATAACGAAACTATCAAAACTGGACCCAACTTAGTTACAAACAAAACGCTAGCTGCTGCAATGGAGAACGAACAAACAACGTTATTGCCTTTGAACGACAAGAACGTGATTGTTGGGACAATCGTACCAAACACACGAGGAGATACATACAACTCTGCGTTGATGGCCGGTGTTCAAGATCTAGCTAGCAAAATCAATTGGACTATTTCAAACGAAATCGAGGTGCGTAGCTAAATTCGTGCTCATTGTATGATGCGTATCTTTACTGAAAAGACAAGGAAGCAAAAGAGTTGACGTTTGGTGAATCCCTGCATCACATCTCACTGAAAAAAAAGTCTAAAATCTTTTGTTGCATCAATTCTTAGAGAGGCCCGTTAGGTAAATATGTGATACAATAGTGAAAAATCATATGTGTTGGTTCCAAAAAAGGGAAAAAACAAGAAACGAGAAGTGTACCCACAGGCTTTCTTTGTGTCAAGTGGATAATCTATATGGACAGAAGGAGAAGAAAGGGATATATGTAGCATCCTAATAGTATTGCTGTTCCCTGCGCTGTATATGACGATTACTTTTTTGCCAAATCAATTGATAATACTCATCTGGTACTATTTAGGTCATCCACATCAATTAAGGCACGAGCTAGCTACTTATTCCAAACAAGGAGTCAACGGTGTCATACTCCAATCGAGCGATTCATCGGTTCTCGATTATGGTGCATCGGTAACGAATGCGAGCGAAGTTCCTTTAGCTCATGTAGGAACGTTTTTAGAGCCCCTAGAGCTGTCTATGCCGTAAGTATTTAAATGGTATGGGTGGATTTAGCAGCAGCTGCAAACAACGGTAGCTCCACATCTGCATGTGGCTTCTGCCGCTGCTGTTGGGCAGGGATGACGTAGCGTACTATTGGTGGTAGAGTTTCTGGAGGGGTATGCGCTTATGATTTTGAGGGAGAGAACGGGAAGGAGGAGAAGAGAAGTTGGGGTTCTTGGAGATATGTACTAGTACTTTTCATCAGAAAGAACAAAGCACGACCATTTACGATGAACTCATTAAGTCACGGCACGATTCTAATTACCTTTTTGCCGATTGATATATTTAATAGATTGCAATCCAATGTTGCGCTTGCAAAAGAGAGCCTGGCCAAAGTTGTAGCACAGCAAGTCGTAAAGGATGGCGTAAAAGCACCCGTTTGTTTATCGGAGCGAACCCATTTTGGCGTCAATGATTTCTGTCACAAGTTTTATGCTGCATTTGATTCCACCTCTTCGCATACAGCGCATGCCAATGGCCATAATACCAAAATCAGCAAGGCACACATTCAGAATGTTGTTCATACAGTCAATCTCTCGACAGCGGATGCCATGGATATCGAATTTGAAGATGTGTTGACAACGCTTAAAACCCAAAGATATGAACCAGACGCATATATTACGTTCTCTGAGTATGTGTTTGACATGATCAACAATGTAAGGATTATTAAGTGTTCATCTTTGCTCTTCGGGAATCACTCTCACATGCTACAGGTGTGGGAGTGCTCTTGACGCTGATTGTATTAACACATGGGTAAAAACCAGCGTATGCTAAAAGGATACATGAGTAACGATACCCTTTTGTACACCTCGGCTGATTTATACGACCAAGTGCAAGCGTTTTTGCAAGGCCGGATAAAATCAATGTGGTATTGATACACTGGACCTTCCTTTTTTAGGGCTACTGGTCACGCTACCCATCCTGCTAAAAAATCTTTGTCATTGTTATAATAGGTCGATGAACATGTTTGCAGTAGGCTTCTTGTCCTCACTTGATATCCTCTTGACCAAAAGCATCACACATCAGCCATGGTCACAAACAAGCATCAGTACACCGCAAGTAACGACACTGTGTCCTCCTGGACAGTACTACGACAATCTTGCCAGCAACTCGTATTTTTGTTTAGATAACAGCCATACACGCCTATCCATCCAATGTCACAAATGTCCCGCCAACACGTACACCGATCGTCCTGATCAATCCATCTGTTTACCATGCCCCTACGGCATGTATGCTGAACCTGGTTCTTCGAAATGCGAGCAATGCAATAATGCAGGCAGCAAGAAAAACTCGCGGTGTATACAATATGTAGCCGACAAACAAGCCGCACGCAAACGATTGTACATGGGCATATTTATCCCGATTGGCGTCATTTTAGTTGCGCTAATAGTTTTGGTGACGGTATGGCGGTGCCGAAAACGATTTACACGTCAACAAGGGCGGTTGGGCGATCAAGATTGGTTGCTTACATATCGAAGTCTGGTTCGACCGCCTATGAAGTATTTGACTTCAACAGTATCATCTTCGGCAGGAAGACGGAGTATTTCGGCTGAAAATATTGGAGGACATGCACCAGGAACTGTTATTACTGCTGTTGAAAACAACAGTAGTAGTTCGTTCTGGGATTATAATCCTCGACGCAACACTATCTGTCGCACGAACGTTTTAGAGTCAGATATCGATTTGTTGGATACATCGCGCAGGGCTTCCATGAATGAATTACCACGCAGCAGCTTATCCGATCCTGATTTGATTATGAATCGAGAAATCAAAAGTATAGCAGCCTCAAGGTAGTTACTGGATGCACAGACAGTCATTTACGCATGTATGATAGATAATTGCGAAACATTGCTCATACGTTTCTTGGCGCAAATAGTTCCAAGACGGTCGAAGACGTATCTTCTTTAGGAAGAAAGTGTGAACTCATTCGGGCTGTTGGATCACAGTAAGTCATTGTTTAAATGACGGTGGCATCACTGTAGCAGTACAATCGCAATGATTAATATCTTCCTTCCGTTTGAAAAGTCGAAATCTTCCCGTTTTTATCAAACAAATCGGTTTTCGACGTGTGCGGGTCAACGACGAAGTTCGGAAAGAAGTTGCGCTAATGAAAGATGCTCGCCACGCTAAACTTGTCGAGCTGTGCGGATTATGTATTGAGCCTCAACGCACTTTTATAGTCGAAGGTAATTTTGTGTTCCTCTCTTTTATCTTTTAGAAAGAGTTGGTATTTGAAAGATACACTAACTGTTATCGAAAATGTCTCTTTTCTTTGTAAAGAATATTGTACCAAAGGGTCGTTATATGACATATTGGCAGATCGGGACATCAACCTTTCATGGATTTTTCGATTCTCTCTCATCCACGACTTAATACAAGGTAAAAATGCTAACGTACTCTTACTGTTTCTAAGAATGTATGACATACGGAGATACAAGTGTTAATCGGTAGAACGTTTTATCTCCTTCTTTTTTTTTCCTTGAGCAGCCATGGAGTTTCTTCAACGATCCAAATTTCTTTGCCACGGCCGACTGACTTCACGGTCTTGCCTGATTTCTGGCAAGTGGGAGCTCAAAATTGCAGATTATGGATTAACCAAAGTTCGTCTGATGCAAGTTGATCCGGCTACATTGAGTCATATTCGCAAGTATTATCCTTTCGTCGAGAATCCCAAAAACAAAAGCGATCCTATGGTGCATTCACAAGAAGAGCTGCTTTGGCTTGCACCTGAAACAGTAACGGTACTGCCGGCTGGTACGATCCTTTCTTGCTCTTCCAAACGATCGGACGCTTACAGGTAGCATTTATAGTGAAAAACTTACAAACATAGAGTATGCGTATGGTGAGTATCGATCAAATTATCATGAATAACCATGACAAATACATCTTTTTCCAGTGTTGGCGTCATTATCAATGAAATAATTACGCGCGAAAAACCATACAAGGATCTTCTCGATCAAGGATATTCTCCTCTAGCAATCTTTAAATTGATCAGTTGCGAAGAAAAGAAGCTTCGGCCTCGACTTGTGCGAACAATGGACGCGGACGGATATGCAGAAAAAATGAACCAGATCATTGAAGAATGCGTGAGCGAAGACCCCTATGCACGCCCCACATTTTCTGCCATGGAAAGTCGGATTCGAGCGTTTGATCCGTATACAGGATCTGATAATGTGGTTGATAATATGGCCGTTTTAGTAAGTTATCACATAATTACTTTGAACAATGACATATATATGATAAACCTTGTTTCGTATTATAGCTGGAGAAATATGCAAATGACATGGAAGATTTAGTACGAAAAAGGACAGCCAACCTGCAGCAACGAACTTTAGAGCTGGAAGAGGAAAGGGCTCGTACTCAAACCCTACTTCGAGGTAAGTATAATGATATACAGCAAGCCTGAAATAATCATTACTCATAAGGGTATTGAAGATTTCAGAGAAGAGAGAGAGAGAGAGGGACGTTTTAAAACTCACATAATATTTTACATAAACACGTCATTATACATTATTATCGTAGATCTCAAACTTGCCAAAGAGGTGGCCGAAACAGCTGCTACATCAAAGCAAGAGTTTCTTGCCAATATGTCACATGGTATGAAATAGGAGAGATCTAATGCGCTTGCTTCTGCGATCTAAATTGTAACCTTATGAAATACATTACTCTTTATTTTTAATCATATTCATTTTTTCTCTTTGGATATAGAAATTCGAACGCCTATGAATGCGGTGATCGGCATGTCTAGAATGCTGATGGAAAGTGATCTAACCCCTGATCTATATGACTGTGCGGAAACAATCGAATCTTCAGGTATTGTGTAGCAAAAAAAAAGACACGATATAAACATGAATGGGATGCATATACGCGGACAAAAAAAGGCTAAGCGCTGGATTATATAGGCAACCACTTGATGGCTCTTATCGACGATATTCTCGACTATTCCAAGATCGAATCAGGACATTTGACTCTTGAACGAGGGCTGCTGGATCTGGTAATAATGGAAAAAAGCTATACTTTTTACATCACACATTTACTGTTAGCTGCATGACACTGATTTTTCACACATCTCATTAGACGTATGTGGTGGAGAGCGCAATGAAATTAGTTGCACCCAATTTCCTGGGAAAAGGGGTTGTCTTGTGGTACGATGTGGACCGTAATCTACCCACACAAGTCTATGGAGACCTAGTACGCCTTCGACAAATCCTATTGAACTTGTAAGTATAAAAAACTGACAATGGGACGAGGAGACAGCAAGAAGATCTCATTTCTCATCTTCCTGTTTTATACAAAATAACGCAAGGCTTTCCAATGCATTCAAATTTACTTCAGCAGGATATGTCTGCGTTCATCTCGGGATCGACCCTGCTCACCGTCACGAAACACCTCCATCAGCGTCTGATGATAACGTCAATAACAACAGCAGCGGCGACCAATGCATTTCCTACCTCTTCTCTGTACATGACAGTGGCATTGGAATACCCAAGCACAAGCTCGGAAAACTGTTTCAATCGTTCTCTCAAGTGGACGCGTCTACAACTAGAAACTATGGCGGAACTGGCCTAGGACTTGCCATTAGTCGACGGCTTTGCCGGCTTATGAATGGCGATATGGTACGAAAAAGCAAGATATGCTGGTGATGATGAAAATAAGAGATTCAAATACTAATTTGGAAAATCATTATTTATAAAGTGGGTGGAGTCGGTTGCTGGCGTTGGATCAACGTTCTACTTCCGTGTGGTGCTACAAAAGCAGCAAACCGAAACAACACTCACCTATGGCGAGCAGTTTCATGTGGACGAGCTTGCTCACCATGAGCCCATGGTCATTGCCGAGTCTCCCATCTTACGCTCGGCATGGCGTGCCATTTTGACTAGTTTGGGCCTTACACATGTCTGGGCAGTCAGTTTTACCGAAGCCATTGACCATTTTAGAAACCAGTCATCGACATCACTGGAATCCAAGTCGCCATCCATCTTGATTGCCGATGTCGACTTACAAAAGATTGAGCAATTGGGACCTCAACCCACAAAGAGCGAGATTGCCTTGGATACGCTGCAACGTTGGTTCCCATCGGCTGCAAGCATTCCAACACTTTGCATAAATGATGTCCGTGTCCGACGGTCCAAGCAAGAACAGCAACCGCAAGAAACCGAGCGACACAACCAGGAACAGCAACAACAGCTGCGGCAGCCTTGGTTCGTTGCTTCCAGTGGTGGTGTTGGTAATGGATTTAAAGGAGGACTGCAACAGCAACCTGAGACGACGCCATTGGAAGAGTGTCAGGATCCCTTCGAAACAATACGTCGTTCGATATCTAAACCTTTCAAAAACTCGAGTTTGATCGAAGTTCTGCGTAGCATCAGCGCTACAACGACACCTACTGCTATTACAAGAAAATCCTCATCTATGTTAATGGAAAGCGCTACTATTTCGATTCGTAAGAGTAACGTACCTCCAGCATCAGGAACTACCGAACAGCAGCAGCAGCAACAACAACAGCAAGCTGAACGGTTGTCATCGATCTCATCTTCTGCTAATTATCATCGTCCTTTCGACCTGTCACATGTACGGACACTACTGGTAGATGACAACCCTATCAATCGCAAGGTCGTTGCGCGTATGCTAGATAAAATGAATATCAAGTCTCAAGTTGCCGAAAATGGTCGACAAGCATACGAAGCCATTGAAGCAGCGCTAGAAACTGATAGTCCATTTCAATTAGTCTTTATGGACGTTTGGATGCCTGAAATGAATGGTCTTGAAGCTGCTGCCAAGATACGGCATGAATTGACCAGTGTCACACCCACGCAACCATACATTATTGCCATGACAGCCTGTGTCATGCCTGGTGACAAGGAAAAATGTATAGATGCGGGAATGAATGGTTATGTCAGCAAGCCCATACGCAAGGAAGAGCTTGATGCTGCTATCCATACTTTTACACAACTATTAAATGACACTGCTAACAATAACAATAATAGCAGTGGTTCCGCTGCTGCTGCTAACGACAATTAATTATGAAGAAAATAGGAGTCTGTAATTTCGTGTTTTGTATTTTATATAAATATGTGATAAAGATTTTTTTTGGTTTTCTAATATCCATTGTATCTATCATCATGGTGACTCTTCGTAAAGTTAAATCGATGAATAGTGTTGGTAATAATTGAAGGCAAACGAAGACGGCCATTATTATGTTGGGAATAGTGCAACACATTATCTCCTGATGTAGAACTTCCGCCCACACCAAGTCCTGAATGATTTTTCACGACACGTAGCCCTATTTATATAAAAGATGGTAAGTTAACTCAACTCTCTTTATATTTTTTTCTGTTAGAGCATGAGAAAAGAAACCTGGGCTCTTTAACTTACCACGTTGGAAGCGAGGTCGCGTGGACGCAATATATAATGAATAGGATCGTGTTTGGCCATCATCCATTTGGACCTTTCTTAATTTTATGAAAGCAGTAGATGGATCAATCAAAGCATAATTGAGATAGAGCACACCTGCCCACGGTGATTGGACTGTAGGTGCTACCGGTGCCAGTCTTTGCTGCCATTCTTGCATCACATATTCTGGGGTGCGGATATAATCTGCTAGTGCTGGTGTCATGGGTAATTGTTGAATGCCATGGATATATTCTAGGTAGCGACCAAAATAGGTAGTCTAGCAAGTATCAATGTTGTTAGTAACTGGAAGAATAACCGGTAGAAGAAGAAAAGTGATAGCATACATAATCTGTCTTTTGCTCGAAATATATGCCGACGACTTTATTCTTGATCATTTCCTTTGGCCGGTTCTTGTTATCGTCAAGCATCCAGAAATACTCGTAAGTTGTTCGCTTGGTGATGGCAAGTTGTAAAGACGCAAGATATGTCATGGCTTCATTTCCAGTTGCAAGGCCCCATAATTTGCTGCCCCAATAGAAGTTGACAGACTTTTTGTTTTGGTTCAAGTATAAAGAGAAAAGAATTATATGAGTGTCATGTATACCGATAAGACAGAGGGGGCGAGGGGGAAAATGTCTTTGTATCAGTTACTTACTTCAGGGATAGATTCTTGGTCACGACCGTCCAGGGCGCCGTTCACCTTGATACCGCCGGCCCAGCTGTGCCCTGCAAACCAATCCCAGTTTCTAAACGGTGCATAATCTGGATCATATGAAATTGGCGTATTAACATCTCGAATCAATGCTTCTGTCCATTCCTTCAAGTCAGCAGACCGCCATTCAGGATCCAAATAATGAATTATCGCAGCTATAAATGGATAAAAAATGACACGATGATAAGCCATTACTACGCATTTTCATTATATGTGCCTCTGAGCTGGTGTATTACCTGTCACTATCAAGTAACCATTATGATAATGGTGATCACTATAATACGAATGACCAAATGCAGCATTCGTATCGCCCGTCCCACCCATAGACTCTGGCAATCCAGCACGCGCGACAATGCCCTTATAAACAGTATCATATAGAAACGGATCCTTTTGCTGATTATTCAAATAAGGTACGAATGCCGCTTTCAATTTCTCCAACGACTGAGCAGCCATTTCAGGATTGCGCAGTTGCGTTTTGTCGGGTTGGTTTAACACGAGTGCCAGCATGGCGAACTTTTGTAAACCTTTGCCGGAGAAATAATTGTCATCTAGCAATGTTTCGGTTTGGTAGTCGCTTTGTAGGTCTTGTTCCATAGCATCCAGGATCCCATGCACTGCGCTCGGGTCAGCTTGGGGTTTCAGTGGCAACCATGAGACAGGGCTCAGTTCGGATTCGGTCAGTGTCCAGCGATTGCCGGTAATGGCTTGCATGTCACCTTTGGTTGCTGACGAGAGTACCAAACCCGTTCGATCGATTTGTTGTAGCGTCTCAAGATGGTGCGGGTATGCGTACATTAACAGATCTGTGTCGTTGGTGCCTTGGGCGCCTTCTGAATTCCATTGAATCGTGTATGTGCCCAAGTTACTAAATGTATGTGTACATTTAAATATAAGTCAGGTTCCATTAAAACGCTGCTATTTCCTTGATGATAAATGTATTCTTCCTTTTCCTGGCTCCTCTCTTTCACTTTGTCCTATCTCTGGAAAGCAAATTAATAGCTCAATTTTTTATTTATACTAACCCATCAGATTCAGCTTGAATTTCAGCGCTTACAGGCCATCGATCCTTATAACGATCCAATGTCTGTTCATCTTGCTCGGACGGTAACTTGGCCACCCGAATAGGTCCATTGTAAACCTGGGTGCTGACCAGGTTCTGTACCCCATCCTTGCGCAAGTTTAAAGGCGCATCGCCCAACGCATAGATCAAGAATGTACTTGTTGGCGTATCGTTCATGGTTATCTTGAACTTGTGACCTGAATATGTATTCTGTCCACTGGAGGGGCCATCGCTCTCGATGCGAATGATAGCGTGTTGTGTAAAGAATTGAGGCGAGAGGTTGTTATAGATGCCAGTAACATAGGCCATACCGCGAACAAGTGGGAAATCAATCGATTGTTGTTGTTGTTGTTGTGATGATGATGATAGTTTTAAGTGTGCGCTGAAATGATCCCAGTAGGTAACGGATGAAGTGGGGTTTGTGCTTGATTTCCATTCGCTGCTTGTCATTCGAAGATCGACGACAACACTGTTAATCATGTAACCGGCGTCGGTTGCAGGTACATTGTTTTGCTGTGGGTATGAACCGTAAACCTGCTTTTAACAGCACAATGTATAAGTGGAAAAAGGCAATATGGTCATAGGAAAAGGGCGTAGCTACGTTCATCTACCTTCTTGGACGGTTGGCGTATAGTGAGACCAGGGTTGCCACCATAGTCGTCGAATATCCGTAATATGTATGGATCAGGCGTGGTTGGTGCTAAATGATCTACACTCGGGTAAAATAAATTACTGATCCAAGAATTGGTCGGTACGGTATGATAGAATTCTGGGTCGGCGTATTGTGGAGGGTACGGATGTTGAATTTCTGGGAATAATGAGGTATTGGGTGCTTGGTTAGAGATAGGCACAAGAAGATCCGTCATGTCTGCTACTGCTGCTGCTGCTAAATCGTTTTGTTGTTGTTCCTGGCCTGCTCCTATTTTTGCGACTAACAGGACGCCTAATGCAATCAGCGACGTTGTTGGCTTCATTATATCAGTTATGATGATATGGATTGGCCAGTTATGTGCAACTGCGTATGACACAATAGACAAAGGCGAAAAAGAGAAAAAGAAAGAGAGATTGTGCGCAAAAATGGTCCTAAAAGATCAAGGGCCACTGCACCCACCCGTCCCCCACTCCCCCGAAGAAAAAAAAACCACTTCTTGATCGCCGAGCGGAAATAGCATCAGTTTCCTTGTTCAAACACAAATAAGAAAGGGGAGGGGGAGCATTACCTCTCGGAGATTAAGTGTTCACTATATCACCACTGGTGCAGGCAAGCAGAATGTCGAATTCGAGTATGTTGAAAAATCATCCGGACGTATAATTTCGGATCTCGCCCTGCTTGTATTGTAACCTACTATGGAGATACGCGAATGCAGCATATTTATACTGTATTGTGCAGAAATCTGGGCCTTTATTATAATTGTTCAGGAATGGTCTCCCCGTCGACCGATTCTTTTTGTAATCTGTATGTATAGCGGGGCATTATACGTAGGGTATGCTCCATACATATGCACCGTGGAAGTACATATGTGATAGCACACTACGTTGTTTGGGCATGTTCTACTATATGAGGGTCATATGTTTACGAAGGAGTTATTTGTCCATTCGTTGAGCGCTATTTGATTTTTATCGGACAGAAGAATTGGTGTTGGGCGGACTGCATATGTAGTAAACCTGACGAGCGAAGAATAGATTATGCGCGTTCGAGCCTATAATAAACATGCAGCGATTCTAACTGCCAAACATTGCTCATTAGTGTTACTTTAGCAACGACCATTCCATAACGACTGACAATGTGAGATATAAAAGAGAGCGTGTTTCTTTCTGAGTATTTGTATATGATATTGAGAGAACGATGTATAAGTGCAAATGTGTGTGTGTGTGTGTGATTGTGGGTATTCTACAACATAGATATTTATAGATGCATAAATATATAGTAGCACAAGAAGAAAAAGAAAAAAGAATGATCAAGTACATACGGTTTTAAAGTAGGAGATAAGGTGGAGAGTGTGTGTGACAAGGTGATAGTGGTGGCGCGTGTGTGGTTTAGGATGTTTTTTTGTTCGCGTATCTATATCTAATAACATTAACAATAATGATTATAGTAACAATTGCTCTTTTTTTCAAAAAGAAAAAAGAAGTGGGAATATCCGACGTAGTGCAGTCTTTAGAGCGCATTGTTGACAATCTCAAACGCTTGCTTGTATACTTCCAACATGGTCTTGCATTTCTCTCTGTCAGCAGCAACACCTTCATCCTCCTGCAACAAGTCCTTGAACAGTTCTTCCTTGTACAGTGATGCAACAAGACGGTTCTGTACTGATTCTCGGGAATGATTGACGAGCAAGTGCATGATGGATTTGGGCACAAGATCCTGGATGTTTTTTCGTACGATATTGAAGTAGCTGGTGATCAATGTGCCTGATAGAATAAACCCCCTTTTGTTTTAGTTGGGTGGTAATAGCGTTATGTATTTGAAAGAGGATATATCACTTACGGATAAGTTGGATTTCAATCTCTTCTCGATCGGATGCTTGTAATTGTTCCTCGGTGGGTTGCATCGATACCTTTTGATGATTCAGCAATGTGATTTAGTACCACCGTAGAACCTTCACTATCTAGAACGCCAACTTGCGTAATACCTGTTCACTGAACTTTCGCTCTAGTTCATTTTCCATCATGCTCGTAACAGAGAGCGGCGAAGTAAACGAAGCATTGTTCATCATTTCTTGTGGACCCAGTGCGGGTCGTTCGTTCTTGTTGGCTCCACCGAAAAAGTAGGTTAAAAATGATTCCTTGTTCTCGCCACTGGTGCTCCCCGACGAAGCTGGCGGCGGTGGCGGCGCGTATCCATTCTCCTTGGGTCCACCGTTAGCACCATTAAGCAGCAAATGATTCTGATGATGTTCATCGTCTGCTCGACTTCCAGCGCTCACTACACTTGACGCAGGCGACTCTGTACGCATGTGCTAAAAACAAGATATAGTCACGTCAATAACAGCGAGAATCTTCCGCGACATGGAAATAAAACAAAAAATGGCATACCCGTCTCTTGGTTTCTACTGCTCTCTTTTTCTTCTTGGACTCGCTCTCCAGGTTGGCCATGGCACCTGCTGCGCCTAGGAAATCAGGATGGTTTGTGTTGATGTATGCACGTTCGATGGAAATCAGGCTCTCGACATAGTTTGAAGTGGGGCTTAATCTTTCGCGCAATAATTCAGAAACGACTTCGACGAGCTTGGTATGCAGTCGTGGGTATCTCAGCAGTTCCTAATTGCGAATAAACACGTATTAGCAACCATAGCATGCATATCTGTTACGCATAAATATTTGTTACCTTATATTCTGAAATGTGACAGATTTTCATGAGCTCTTCATACACCAGTTCAACACAGCGCAAACTGGGTGTTTCCAAAAGTTTGATCTGAGGCCGCACAAGCAAGTCAAATGCAAGTTCAGGCACAAACAAGGATGGACGGGGACCTGTCGAGTTTCGGATGGCAGTACGGATGTCGTTGTTGGAAAGATTGGCACACGGTGGAATAGCATCCAATGCGCTGCCGAAAACATTGTTGAAAATAAAATAAATACGGGCACCTCCACATCTGAGCACAAGAAAAAACAAAGAGTTAACTCATGTACATCCCTCATATTCGTTTATATAAAATTGAACCAACACTTACAACTCCTTAGTAGACATTTCCGAAGAGGTACCATCAATCGCTGCAACAAAATCATTCGAAAATTTGGTCAATAGTTTGAGGATCAACGAGCCCTGAATAATAGTGTACACACACAGCCAATTAATATGATTTCCACCTTTCTTTTTATCTTTTACATTACTCCTGCCTTTCTTCAACATACCCGATGGACATCACCACTGGAAAAGGCTGGATCGCCATATTGATTTAATTCCTGCTGGGTCTGGCTCACCAACGAGCTGAGTTTTGATCGTAACTCGGGCAACTTCTCCTTGATCCGAGTGTACAAAATCTATAAAGTTATTCGTTCCAATAGTTGTATAGCATTAGTTACTATTCAATGAGGATGACACGTTTGCTTGTTTGTCATGCATAAGTGGGGGTATCGGTGGTAAGAATAAAAAGGAACTTGCATTATTCAATTGCTTGCTGAGATACTTGGTGCCACAACGACTGGCGATACTCCGATAAGCCGGATGTTGTCGAAAAAAGTCATCCTCTGCATCGACCGCTTCGCTCATGGGCTTGTTGGTCAAGATATCCTGTTGGCTTCGGTTCACCACACCCACAAAACCAAGACGAAGTGGATATGATCGGCCCATGAGAACATCCAATGCATTAGTACCAGCATCCATCAAATCCAATTTGGTCAGTACACCGATCGTCCGTTTGCCTTATAATTTTCAGTGGAACCAACAAATATAGTTCATGTCAGTTCTCTTATATAGCATCGTACCACATATTCTCTCCTCTGGACTGGTTTCTTTCGAATAAACAAACCTTCTGGATCCACTTGTCGCGCAAGTTTTAAACTGTCCGAGTTGGCAACGTCCATATTCGCTGGTGATACGGCCAATACGATGCTAAGACACGCACACACATAGATCATCATATATTAGCGTCTGTACACACAAACAGTATATAAACAAGCATAAGAGATATTAAACTCTCAAACCACCCTGAGATAGAAATTAGCGGTACCTGTTTGGGTTAGAGATGTAATCCATAATCAAGGTACGAATTTGTTTCTCGATATCCTGCGGCTGGTCACCTATAGAATGCACACATACTCGCATGAGCTTCCCGTTTCTCCCCTCTCTCTCGTTCGTACCCTCACAGGGCAGTAAACCCCCTCACAAAACTTACCAATAGGGACCTAGTGGTTGTGCAACAACAAACGAAAATGAAATATGAGTCAATAAACCGGAAAAAGAACATGTTTGTCTGACCAAAGGAAACCAGGTTTGCCTTTTCTATTACCTTTGTCAAACCGGGCAAATCAACCAACGTCAGAGTCAGCACCTTGGGAGAATAGATGCGCAAGTGAATAGGTTGGCGCGAAATGCCTTTGTTACCACCAGCTAGACGACTCGTTTCTCGCTCAATCTCTTGACGGATTTCATCGAAATCAAAAAAGCGCTTATCCTTGGCATGCATGAATTCACCATATTCTTCGGCATCCTTTTGACGCTGTGTAATGAGTTGTAGAATAAGTGGTCGACGAGTGACGATGCCGCTGCCTCGCGGTAGGAAATCGCGTTGAACGATGGTTTCAAGGACAGACGATTTGCCCGAAGACTGAGAACCGACGACAACGATCTGGGGTAGGTCAAGACTTTCATAGGAGCTGATGCTTGCCAGCACAGTCTGCAGCTTGTTCGTCAGCTGGATAAGGTCATCCATGGTATGTACCTTTAGTTGGTTGGTAAATGGGGGAAAGAGAGAGAGAGAGAGAGAGAGAGAGAAAGCGTAAAAATAAAAAATAAAGGAACCTTGAAACACACACAACAAAGTTTGCTAGGCGGAGAAGGAGGGGCAGGGGCTTCGCTTCTTCTATATAAATTAAGGTGCTTTTGGTTTTCTGCAGCAGCAAACCAGGTGGTACCTGCTGATAGTGCCACACATAACACGCACACGCACCATATAAAAAAAAGTCTCTCTCGCGTGTCAAACTCTGTGAAAGAAAGGAGAGCAGTAGTTTAGTAGGAGGGGGAACGAAGGGCTTGTGAGGCTTATATTCACTTCTTCCATTTTTCTTTTCAACTACTACCAACACGCACTACTGCCTTTTTTTTTTGGCTCCCTCCAACTTTTGCCCACAATCACGACCTCGGATACACAACACGATCCGGCGTCAGCAGCAGCAGCTGCCGCCGCCGCGGCAATGACTTCCATGGCTGGTACTACCACCACCAATGCAGGAGCCCATCACCAACAACACCACAATCGTCCAAGCTTTGATCTGACGCAATTCTGGCAAGACGAGATGACTACAACACAAACCTCTGTACCTAATTTCAGAACACATCCTTTACCACTTGCGCGTATAAAAAAAGTCATGAAGACTGATCCCGAGGTCAAAGTATGTCTTGTAACTATACAGTATTGAAGCAAAGAAAAAGGATGTTAGGATAGACCTAAAGAGATAGGGGGCCGGGACGTGATATGATCCGTCGTACCTAACGCATCATCTGTCTACATTCTCTAAGATGATCAGTGCAGAGGCACCGATTCTCTTTGCCAAAGCATGCGAAACGTTTATAGCAGAGTTGACCAAACGCGCATGGTAAAGGAAAATTCAAATTTGCTTTATTGTAAAGTGGGTAACTGAGTTGATTCGCTTATGATATGGGTAAATTTGATAATGAAGGGTTCATGCTGAAGAAAGCAAAAGACGCACCTTATTGCGATCGGATATTGCTATGGGCATATCCAAGACGGACATGTGTGATTTCTTGATTGATATCGTGCCGCGGATGGAGGCGACAGACGCTTCAAAGGTAGAATTTCATTTTTAAGAACGTACAAGAAGTTATAGATTATGCTAAAAATATCTTGAAGTCGGCTTGCAACAGCACAGACGCCATGAGTACTTATCCATACCATCATCAACCTGAACAGCAACATATCACTACTACTGCTACTACCACTACGATACCGTATCCTGACACCAATACCACTCCTTCTTCCGGATCTGATAAGGTGCACAAACACATACTCCAAAACCGTCGTGTCTGATTATTAACGAATAGCGAAAACTGATCCCCGTTACTTTATTTTATACTACCTGAATAGCAACCCTGTATCGCTTCTTCCAGTGCTCCTATGTACCTATCAGGAATATCTCAGGTATGATCCTCAGTACTTTTATATGGGTCTCGACCCTTACCACCAACAACGATTACTATTGCCTCTTTTTAGATGTCAGAAGAACAAATCCAACAATACCAACTTCAAATTCAACAATTCATGGCGCATCTAACACGAACCCAGCAACAAGAACTACCACAGCAACAGCAGCGTGAATCACGTAAGGCTAACATTTTTCTTTGACCGCTCACGTAAAAATTCCCTTTAACATCTTTTCTTGTCTGTTTTCTTTTATATTATAAAAATATTATTAACCGTCCCATCAGCAGCAGCGACAGGAGAGGACAATAAAAATACGTCACAGCCCTAAGGAAGGACGAAAAAGAAGGGAGAGTCATTAGCAGCTTTCTTTTTATCTTTTTGCTGTAAAGTAGCAAGACGAATCAATATCTAGCAGTAGTATCACCAACAGAAACTGTTGTATCTGAAACAAAAGGTTTTGCAAGACTATCATTTTTGCAAGATATTTGTCGATCGGGGTTGGTATTGATAATTCCACACCACTGCTTGTTCATCCATGCTCATAATCCTCTGATAGGACTTGTTTGTGGTAAGCTGACAACAAGGCGTTTCTTCCAAAAGATTAGCCTTTATGATTAGGCTTCGCTATGTATATATATATATGCCTGACACGTCTATAATTACTGGTATCTCTAATAGAGTTTTCTTTTTCGTTCTTGCGCTGGGATAAGAGATAACAGAAAACAGAAAACAGACATCTATAAATGTGATTAGATTGTTATTCTTATGCAGGCTCATACACCTGTCAAGTACAGTACAGAGAAAATCGTTGCCGTTCGTTCGCGAATCGTAACACAACACATAAGAACTAAATGGAATTTACTGTGAAGCTTAATAACGCACATGTGATTACTAAAGTAGCCATGTGCTATTATAAAGATAAACGAGCAAAGAAGTATATATAAGCCGTTCTTGCTATGTAATGATTTTACTAACATGCGTATACTCCACATTGATTTGCACATGTGTATTGTAGACCATGCGTACAAATGGCTAACTAGATATGTCTAGCAAGTAATTTGATACATTAGATCTACTAGCTAATTTATCTTACAACGTCATGTACGCTCTACATGTACAGTATCGTAGATTCTGATACGTTAATATCCTCTCACTTTGTGAGGATTCAGCAAATAGGTTTATGCATCCCAAATGAACGACCGATATTGTAGAAGTATAAATGTAGATCCACATATTCCACCATACATTACCTTTTACATCAGGATTGATTTGGGTGTAGGGGCTAACTATATTGGTGTCCGGCAAGACTAAAGTCCATCCAACACACGACTTTGATAAGTAGATAGCGTATACAATGTAGAAAAGATAAGATCAAACAACAGCAAATAAAAGAGAAAGAGACAGTAAGGCAAAAAAAGGTATTAACAAGCTGGACGAAAGAAGACGCATACAAAGGAAAGAGCAAAAGACGAAAGAGATAAGAGTGTGAGAGTGAGATATATATAATGTGTGAGAGAGAGAGAGTAGTTTCAATAATGAACTAGTTTACAAATAAACAGTAAATAAGAGGCGGAAACTTTCTGGGTGCGTATATGGTTATCGTGGGGGGGGAGGGGGGGTGTGACAAGGAGGAGGGGAGAAGTGGGACAGGACAAAAAGATAGTAATAATAATACCATTAATATCATTATATTATTATTACTATTATTAATTATATTTTTACTCCAAAGTTCCATTGTCCAACCGATCCATCCATTCGCTAGGTATCACAGGCGTAACAAGTCGCTCCCTGTCTCGTTTGGATTCTTCATCCGATGCCCAGCCAGTAAAGCTGACCATGTGTGCTGTCGTAGGAACAGAGAAGGGGAGCATGAACTTGGGATCTCTCGTTTCTTTAATTTCCTTGTCTTCATCGTCGTCCAATTTAAGTGGTTCCTCTGTCAATGCCTCAAGTTGCTGCTGCTGTTGTTCTTCTGTTGAAGTTTTAGCAGGCGTTGTTGCAGCGGTGCTAGCAGCCGTAGTAGCAGCACTAGTCTCAGCAGTTGTTGATGAGTTACTGCTTGTGGTATTGTTGGGATCCTCTTCTGTGGTTGGAGACGAGGGCAGCGTGGGTGGCAAGGATGCAGATGCGGTGATGCCTACACTCGACATGAGCGATCCGACAAAACTCGAAACACTGTCGCGTCTAGACCGAGTTCGTCGTAAAGACACGCTTTGCGTACGTGACATGCTTCCTCCTGCTGCTGCTGTTGTTGTAGACTTGTTATTACGACTCTGGCTTCGTGCTTGTTTGTATCGCACAGTATCTTCAGCCAACTGCATGGCATACTTTTCAATCTCATCCGGCAATCGCTGTTCATTCACCTCGTAACGATAACTGGTGACACACCGTTTGACTTGTAATGCATTCAGCGAGTCGAATTTCTTGACTGTCTGGATGAATCCAACAAGATCCTGCAGCTGAGTCAGGCACTGCAGGAGCTGCAGGAGCTGCGTGGTTGGGTCAAAATATGTGACAAGACTATGCGGCAAGTTGCTCTGGCCGATCCAGTCTTCGATATGCGACATGTTCATCCTGATTTGCAACGCCTTGGATCTGCACAACAGCTTTTTGTTGCTCAGGATCCGATTGAACATTTCGCAAGAAATGTAGTGGAAGAATTGCGCAAGCGCTTGGATGATGATGGTCGGGTGCACGTCGTAGGATTGGAGGACATAGAGTGTGGATGTCAATAGACTGGTTACGGATTGTGGCGAAATAGCAAGTCCTGAACATGCACCGTTACTATTGTTGTTGCTGCTGCTGCTGCTGCTGCTGGTGTTGCTCACTGGCGTGCTCATGTTGCGCTTCATTTGCACAGCAAGTCCACCGTCAGGAGGCACAATCACAGATCGTCGTGTGCTGCGTCGGAAGAACCGTTGCCAATCATCTGCAAAGTTGACGTCTTCCATGCCAGGGATCTGCTCGTGGTCAAGCATGGCTGGAACAAGAATCTTGGTGAGTCGTCGTTCTGTGTCGTTGATGATCATGGTATAGATTTCGGATATCAATTCGGAAATACGCAGCTGATGCTCGGCGGTCGCAACAACCAGCCCAGTATCCTTTTTCAAATAGTACAAGAGTTGTGTGGCATTGGTGATCCAGAACGCAAGTACATGTACGTTACGTGCATTGGTCTAGAAAAAAAGAACCCGGAAAACAAGGCAGGCACTTGATATTTTAGAAAACAGAAGAGAAAGAACAAACCCTGATACCCTGAAAAAAAACCACTCGCATAAGAAGTATAACCCCCTTTTGTATTACTTACCTTGATCTCGTTGCCAATACGGCTCATGGCGCCTTCAAGAACCTCCTGAAGTAGCTCATCACTGGAGAAATAATGTGCGAATCGAGCACTTAGGAAGATAACATTGGCCGGTACACAGATCTCTTGATGCGTGCGGACAGGAAGCTGGATATTAGTAATGATGGCATCCAGAATGTACTGCAGATTGTCGGCGCCAAAGACAAACATTTGATCTGGAAGACATTTGTCCCAATGGAACTCATGCGTCATATCATCGTCATCGTCGTCTTGGTCATCGTCATCATCTCCATAATCCCCATTATCCTCATTGTTATCAAAGTCTTGATCGTCATCGTCGTTATCGACATTGGTATCGTCAACATTACCACCTGCTAACGCCATAGCAGTTTCTAACAGTTTACGACGGCGATCGGCTTCTTCGGCCATAAAGTTATCGTAGCCTTCCAGTGTGGATTGATAATAAAAGTCATAGTCGCCAGCGTTCGACGACGACGAAGACAAACTGCCAGCATTACGGCCCATGATGCTGGATGTTGATGAGATACTGTCACGAGGATTGGTGGCCAAAATTTCGACGATCTTTTGGTTATCGGTATTGACGAAATCAAATACCGTGCGGCCCTTTGCCGATTTGGTATGGGATGAAGCACCGCTTTCCAAGAGAACCTTGACGATTGCTTCATGGCTATTGTTGGTAGCCCACATGAGCGCTGACCAGCCATCTAGTGTGTATCATATTGAAGCATCGAGCGATCAATTGGTAGGATTGATAGAAAGAAAAGAAAACCAAGAAAAAGAGAGAGAAGGGGAGGGGTGGATAGAGATAGAGAGAATTCCATCATCGGTGAAATCAGAATAAAATCTCCTTTTTTTAATTTGATTATTTTAAAAAACCCCAATAAATCCTTGTCATACTTACAGGAATCCTGGACATCGGTCTTTGCACCCGCTTCGAGTAGTGCCTGGGCAATGTCCATTTTACCAAAGCATGCTGCATAGATCAAGGGTGTAGTGCCGTCTTCGTCTCGAGCATCAATGTCAATATACGACCGATAATCTTTCAATAACGAGGTGACTTTTTGCAAGTCGCCCGACGAAGCTGCACGACAAAAGAGCTGCGTCACTTTATGTTTTTTGGTCTTGTCGTCCAATTCCGGATGCTGAACAATATCAGTTTCATTGTCTAATTCCGTTGTCGTGGTTGTTGCGGCATTGGCTGTAGTAAAGGCGTTGTGATGATGGTCGTTATCATCATCGTCGTCAGTTGAAGAAAGTGAGGAAGAGGGCGACTCGGGGTTACTCATGGAGGAGGTTTTACCGAGCATGGCAGAGAGTTGCTTGTAGTTTTCGGCCATGCGTTGAGAGAGGTCATCATAGGTCATATTTTCATAATGTTGTCGAACAGCATCTGGTTCAAGTTGTTGTTGTTGTTGCTGTTCGTCGTCTTCGTCGCGTTCTTTGATCATATGAAGACCACCCATGGTCGGCTCGGGTACGGTCGTCGTTGCTGTAGTAGTAGTAGCAGTAGTGGTGGTGGTAATAGGCGTAGGTGCAGTTGCGGTGGGAGTAGGCTTATGGTGCAGGGGCATATCGAGGACGTGGTCTGCCTCGGAATTGTTGGGTGGTGGCAAGACTGAAGTTCCTGTCATCAGTCCCAAGAACTAAGATTGAAGAAAGGAGGTCAAAGAAGAAAATACACAGAGGGCGGAACTGGTAACTGTTTGTGAAGAATCGTTCGCAAAGAAGAAAAAGAAAAAAAGAAAAAGAGAGCAGGATCCTGCCCACAACATATATGGCAAATACGCTGATTCGAGATCCGCCCTTAGGAGCCCTCTATCGCTCTTACTCACTTACCCGCGCGCGCCGACAACCCTTGCTTTCCCTGCGCCCGAGAGACAGACAGAGAAAAAGAGAAACTAGAACTTTAACCTTCTTCGGCGGTTAAGGAGGTGTGGATGAGGCGATAAGATTGTCATTAGGGTTATGGGCGAATTGGATTACTTAGAAAAAGCACCGGGAGAGGATTATTGTATTCGATGTGAGGTGGAAAATAAAAACTCAACAACGTTTAGGAATACGTTCCACCAAGATGAACACTATCTCTTTTCTTGTGCTCATTTGTAATAGACTTACTGTGGTTGTTACTGAGAGTACTTTTTGGCCGTACTACTTACTACGTATTACTATGTCGCCAACCCAGTATCTAGTTGTCAGGGCGGTGGACTTGTTCCTGGGGGGGATTCGCTTACACACCAGGGATTTTTCAAATTTTTCAGGAACGAACATAACAGATTGTGCTATGTGTGCTGTGATTGTTGCCGATATATACGCTTGCTACGTATATTCACCACGTGCAGTTTAGGTTCCTGAAACTTTCTTTTCCAGCACTGTAATAAGCATTCGCGCTACTGAGTAGAGTAGCTAGATGGCTAGCTAGCTAGCTGCTAGTGATAGCTACACAGACTGATTTTGATCATTTGGCACCTCTAGTGATGTGTGTGCCTTCTACAATGGCTCCAAATGGCCCCCAATTACTTGATTCTGCATAAACACGATAACAACAACAACAACTTATGACAGATATGACATAGATTGCTCATTTTCCTAAAGCAGCTTTGTTAGTGTTTATCCAGATGCATGTCCGTTTGTGCAGGTGACACACAACACGCATATACTGTATACAACACACTGACTTGTACAAAAGAGAGAGAGAAATGTATGTGCGTGCTCGCCCTGCTGCTTTTTCAACCTTTTTGGTCTTCCGCCTCTCCGCTCTCGCTGGTTTTGCCTTTTCTCTTTTTCCTTTTTCCTTCTGGTGGTAAGGAAAATGTCAACGACAATTGTCGAGTTTTGTACACCACCTGTGCCCGGCGAACGACACAAATATTATGGCGATGCCCACAACAAGTTTATCAAACTACCTCAACTAGCCACTACTGCCACTACGAAAACCACTGTGGAGTCTTCGCCTGTAGTAGTTTCCGGGACAACAACAACGACTACAACAACAGCGCAACTACAGCAACAGAAACGAACAGTCGCGCCCTCAACGCTTATGAAAGAAGTAGAACAGCATCGCACGCTGCATTCGCTGGCTTCCTCGGGCAGTCTCCCCTTGTTTAAACGATTGTTATTGCATTTACCTGATCCGCTCAAAGCCGTCAATGACCCTCATCCTTCGACGGGTCTAACACCCATCCACTTTGCCGCGTCGCGAGGTCATGTCGAAATCGTGCGTTGTCTAGTAGAAGACTACCACGTCTCGGTCGATTCCAGAGATAAAGAAGGCGAGGTAATTAAGCACTCTTGCTTTTTTGATGTAACTCGTTTCTCTCTTCTTACTAAAAAATGGGAAAATGGGTCGTTATCAGACGCCGTTGTTGAAAGCATCGTATGCAGGCCATTATCACGTGGTGCAATATTTGCTTTCGAAAAAGGCAAACATACATCAGAAGGATAAGGATGGATGGACGGCATTGCATAACGCGTGTTCGCGTGGGTATTTGCCTGTGGCAAGGTTATTGTTGGAACGTGGTGCACACGTCAATGCTCAGAATAAAATGGGTCATACGCCACTTAGTAAGTCTATTCTCGAAAATCCTCTGTCACACTATACATATGTCTATGGAAAAACGTTAACGGCTTTTCAAATGATCAAGTCAACGCTGCGTCCAAGGGATACATGTCGATTGTGGAGTATCTATTAGAGGAAGCAAACGCGAATCCGTTAATCAAAAACAACTTTGAGGAAGCTGCATATGATGTGAGTGCAGCATCGGGTGAAGCAGGCGAGGCGTATATTTGTGAAATGCTCGAACGTGCAGGAACCAAGTGGTGGCATCAGCGACATACAGAAGGTACTATAGGGCAGTCATAGGTAGGGGGAGGGAAGAACAACCAAAGATAAAAACTAAAGGGTACGTATTATTATCAGGCGTGGATTTATCGCCTTACTCGCGAGGCTCTACCTACGATCTGCTGGAATTCCATGTGACCGTCATGGTCATTCTTCACGAAAACCAACGATCGACATCGATTTTGGGCCTATCACGACCTCAATTCAGTCCAAATGCACTCACTAAACACGACACACGTGGCCCATGGTCACTGCATCCATCGGGCATACCCTCCGATAAGGAAAGGGTCGAACTACCCCAGATCGACCAGACACGTCCAGAGGCAGGAACCAATTGGTTCTGGTTGACAGAGTGGCAGATTGACTACAGTGATCCGCGTGTAGATCCAACGTCGGGTTGGCAGTATGCTCGATCATTTGACGAGCGAGATGAAGGATGGACCCCTGTGGCTCCAACAGCGGGATATGGATGGGTCCGTCGCAGAAGATGGGTGCGTGTCATGAAGCGACGCATGGATTTAACCAAGGGAAGTCATCGAGGCGAGGATGAGTCGGTGGCTACACCACAACAGAAGGATTATTTGGCTCAAGCTGATGAGCTTGTGCAGCATGCCAAGGACTCAACGGACGTTGACACTACCGGGGATCCGACAACGCAGATGTTGCGTCAACTTACGCATGAACTGCGCGTATATGAAGAGGCTGTGCAACTGTTATTAGCTGGCATCAAAAGTGAGTGAGCACCAATGCTCTTTTATTCTGTATGCAAGGGGTGGGGGAAGAGGGGATATGTGGGGTTGAAATTGAAAACTTACACTTACACAAAAAAAACGCCTCCCCGCGTTACAATTAGCTGACACGAACCAGTATCGAAAACACGAAGCATCCATCCTGGTCAAATCACATACGGGACATGTTGAACAGCTCAATGCACGGATCACAGCGCTCGGATCAAAGCTGTCGACTCCGGTTGGCCCTGTCCAACACAACGCGGAATTGGCCCGAGAATTAGGCTTTACAACAAACGAAGACAACACGACAGAAACGCCTTCAGCACAACTACGGCAACACCAGCATCACCACCAACAACAACAGCGTGACATGATTGGTTACATTGATGAAACGGGTCCTGGGGCTGCTGATTTTGACTCGAACCCATGGAGCCGCGACAGTGCGACTCAACAACACCAGCAGCAACAGAAGCAGCAACATTTGCAGGAGCCAGCCTGGTTACAGCCGCATAATGAAAGCTCAAGTACATTGAACCATGTGGATCTCATGGGTCATGACGCAGTACTGGACTTAGGACCATCAGCAGCGGCTTTGGAGACTGCGGTTGACGATAACAGTGGACCGCGACAGTTTACGTGGGAATCGGATACAGAAGCAAGGGAGTGCCGTCGATGCGCTCGCCGGTTTGGAATCTTGGTGAGACGGCACCATTGTCGCCGCTGTGGCTTGATTGTGTGCGACAAGTGCTCGAGCTCGCGCACGTATCTTTCGCCATCCGAGATCGTCCAAGACCCCAATGGTCCCTTTGAGTCGTTTCAAGTGCTGGCGTCGCACCATCAGAGAGTGTGCGACAAGTGCTATGCGGATCTGGGTACCGAAGGCAGGGTGTAAAAAGCATCTTATTACATATATACTTATTGACGATACCTCTTTCTCTCTCTCTATACTGTATACACATCTTCTTCGAAAGCATGATGCTTACTGCATTGCGACAAAGCAAAAGCCCTTCCTTTCCATTTCATTTCACTCTTGATTTCTTGTATACCACTCTTTCTATTTTCCCCCGAAAACTTTTTGTATGCGTTTGTTCTACATAGTAGTATCATATATCAATGCGTGCGTTCACCTCGCAGCAATATCAACACTCTGCTTTCGCCGGTTGTGTTACACACGACACGCACATAACAACAAAAACAACAACAACAGAGACAACATGATGACTTGATTTTAGCCCATTTTTACTTTCAGGGCGAACAAACAATTACCAAATTTGGCTGCATTGTTTTTGCATATTCCTCTTTAAATCAGAGAATCACATCCTCCCTTCCTTTAGATCGTTCTTCTTTCCTTGCTTTTCTTTTTTCTCTAACCAATGTTGACCACGGCAATGCCAGCAACAACGTTTCAGCAGCAGCAGCAAAGCAGCAATCATCATCGCTCGTCATCGACATATTTGCCTCCACGCGCTCCTGTCGTTAAGCGCATGGTGACAGTACAGGATGTCTCTATTCAAGAAGAGCCTATGCAAGGCTTATTGATTATTCAAAGCGATAGTGAGAATGATGATGATGATGACGATGACAGCTATTCCATGAGAACATCACCATCACCACCGGCCACACCAGCGACAACCGAAGAATCGTATGATACCATATCAAATCAAGACGCTGATGATCCGCCACCAACACAAGCACCAGGCATTGATGATGATCCTACTACGATCGTCAAGAGCAGAAAACCTTTGCCTCAAATTCCTTCTTCTTTTGATCTTCAACAAGAAGGAGAGTTGCTGCTTGTTTCTACACATTTGGAGACGATTCAAGAGTCACTGGATAGTACCATTGAAGACGACGACGACGCCATGTCCCGTAGTTATCAGATTCCATCTGTCATGCAGCAGGAAGATCATCGCGTGCAGGAAGAAAAGACAAGTGTAGAGCCAGATTTACCTTTGCTCACTCCTCCTAGTGCTTATAACTTGGGTTCCATTCAGAATGAAGATCAACAACAACAACAACAACAGCCCCTTACGGATAGCAACAACGCTGATACCGATGCCTCGAACCATGAACAACATATGCATCAGCAGCCGACTAGATCTCTTGCAACCTTGGTTGCCCGGCCGTTGATGTCGAAAGCACCGAGTGTGGAATCATTGTCAGCAGTGGGGGCTCAAAAACCATTTGAGCCGTTTACTACTACTTTTGCTACTAAGGTCCCGGCTACCACTGCCATGATGGCCAGCAGTCATCAGATGCAATCGCCACATACGCCAGAAGAAAGCAAGCCAGCAACTATATGGTCCGTAGACACAGTCTTACACACTAACGACAACGATAATGACAATGACGATGTGGACGACAAACTTTCTCAGGCAACCTCGACTATTTCGTCAATGAATGACGGTGCATCAGCCTTATTTGGATTGCGAAGACGCGTATCCAAAGAAGAATTGCCTGATCAACCACAACAACAGCAAACTTTGACTGTTCAAACTACAGTGACCGCACTTGCCTCATCATCAGCATCTTTATGCAGCCGCTGCAGCTCATCCGTCGGCAGTGGACCTTCATCTGCAACATCCATCATCTCGAATCAAGAACAACAGCTGCGTGCGCTTGCTCAACCACGACTCGCTCGACCTGCATCTGTGATGTCCTTTTCTCCGCGCCCTAGTAGCATGTATGGCGGAGGTGGCGGCAACAACAACGATAGCCCAACAAACTACCATCATCAGCAACCATTGTCCTTGAACCACCACCACCAACAACAACAACCGCCATTTCCATTCGCATCTCGTGCTGCTGCTACTCCAGTAACAGGAGAACAAGAACAACAACAGCAACAACAAACTCAAGTGCTTCCAGCAGCACCCATGCCGCAGTCGACGAGTAGTAGCACGTCCTCTTTGCTGCACAAGTCGCAGTCATCGCCACAACTGTCGGATCCCCTGGTACCTGTCCCCTGCAGCAAATCAAAACTCAGTATTGCCTCCTTCAGCCTGACACATAACAAGGATGCCATCAAAACATACAGACGAATGGCATCCAAAACGAACAACAAGGCGATCCAGATGACCTATGCCCAATACTTGCTCGATGTGGCCCGACTCTACAGCACAAGCAATAGCAGCAATAAGAACACTCATGAAAATTATAAAACACGCGAAACGCTGCTTTCGGAAGCAGGCTATTGGATTGAACGTTTAGCTAAAGCAGGTCATCCAGAAGCGCTTTATTTGAAGGGCAAGTGGCATTGGCATCCAGAGCAAGAGGAATGTGCTGAAGCATATCGATCTAAACCACAGCCGCTCAAGGCTTACAAGTGCTTCCAAGCTGCTGCAAAGACTGGGTCGGTGGATGCGTATTATGAACTAGCTCGTTATCAAAAGACACATGGTGAATATTCGCGGGCAGTTTCTTGTTATCAAAAGGCTGCAACCAAAGGTCACACACTCGCTACCTATGTAAGTTTTTTTTTTCTTTCGCTCCGAGTAGTTGTATCAGGTGTATATCTAGAGATAAGGGTGCTAAATGTGTCCTATTCATACTTAGAAAATGGCCAAGATTTTGTTACGTGGGCAACTGCAGCAAAAGCGAAACATCAGATCGGGTTTGGAATATTTGAAGAAGGCAGCGGATGCATCCGGTCCTGAAAGCGCTGAACCAGCATACGTTCTAAGCTGTGTCTATTCAGATGAGCTAGAACGCATTGGTATCGCTCGGTAAGCTTCATTCTATTCCGTTGTGTAGAATAGAGTACGTGCAAATGGTATACTATTTTCAAAAGGCCAAATTATTCATGATGATGTGGATGAATAATAGAGACTCGCAAATGTCACGCAAAGATATACCTTTGGCTATGCATTATTTACAAAAGGCAACGCAAGCTGGATTACCAATGGCCGTACACCAAATGGGCAATGTGCACGAATATGGGCTATTGGGCCAACCACAAGACCCATGGCAAGGTTTTGCTTGTTACACACGCGCTGCTGAAGATGGATACGAAGGAGCCATGCTGGACTTGTCAAGGTTATATGCACAAGGTATCCCGGGCTATTTAATGCCACAGCATCAAGTCGCATTCAAATGGTGTCATCGGGCCGCTTCGAAAGGATTAGAACAAGCCGAATATGTATTAGGGTACAGTACACTTGAATATTATACTTACTAGCACATACTAGTGGGGGTGAGGAGGAAGGCACTCACAATGTCGTCCCTGGAAAAAAAAATGTCTAACAACAGCAAAAAAACAATTGCAGAACTTATTATGAAGATGGTATCGGCACAGCACCCGACTACAATCGTGGTCTGGAGTGGTTCAGCAAGGCTGCATCCAAGGGGTATGCACCTGCTGCTGAAAAACTCAATTTGCCCAAGAATGCATTTCCCGCCCAGCCTCAACAGCAGCAGCACCGACAACACATATTGCAGGAGGACCCAGAAGAAGACAAGACGCTATCGCGGTTAACGTCTTTACGTAGAAAGGCGACCTTTGAGCTGGTCCATCAAACTGCAGCAGTAACAACAGCAAGAGCCGCAGAACATGCTGTGCTAAATGTTCGCAATAATGGTAGAGTTGGTAGCGATAGCAATGCTGCTGCTTCCAATCCCTCCCAAGCGAACTGTTTTGTCATGTAGACAGTATATACTTTCGCTTTGTTTTTATATAATAACTATATCATATCCTCCGTATATATAACCATACATAATCTTTTTATTCATAACATTCTTCCCTTCTCTCTCCACCCCCACCCCACCCTTTCAGTCACTGTTAATGTTGTTAAATATATATTTCTTTTATTTAATTCAGATTTGGTGTATAAACTTGATCTTAAGATACCTCGCTTTACCTGGCTATCGAATTGTAACACACCGTCACGGTTAAACAAACAATACACCACTGCATATATAAAGAAATGGCAGATTGTTTTTTTCAGAATACATGGTGGAAAATGCAAATTTTTTAATATTATAACGATAATGAGATTTTTTAAATATGAATGAATGAGAGAGAGAGAGAGAGAGAGAGAAAAGAACGATTATTTCTTCTTTGATTTGGTAACCTTGCCGCCGTAGCCAAATGCAGCACCTTCGAAGCCATGACGGGCCTTCTTCTTCTTTCCACTATCTTTACCACCCTTTCCACCATCTTTGCCACCCTTTCCACCTTTCTTATTTTTCCAATTTTCACCGGTCTTTTTGCCCTTGGTATGGTTGCGGATGTTTTCTTCGCGCTTCTTGATCTTGGTCTGCTCATCTGCTTTAACCTTTTCTAAACGCTTTCTCCAATCCTCGCCACTCTTCTTCTTGAATTGCTCCTTGTTCTTGATTGTCTTTCTCAATAACTTTGTGTCGTCCTTGATCTTTTCACCAGTTGCCAAAGCCAATGCCTTGTCCCATTGTTCTTTTTCTTCGAGTTGCAAAGCCTGACAAACAGTAACAATGATCATTTAGTAAATGTATACACAATATCCGTTTCGTAATTTTGATATACCTTTTGCTTATCTTCCTTGCGCAATTGTTCAAGCTTCTCCTTCTTGGACTCGATCTTCTTCAATTGCTGCTTGGCATCAACAGGACCCTTCTTCTTTTTGTTTTCCTGGCCAAGGGCTACCTTGCCAAAATACAGGTCGCCGTCCATCTTGACCGAATCAGCAGCAGATCGTTCAGTCTGGTTGTTGGCCTTGACAAGCTCTTCAGCAGGAGCCTGCATGCCACCTTTCTTTTCTTTCCGTGCCTTTTGTGCCTTTTTTCTGTCCTCTCGCTTCTTGGCACGTTGTTTAAGGATCTCTTCTCGGTTTTTCGCATTGGGACTATTACGTTTTTGTCGCATCTCGGCAATACGTTGTTGGAGACGGCTGTGAAGGGCGGCAATATCACCTCGTACCATAGGTTGTAAGGGAGCTGCTGCTGCTGCTGCTGCTTCTTTGTTTTCCAGTCCGCTAAAATCACCTTTTGCGATACTGCTACTGCTGGTAGCATCGTCGTCTACGTCGTCTACGTCGTCGTCTTCATCATCATCATCATGGACCTCGTCTTCGTCATCATCGTCTAATTCGTCGCCATCGTCATCGTCGTTGTTGTTTTGTTTCATCTCTTCTTTTTCTTTAGCAGCCTTTTCGGCTTGTTCTGTTTGAAGTTCTGCTATTGACTTTTCATTCTCGGGATCAAGCTGGTATTTTTTGGACAGAAAATTTCTTAGCCCATTGTGTTGAAATATCATCAATTATGTAAGTCTCTTTAAATCTTTGTAGTGGTTTACCTTGGCTTTGCGTGCTTTTTTGGATCGTTCTTTTATTTCTTGCTTTGGTGCCTTGAGTTTCCGTTTGTTGTGCATATATTGGTTATTGTTCTATAGACACACCGTTTAGTAAGAGTGTATTCGAGTGCCACTGTTTTCTGTTTAAAAAAGACAATTTATCCCTTCCATTTTACTAGATTGGAGATAAATTTAACGTACAAACTCAGGCTTTTGTGCAATGTAATATTTGGCGGGTATCAGGTGAAGCATGTCGTTAAAAAGTTTTTCATGTTGTGCCATGCGCTCCTATGATAATAAGATGTCAGATCTCGTTTGCGTAATGCTGTGTTTCTATGAGTTTGCATAGCATTGAATATGAGGATCTAGGAACATACTGGCAGCGATTCGAGTTGGTCAAGCTGAACCATGGTTTTTGTTTTTTTTTGACAGGAATGAACTGCGGAGGGAGGAGGGGTGGAGTGGAAGCTATTTTTTTTGTAAGAAAAAAAATTATTTTGAGATGCTTTAACGCCTCGAAATAGAAACGCCGTCACGCATTCTCTGGATTTGCATTTGTTGCTATGGTAACTCGCTTCTCGTCGAGCCACCATAGAATAACTCTAATTATTATGTTCTATAGAGTCTATAGAATTGATAAACATCGATGCAAAGGTACAGTAGCCGCTAGCATTGTCAAAAAAAGGTTGCGCTCAACTGTATATATATACCATACGTCAATGTAGACCCCTCAACAAAAGCATGACAAAATTATGTCCACATTTGAGAACAGTTGCATATTTTGAGGGACGGAAAAGTTATTACTGAATTTTTATGGTAGTTGAAAACAAAGCAAACATCATCGCAGTTGTCGCCTTCTATACTATTATTACTAAATCTAGTTTTCCAAAGTGAACGAAAGGCCGAGCTTGTGGGCGTTTTCGTTGAGACGGGTGGTGTCGATGGAGGCACCGAGGTTGACCTTGACACCGGGACGGAGGGCCTGGGTGTAACTATAAGATTGGGGGATATTTAGTATTATACTCTCTCTATCTATCTCTCTTTGTAGTCCTCACACCCAAGAAACACTTACGCAACACCGAGGACACCAGAGTTGGCGATCTTGCCCTTGACGAAAGCAGACTTGTCGAGCTTGAGCTTGGCACCGACCTCGAGGGCAACGGCGTTGTTGCCCGAGGCATCCCACGAAGCCTTACCAGAGGCCTCAAGGTCGCTGTTGACCTTGTGGTAGTAGGAAGCAGCATAGCTGTTCAAGTTGTTGGTGACGTGGACGGCGACGGCGTACTCAGCAGCAGAGTAACCGAAAGCAGCGTTATAACGGCTGATCTGTGTAATGCATCAGCATCAAAAACAATCATGGATCAGTTCCACATATCCATGCATATATTCTCCAGTCCTCCCCTTTTTCCCCTTTTTCATAATATAGATAGTATTCCCCTGTTCTTTACCTTGCCATCGACAACGTTGTAGGAGACTTCACTACCAGCAAGGAAACCTTGACGGCCAACAACAGAGTTGACGCTGAAGTTGGTCTAAACACAAAAAAACCGAACATTTAGTTCCTTTTTGCCCTAATCCTTCCTTTTGTTCGTTCCTTCGTTCTTTCCTTAACAGTCTAGGGAGAAAGAAAGAGAGAGAATGAGATAAAACGCTTACCTTGAAGACATCGAAAGTGGCAACGGTGTGGACGTTGGGCTGCTTGTAGGTAGCGTTGATCTTGGCACCCTTCTCGTTAACGGAGGGAAGGAGCGAGGTCAACAACTCGAGCTTAAGGCCCTCTGTAATAACACAACATTTGAGTTAGCCATACATTATGGGATAAATGCAACACACACACACACACACACTAGAGAAACACAATATTATACAGTATATACGTACTGGCCAAGTTGTTCTCGAGCTCGATCTTGCCGTTCAAGTGGTTGGAGGTGGTCCAGGCTTCAGTGAAGGTGACGCCCTTGGCCTTGTCGGCGTACTTGGTCTCAAGGTCACCAACAATGATACCGGTCTTGTTGTCACGCTGACCGTTGACCTTGAAGGTCTAATAGAGCACATGCACCAAAATTACAAAACCATGTCCTTTTTGTAAGTAATTCTACTCTTGTTTGCATGTATACACTATATACACCCCTTTTGTTCTAAACTTACCACACCGTTGGGGGCGGTGGTCTTGACCTCAAGCTTAACACCACCAATGGGGTAGTCCTTGGACAAAAGATCCTTGGCGGGCTTACCAATATCGTTGAAGGCGACTATAACAAATAATACATACACATATGTGAGTAACGCGTGTTTTTCCTTAACTCGAAACCCGCAATGGCACAAGATGATTGAAAAAAGAAGAAAAACGTACCAGGGACAGACATGCTGAGACATGATGGATCAAAAAATAGATCGTGGATAAGTATATACAACAAATATCTAAACAATAAAGTGCAAACACCCGTGGTATTTTTTTACCTTATTATTCGTTTTTGGGGTTAAAGTAAGGGAAAAAAGAACAGTGAGGAAAACAGTATATTTTGTTTTTTGTACTGCACAGTTGCTGGGGTTCTGAGAATCAATTACAGCCCTTACCCGGGGCCCTGTTAGCGGGCGTTTGCTGATCACGTCGTTTGTTCAACTCCACGAAACGCGCGATTCGGTGCTCCAATGATGTTTCAACTTTGATCTATGCTAAGTTTCCCTCTTCTGCGCCAGCCAATAACCGTATTAGATATCAGTATAACTTTCCTTTGTAAATAATGTAAGAGATATATAATGAGCTGTGATTGACAAGGAGAGAAAGAGTATGTCATGTATTATGTGTACACATACATCGCCATTAAGCTTCTTTTGTGGTGCTGCTACAATGTATAGTATACGATAGTAAGAGACTTTTTGGAATTTATTGATCTATTACTTGCAGCAGCAGTAAACAGAGATTGAGTGGTTGTAATACTGATCTGACTACAGCAGAATGATCGACAATATAACCGTATTTGATATGGCGGGGAAAAAACGGTCTTGTTGCGTACCTGATGTTGAACCTTTTCGAAAAAAAAAACCATTGTACATTTTAGTACTGCTTGGTAGTAGTATAGTATATGTATCCCAAAAAATTCGGAGACGGTATAACTTGTTTTTCGATGCTCTTCATTTCGTCACTGTAACGGCAACGCGTGATTAGAAGTATTCAGTCTGATGCCCCTCTACAACCACGCACTTGGGCATGAACACCTTTTCTCGCGAGCATATCTATGTGATACGGCTAAGAATAATGTTTGTTTCATACTAGACTGGAACTGTAAACACAGCGGTAATTTAGTCAGATATATGATCCATGAAGTGAAATTTAAGTTTGAGGATGGGGAGGAAGACACAATAATCGTCATTATGAAAGCTTTTGTACAACTTTCGGAGATTCGGTTGAATGTGATATCTGTGGTTGAATTCGGCTATATACCAGTTGATTCCAAGCGTTAACAATTAAGAGGACCTCAAAGCTCATCCAACTTGGCTAAAACACCCTGTGCGCCACTCTGTAATTAAACCGCACTGATACATTAAAGATAAACGCATTATACATGAGCAGCATGATCAACTTGTATGGTTGTGAACGAGTGCTCGAGATCATTCACTGATAACGATACAAGTCTTGTCTCCGACCATACTGTATATTAAGCGTAGTTTGACAAAACAGCGAGGCTCAAAAGGCTTTAAAACAGAACATAAGGATACGACATGTAGAGAATAGAGCCACATTATCCATAAACTATTGTAAGGAGCATCGATATTTCGTTGAAGCTCGACGAAAGTTACGTTTTTTTCAAGTGCTCTTTGAGGAGCCCCCATGTGAAATGACCTGCGACATAGAGGTTCAACTATCTCTTTTAGCTCAGTATCCTAGGATTGAAATTTGAAGCGCTTTCGAAGGGACACACAGGATCTCTTTCAAGCATGATCCGGTTCTCATCAAGAACATTTCAGGTCTGCCTGTCATTCTTTGGGCTAAATACGATCGGTAATAACCTTTTTGAACTATTAAAAAATACTATGTACGTAAACTTTGCAGAATGTTGGACTTCCTAACAATTTTATCTTTTCACCACGTAGATTTTTGCGCTGGCAATTTATTATAAGGCGCGACAGAGATACATTGACACACAAGCAGCACTACAGTATTGAATTAAGCATTTGATGACTAGTAAGCATATATTATGTATACTCGGAGGCGGCAAATATCTGTGATATGTAATGCCATCTGCATTAATCGTTACCAACTGACTTGGCGTACTTTCTGGAGTATTACTGGCTGGATGTACTTTATGTTATGCATAATGGCATGCGTGCATCATGCATTCAACAATAACAGTCCAGGCTAAAACGACGAGATATTTAAAGAAGAAGAAAAAAGCTATGGTAAACATCTTACTCGTTTGTTTTTGCTCAACTTTAGCACATAAAAATGAGTGTAGATACTGTGTTTCCCTTCGCTTCACGTCGCTCTGTTGTGTATGGAACTAATGGAATGGTTGCAAGCTCGTATGTTTAACATCTCGTTTTAGTTTCTTGACCTGAAATGCGCCATATATATACGGACAACAGCAAGGGAGGAGGGAGTTGGCAAATTTACTAAGAGCATAATACACTGTACTGAAAACATGTTTACTTGTAGTCAGCCGTTAGCAACACAAGCTGGAATTGACATCCTTAAGAAAGGAGGCAACGCAGCGGTAAGTGATAAGGATGTGTATCATACCATCTGTTTTTCGCTTCAATATCACATTCATTCTTGCTTTTAACATGTTGTCATCTTCTCGATTAGGATGCCGCTATTGCAGTTTGTATGTCTTCTTTTTTTCAAAACACACATCTGATCTTTGAACAATTCAGTCACTCACCACGATTCTATCACCATGATTCGATAATTGATAATGAAAGCCGCTGCTTTGGGAGTAACTGGTAATCAAATAAACAATGTGGATGGGCTTGCCTAAAATTAGTTAACAACACTAACCTGACCCATCAATGACAATCCAGAGCCTGCATCGACAGGTATTGGCGGTGATGCAGTTTACATGTTTTATAATGCAAGGACCCGTAAAGTCACTGGAATCAATGGCACAGGAAGGTAATTTCAGCAGGAGTGTATGTGCAAGGAAGGAACTGGATAGAAGAGGAGGACCTTGTATATTAGCGACATAAGCAGTGAGTATAAAATTACTTTGCTGAACGAACCATAATGCACACCTCTACAGAGCTCCTGCAGCAATAACTGCAAAATATTTACGCGAACAAGTTGGGATTGAGCACCCTTCTCTCCCGGAGCATAGTATTCACGCTATCACTGTACCCGGTGCGGCAGCTGCATGGGTAGATACAGTAGAACATCACGGATCTGGTAGACTGGACATGGCCGCAATTCTGGAGTCATCAATCAATTTGGCCGAGAACGGGTAATAAACTCTTCTCTGTGTATCTAGAGAGTACCATCTGCTACATAAAGTTTGCACATTTAAGCTAAATTTTTATTCTGTATACAAAATCAAAGATTCCCTGTATCTTATATTTCAGCAGGAATGGTATATTGAGTTTTTTTGAAAGGAATATTGGAAGAGACTACCAGCCATTTTACGTTATAATACTGATACATTGGCTTTGTTTACAGTGGGAAGTGCAGATAGACATCACAAAGAAAATGAGTGGCCCAGAAAGCCCATTGCTTCTCGATGGCACTCGTGCTCCTGCTGAAGGCGAGTTGATGAGATTTCCTGACCTTGCAGAGTAAGTTGTTATCATTCTTTGATAAACACTCACCATGGTGGTCTTTTATATAGGGCACATAAGTCCTAGAAGAAACCTCATCATTTTGCTAACTTAAAATGTGAAAATACATTTTTAGTACTTACAAAGCTATTGCTGCACAAGGAAAGGATGGGTTTTACAAGGGGCGTATCGCAGATGCTATTGTAAACGCAATCAAATCACGTGGAGGCTTGATGACTCAACAGGATCTCGCTTCACACACATCCGAATTCATCAATGAACCGATTTCAATGGATTATCATGACAAAACAATATGGGAAATGCCACCAAATACACAAGGCATCACCACACTGATTGCGCTTGGGATTATAAAGGCTTTGGAAGAAGAACATGGATTGGAAATTTCCAAACTAGAGCATAACTCGGCAGAGTATCTCCATGTTATTATCGAGGTCATGCGTTTGGCGTTTGCAGATGCTAGGTATTATGTGAGCGATCCTCAGGTGATGGCCGATGCTGTTCCGACCAAAAAATTATTGAGCAAGGCATATCTTTCCGAACGTGCCAGATTGGTGGATATGAAAAAGAGAAATAACACGGTTCAGAAAGGATATCCCGAGCGGAATAGTGATACTGTGTATTTTTCTGTCGTTGACGCAGAGGGAAATGCATGCAGTGCCCTGGTAAGTAGGTATAAAAAATAAGACAATCGTCAACAGATACTAAACATCTATTCACTATATGATGATGCCTGTTTTCTCCTGAACGCCGTTTTATGATCTCTCAAGAACTCGACATTTTCGGTCTTTGGGGTAAGTCTTTTGTTTATGACTGATTCACATACTACGTATCAATGTGTATTTAAATACTAAAACCACTTAAATGTTTTGCGTGTTATAGTCCAAAGTGGTCCCTGACAAATGTGGATTCCCTCTCCACAATCGAGGATGTACATTCGTTCTCGACGAAAGTCTTCCCAATTGTATTGGTCCTCGGAAACGGCCCCATCACACTCTTATTCCATCCATGGTCACTCGAAAAACAACCAATGGCGACCATGAACTTGCAGCATGCCTTGGAAGTAAGAAAACCTCGCACACTTTCAGCCGTCCACGACGTCGTCATCATGCCAAGATATACAATGTATATTTACAATCAGCATATAATATTCTTAATTCTAGTTATGGGCGGCTACGTTCAACCACAGGGTCAACTCCAATTTATCATGAGCTTGATGCATTTTCTTGCCAACCCGCAACATGCTGTTGATGTACCTAGGATTTGCGTTGCTCCGCCGCGAACGAAAGAAAACACGCCCAATTTTGAACTCACGCCTAATGCACGTATCTTTTTGGACCTAACCAGCTCGATTGTGTGTGTTGAGGAAGGCATTCCTCAAAAAGTTATCGACGAATTGGAAGCCATGGGACATGTCTGCGAGGTGATTGGGGGTCATGAACGCGCGTTCTTTGGCCGAGGTCAGATCATCCTAGTTAAAAGAGATCGTAGTACCGGTCAACAGATTCTTGCTGGTGGGAGTGATCCACGCGGCGATGGCCACGCTGTGGGTATATCAGGCTCGGTCTCAAGACCATCAAAGCTTTGACATTGTTGTCTCGTTCTCCTTCACCGCAACCCATTGAAAAGTTATGCAACAATGGCTCAAAAAAACAACACAACAATACAGTTGACATCACAGGTCTTTTCCTTCTTTTCATTGTAATGATTATCAACATCCACCTGCCTCGCTTCGCTCGGCTGAATGAGCCCCTTCGCTGCGCTCCGGGTCATTCAACGGATTGGATGTTTCCTGGGGGTTCCCCCCAGACCCCCAAGGTGGGGGGTTCCCCCCCACACCCCCCTTCTAAACCCTAACCAAAGCTCGCTTCGCGAGCTTACTTACTGCTACGCCTACCTACAACCCGAAACTCGTTCGCTTCGCTCACTGCTACAACTGCTACTACACTAAACCCTACAGAAGTTAAAGATAGCGGACTATAAGTTTTACTAATGGCAGGCATTGTGCGAAAGAAATAAGAAATCTAAAATGATATGTATACAAAAGTGAAAGTATAAGAGCAGGAAAAAGAGTGGGGAGAAAGGGCGAGGTCTAAGATGTAGCAGCAGTAGCATCGTTGTCTGTGTGTGTTTGGGTTTGAGGTGGTGATTGTTGTGGTGGGTGTAAGAGCACTTCGTGGTAAACGATGTTTGTTGTAGCAGGGACATCTGTAGTGGATAATTCTGACATATCGACAGAAATACGCAAATTATCTGGGTTGGTTGCTCGTGAAAGAGCAACATACAATTGACCATGAGCAAACACAGGCTCTTGCAAACGGATGCCAACATGGGTTAATGTCTGTCCTTGTGCTTTATGTATGGTCATGGCGAATGCGGGGCGAACAGGGAATTGGCGTCGGCAAAGGATGAATGGATATTCACCCTCTGTGGTACACATATTAATTCGAGGGAGATAGTGTTCCTCACCGTCGTGGCCTCGATCCATCCTTTTGACAACAATGCAATGATCTTATAGAGCTGTGATGAAAACTTTGGTCCCATTGCAAAGACCTTCATCAGGATTGAGATTTCTCATAAGCACTAATGGCATTCCCACTTTAAGATCAAGAGCATGTTGCGGGATACCACTGGCACTTAAAGAGCGAAGATACTCAGGAGGATAGCTGGCGGCGGCGACGTCTGGATCGTCTGCGTCAATAATACGGTCAGTCGAAAGATACTGCCTGCTCTGGCCAGGAAAAAGCTCAAACGCACAATCATTGATCTCGTCAACGTCAACATTTTTAGCTGCTAAAATAGCACGATTGCTGAATTCTTGAGGTTGTGGATTGGGCTGACGGATCGATGGGTAAATGGCATCAATTAGCGCGACTGGATCTCTTGCATCAATGAGCCATTCTCGCGGTATTTCTATGCTCTCTCTGTGCGGAGGCCGTCCATCACCAATGGCAAGAAGTGTTTCCGCGAACGCTGCAGCAGTTGGACCTGCATTTCGGACACGCATGTTGACTGTAAGGTGCAACACCTGGACATCCGCCCAAAAAGGTGCAGACCGGATGCACTCTCCGGCAACCTCAGATCGTGTGCCTTTTTTGACAACAGGCAGCAGCTGGCGAAAGTCACCGCCAAAAACAACAACCTTTCCACCAAAGGGAACACCCTCGTACACAGGATCGACAGCACCCATGATATCACGTAATGCCTTGTCAACAGCCTGAAAATTGTACTTGCTACACATTACAGCTTCATCCCAAATAACCAAAGATGCTTGTTGTATGAGATGTGCGTGTGGACCACCAAGTCGAAGATTGCAAGTAGTAGTATCGTCTGCATTGATCGGTATTTTAAAACGGCTGTGAGCTGTGCGACCACCGGGAAGCAGAATTGCAGCAATGCCAGAGGAAGCAACAGGCAGTGCAATCTGATCTCGCGAACGAACACGACTTAACAACGTCTTGAACAGCAGTGACTTGCCGGTACCTCCAGGGCCATTGACAAAGAAAAGATGTGGCTGATTTTGGTCACCTGGTTCGTCAACTGCCTGCATTATTGTATTGAATGCATGTCTTTGATTGTCGTTAAGTGTGGGGAACAATTCGTTGTGAATTCGAGTTTGCTCTTCTGTGACATACTCCCCACGTTCGACTGCTTCTAGAGCAGTGAGCTGTGGAAGAGCATCGAGTTCGGTGACAAAGTCTTGCGGTAAAGAAGGAAACTCGGAAAGGCGGTGACCTGTGGATTGTAATCGTGTTTCAATGTCGCCAAGAGTACGCTGGAATACTTGGTCCCATTGATCAGGTACCAACTCGGTCTCATTATTCGGAAGTTGAACGTGCATTTCGAAAAAGTAATCGTCGCTCAATCTTTCGCGATGATTATCCCAGAGTCTGCGTGGATCAGAAGGCGAGCAGTTTGTAAGAATATAGACGAAGAGTTCTCGAAGCGCTGCAGCTGAAGGAGAATGGATAGATGCCTCAGTCATGCAACGATCCCATTCGTCATCGGATTCCAACAAACCATGTGCGAGAGCGGCAGCTTCAAAGGATGGATGCACGACATCATTCAACGTTCTTAACGACTCAAAACTGATAGGACCACGAACAGTAAGCAAGAGCAATCGAAGCGAATACAATGCCATATTAGACGGGGACGCGAAGTAGATGCGAGAAACAACATTTTGAAAAGGTGGACGGGTGCGGCGGTTCCAGGTCTTCGTTCGCTTATCCCAAGTATAATGGCAAGGGATCTCAACGTAAAGATATTGCCGAGCCTCTTCATCTCGAGAACAGAGGTCGAAAAAAGCAGTAAGCTTTGTTCTCGATGCGTTGTTGCGTGCTGCTGCAAGACCTACACGCGAATCGTTTGCGTGGAAAGTGACAGATTGCTGGTCAGGAAGATGCAGTTCTAAGCGGGACACATAAGGATGGTGCATATGGACCTGGTATTCGAAGGTTCGCCAAATTGCCTCGCAAGGACCAATATATCGTGCGTTTTGATATTGCGTCACCTCATCTACTGCCTCGCGCTCAACATTGGCAGCAGTATTGGTATCGGCGCCAACAACAGCAGTAGTGGATCGTACTGCTTCCGGCTGCCCAGCTCTAAGTGTCTCCAACTGCGCCCTGTCTGATCCTTTTGTGATGTACTTGCACAAATACTTGATAGCGCGTGCAGAGGTACAGATCTCAACGTTGATGTGAGCATTGTACTTTTGGCATAGGTACGGGTTATAAGGAACAACATGGGAATTGTCAGCAACAAAGTTGGATCGGTGAAAGTGATGGCGACGTTGAATGTTTTCGCGTCTACGATAGATTGGATAGCCGTCTCTGCTTACGCGCGTTTCAGCAACGAATGCTTTGGGATAACCTTGCGAGCATCGTCCATCTTTCATACAAACAGCGTCCCGTTTAAGATCTCCACATGGTCCGTGTATCATCGATCTTGTGACTGTGGCGTACAGTTGAGGCTGGGTGTTAGGATCTGGCAACTCGGCGCAGACGAAACGGTCGTAGTCAGAAGGATTACGGGGACGGTCTTCATGGTGTAGGATGAGTAGGATGTGCACGTGTGGTAAGCCACGTTTTTGAAACTCAACGGTTGCAACATACCCCTCGATGCGGCCAAAGCAACTGGTTTCTTTGATGTGCGATAACATCTCAGTGATCTTCATATGGAAGATTCTCGAACAGATGTCAGGACGATCAAATGCCTGCTGACCTGGAAGGAGCTCAGCTTGAATTTCTGGCCACTGTGGATTGCAGGTGAACGTAATGAAAAGGGTTGGATTGCCTCTTTGTCGAATGATTGCAAGTCCATCCTGAAGCATCTGCTTCATGTACCGTGGGCCTCCAGTAAAAGATGATGGCAAAATAATGGCTCGACCGATCTGACGTGGATCTACATCGTCACCGATACCATTGTAAACCTCAGCACGTAAATCATTCTGATTGTTGGTGATATACTGAAGGCGAGAATACTCGATGCGCGCATAATTGTCAACAACCAATTGTTGGAAAAGACGACGGAAATGGTGCTGGTAACTCGCTCGTTCTCCATCACGGATCATGAGCATATACGAACAGAATTCGAGCAACGTAACGGTAGTGGTCTGGCGGTCAGTACTTTCACACTGCATTCTAGCAAACCAACCATCATCACCAAAAGGAAATATAAGCACGTAGTGGAGGGGCATATAGGATGCATGGAGTGAACTGATGGTCTGTAAACCTAACTGACGATCACGGATGACAATGTCGTGAGGTGATGTTGCGCCATCCACTGTATCTTCGACAATCATAGCGGCGACCTCTGGATAACTCTGCTGGTCATAGCGTCTACCCATTTCACGTGCAGAACGGATGACAACCTGTAGTGTTCCAAAAGGTGTGTCACGATATGATTCAGCAGCATTCATGAGTGTTTGCGCATATGGGTTGCATCTCTCCATGACGCGCTGGAGCAAAGCTATCATGCCATTATCGAGTCCAGTAAATAGTGTCTGTCTTCGTGCCAGTTGCTCTTGCGTATCGGCAAAATATATTTGAGCAAAGTTGGCTGATTGCTGCTGCTCTGGTCGTAAAGCACCCATGCAATGGTACATCGTGCCATTTATGCGGAAAGTTGAAACACCTTGCGATCCGTCAGCTAAATTGCGATCATAGTTTGCTCGAATGGACGCAAATGCAAACATGTTGTTATAAGCGCGAATATTGGTGAAGAAATCGTCGCTAGTATCATTTCCATTGGTCAAAAGGTCAATGATTTCTTGTGGCGGATGGCGAGGGATGGGTAACTGTATTTTGCCGTGTGTGCAGCAAATACTGAAACGTGGGTTCGAGACTGAAGAACTTGTGATTCGTTCCTCAATCCACATACGTGCCTGACAAAACGTACAAACAGCATTCATGCGAGCAAGAACGTGTCGATGGAAATTGTCTCCTGGTGTAAAACAAATGTTGGGACCGAACACACTCTCAGCGACGAAAGGAATAGTGCACGCAACTTTATACTGTGCTCCATGCTCAGACTGAACGTTTGCTTCATTGAAAGGACATTCTTCAGAAGTTCGTCGCGAATGGCCAGGTGCCCCGCAGCTTGAGCATGTGCGAACAGGTTCTGCTAATGGCGCATCATCGGACCGAGAATCTAGAATTCATGCATAAGTATATACCTTGCATACACTAAGACACCTTAGTCAAACACAGCGTTCTAACACATACCAGTCGCTTCAGCGCTTTCCAATCTATTGTTCGGATTGGCAGGGCAATCGCGATGCGAAGACCGTTGGTGCGTGGTTGATCCACAGTGGGGGCAGGGTCGACGCTGCTCATCTTGAGTGTCAGGTTGCTCAAACATGAAAGGATCCTACACGTAAAATTGGTCAGAGCAAGGAAATCATAACACACAAAAAATGTAGTAAACTAAACGACTTTGCGGGACGTTCCCCCCAACACCCCCAACCTCTAAACCCTAAACACGTCCTAAAGCGCTTCGCACGTCTAAGCATTTCGCTAATTTCCCAATACGGATGAAAAGAAGCATACATTGTCAAGTCTACGGCGCACATTACGCTCATTCAAAGGACAATCACGATGGCGTCGAGTTGAATGGGTGGTTGCACCGCAAACACAGGTGCGAATTTCGGGTTGGTTTTGCTGTTTAGCCGAGAATACACATATTTAATATTTATTCGCTTTTCTTCAAACAAAAGTTTTTCTTTTGGATATCGTAAGGTACATAAGGTACAACACAGTTCCAGCTAATCTAACGACATACTTGTTGCGAATTCATTTTGTAAGAAAAAGACCGAAGTTGAAGTAGGGAATCAGTGTAAAGACAAAAAAGCTTTCAGGGCAGTTGAAAAAAAATGTCGGGGCTTAGCCATCCGAATTACCAAAAAAGGGTAACTTCGTAAGGACCACTTCTCTTTTAATAGTAGATAACTGTAAATTGCAGCAGTAAAGAAACTGGAGGTGTAATCTTTAAGCCATACAAATGTGCTGTTGGTTGCGATCCCTCCTCTTGTCCCTTTTAAATTTTTTAATTCACTTACATTTTTATAGAAAAAAGGTGTAATGCGTGTGTCTGCTAGTACAGTATCATACTAGAGTAAGAAAGCTGTTAAGATGATCCTACTGTAAAACAATCCAAGGTACATACTCAGTGAGAAGTGGTGGAAGGAAATAATGAAGCACTGATATGGCACGCACTCCCCTGATTTCTCTGCGACGATGTAACGAAGAAGAGAACGTTGTGTGGTTTCTGTTATTTTTCTGGTCGACTAGGAGGCAGACAACAAAAACATATGATTGAAACAGATTTATTATTTGGACTGCTGTCAAATAGACCTTTAAATAAGGTATTGAGCAGCGTATGTGTTTAAATCGACCTTCGAGACTTGAAATTATCAATCGATCAACAACTATACAGTATACGCTGGTGTCGTTCCCATTAATGTTCATATACAGACACTTTTTACAACCTCTGTTGTAAATTCTTCCTCCTCGTATGTTTTTTCTTTGTTTTTGTCAGCATGATTATTCAACAGCAACAAAAGGTATATATATATATGCAAGTAGTGATTTACAAAGCTTCCAACCTGTCCCATGTATACATACAAAAAAGAATTAACATGTTTTTCAAGGGTGATTACTTTTCTTTAACCAAGTATACATGGTATTACATCGTATAGATATGTGAAAACGTAGAGGAACAAGTATAGCAATTATACAGATGTTGTTGCTATTTAAACAATCGGTACTTGTTACTTAGGTCACAACCGGAGGATAGTGTCTTCAAACAACAGCAGCAGCAGTTACAGTGACGACGACAATACAGACAGAACAAACTGCCCCATTGTAAACATTGCGTAACAAACATATACAGTAAATACTTCAAATTACGCCTTTTTTCACTGCTGCGCCATAGATAGCTCCTCCTATCTTACTGATATCTACAACTACGCTAGATGTAAAACTTTCGGTTGTCTGCTTGCATATAAAGAAGGGACTACAAATATCCTGATGACACTCACAACATATACTTAAAACATATAGTATTGAAGATGGCTTTCTTTAGCAAAATTTATATTTCACATTCGCCAAACATAGACAAAAAGAAGAAAAATGTTGATTTGACTGAAAGAAAAGGTGGGGTATACAGCACACTTGTTTTTTTTTTAATACTCGACCTCAGCATCCTCGATTTCAGAATCACCCAACGAATCGGAGCCGACTTCTTCATAATCCTTCTCAAGAGCAGCCAAATCCTCACGGGCTTCCGAGAATTCACCTTCCTCCATACCTTCACCGACGTACCAGTGAACGAAAGCACGCTTGGCATACATCAAGTCAAACTTGTGGTCCAAACGAGCCCAGGCTTCAGCAATGGCGGTGGTGTTGCTCAACATACAGATCGCACGCTGGACCTCAGCCACGTCGCCACCGGGGACAACACTAGGGCGCTGATGGTTGATACCGACCTTGAAACCAGTAGGGCACCAGTCGACAAACTGGATGGTGCGCTTGGTTCTGATGGAAGCAATGGCAGCATTGGCGTCCTTGGGAACGACATCGCCACGATACAACAAGCAACAGGCCATGTACTTGCCATTGCGAGGATCACACTTGACCATCTGGTTGTTGGGCTCAAAGCACGAGGTGGTGATCTCAGAGACGGACATTTGTTCGTGGTAAGCCTTGGCGGCCGAAATGATGGGTGCATAGGTGACCAAGGGGAAATGAATACGAGGGTATGGCACCAAGTTGGTCTGGAACTCGTTCAAGTCGACATTGAGCGAGCCGGCAAACCGCAACGATGTAGTGATCGATGACACGACCTGGGCGATCAAACGGTTCAAGTTGGCGTAGGTGGGACGCTCGATATCCAGGTTACGGCGGCAAATGTCGTAAATGGCCTCGTTGTCCACCATAAAGGCACAGTCCGAGTGTTCCAAGGTGGTGTGCGTGGTCAGAATGGAGTTGTACGGCTCAACGACGGCGGTCGAGACTTGGGGTGCAGGGTACACACTGAATTCAAGCTTGGATTTCTTGCCGTAATCGACCGACAAGCGTTCCATCAACAGGGCGCCGAAACCCGAGCCGGTACCGCCACCGAATGAGTGGAAAACCAAGAAACCTTGCAAGCCGCTACAGTTGTCGGCAAGCTTGCGCACACGGTCAAGTACGGTGTCGACGAGCTCCTTGCCGACGGTGTAGTGACCACGGGCATAGTTGTTGGCGGCATCTTCTTTGCCGGTGATCAATTGCTCTGTGTGATATCAATTGAACTCGCTCTCGTGAGTATACATTACTTGTTTCCCTTAGCACAAGGAGAGCGAGAGTGAGAAGGAGGAGAAGGGGTTAGAGAGTGTGTGTGTACGCTGGCAGGAGGGGGGGGAGGAGGGGCAGGAGGAGGAAGCTGCTCGTATGTTTAGTGCATACATGGAGCCCATGCATACCTGGATGGAAGAGTTGGCGGTAAGTGCCAGTGCGGACTTCATCAACGACAGTGGGTTCCAAATCCGCAAACACGGTGCGAGGGACATGCTTGCCGGCGCTTGTCTCACTGAAAAAGGTATCGAACGAGTTATCCCCGAGCACCTGCTCGCCAGGAATGCGTCCGTCAGGGCTAATTCCGTGCTCCATACAGTACTAAGCCAAAAGTGAGTACACTCCCACCGTCATCAACCAACGCCAAAAGCCCAAAAAGCTGATGTAGTACTCACAAGTTCCCAGCAAGCATTACCGATTTGGATACCGGCCTATCATGGTTTGTAAAGGTGTATATGCATGTTTAGTCTTTTCCTTCTTTCTACATACTTACACATGCATATCGTGTTATCTTTTACACACACACACACACACACACACACAAGCCGGAACCGAGACGCGCCTTTCTAAAGCACAATTTTTCAACCCCGCCCCACCCAAGAACGTGTATGCCAGGCCGCTGACGTGTGCATGTGTGTAACTGTCAAAAGAAACCTATCTGATCATATTACCTGGCCAACGTGTACCGAAATGATTTCTCTCATACTGGATGATTTAAAAAAAAGTGCGTCTTATGAGTAGTAGTAGTAGTAGTGGTGGTGGTGGTGGTGTTTAAAGTGAAGGTCCAAAGTTAGGGTGAACGTTAAAGAAAAAAAAGAAAAAAGAAAGAAACAAGTCGCACACACACGTACATGCGCTTTTATACTCGAGCACCAAGCAGCAGCTTGCACTCAGAAAGAAAGTTGGCTAAAAGGATGATTGCATTTTCCACACTTTCTCATTTTTGGTAAAGCGCGTTCCCTTTCTTCATATCCCACCTGTTAAGCGCCCCGCCATCATGCATGTCACGCACACTCGCTTACTAGATACACTCATCACTAACACTGGATACTGTACTATACAGTGTCCTTCTTCCCACCAACCCAACCCCCAAACCTCCTTTGATTTGTGTTTATCAATTCTGTAGTAGTAGCAACTCCTTCCCTCGCGCGCGGGAGGGGAAAAGACAGAAACCTCTCACACCCTCCATCTTTATCAACGTCAAAACAAAATCAGTTAGAGCACCGGACAAGGGCAAGCTAATAGGTGCAACCACGAGCTTTCTCCCGGACAGTAATTGTGTTTGTTTACTGTGATGTCAGCTCTATAATATACATATACACATGTATACAAGTAACAGTAGTATGTAATAAAAAGTAACGATCACTGTTTATCAGAAACCTGTAGTGGTGCTTACCCATTCCATCCCTTTCTCTCAGCCCCCCCCCCCGCTAATGTATACTGCATATATACGCATCTGTTTTCTCCGAGTAATCTCTTCTTCGTGCGTCAGATATTCCATGTATATGCACTCAATACACGCATATGAGTAGCACATTTACTCTAAACACTCTCGGTTTTTCAAAATTGAAAGCAAGGGGGGAAAGATAAGACAGAAATTAGAGGTTAGAGTTATACAGTGTAGTACAGTATAGGAGTGTGGTGTATAGATTCCTGTAGAAGAATCAAGTATGTTATATGCTATCACTATTATTGAACTTTCTTCTTTGAATAGAAGATCCAGATTTCCAGCAACAACCAACGCAGCAAAGCATCTAGATGATAGTGAAAAGTAGTAGTAGTAATATATATGATGATGACGATGATGACGATGTAATTTACACAAAGAAAACAAGCTTTTTTTCCCTCTTTCTAGGGTAGAGTAACTATGACGATGATGCCATTAAATCAACACCGACACTCTGCAATGCATTAACCGCCCACTCCGGGTACCGACTCTTGTCACCACCGAAGTAATTGGCAAAGAACTTGACAACAAATGCTGGGAACTCGTCCTTGATGATAGCCTCTCGCATTTGACGCATCAGTCGCAGCTGGAAAGCGACATTGTGCACTGATACCAAGTGACATCCAACGGTATCCTTGGTAGCTACCAAATGCACGTAGGATCGTGTGTAGTTTTGACACGTTGGACAGTCGCATCCTTCTTCAAGAGGACCAAAATCATTGGCAAATTTACCGGATTTCAACGACAGAATGCCCTTCATCGTCAATGCGTTGCCGAATCGCTATTGTGAAGGAGGGATAATGAGAAATTAGGATTTGTTGTAAATATGCATGTGTAGCAGCACATGTGTACTTACGGCTGTGCGAGTCGGATAGACACAATCAAACATATCTACACCTAGTGCAACACAAACGACCAAATCTTCTGCGTAACTACATATGATAAAAGGCCACGTCTTAATTAGCCCTTCGCTCTCTCCCAGTGATGTCCCATACATGAAAGAAACCGCTTACCCAACACCCATGCAATAAATCGGCTTGGTTTTCGGTAACAGATCTGTACATAACGTGACACTACACAAATATAGCAACAGTTGTCAATAACAACAACAACAACAACAACAAATGACACTTGGACAGATCTGCTTCTTTACTTACATTCTCCAAAAGACATCCTTTTCTTCACCACCACTCAATCCACCAACGGCATAACCTGGGGTATCACGCTTGACCATCTCCTCAACACACTTGCGTCTCAAATCCGTATTCAGGCCGCCCTGGATGATCGCAAACAGATTTTGTTGATCCTGATTCTTGTGTGCATCAATACATCGATCCAGCCATCGGATAGATCGCCACATGGCTTCTTCTACACGCGGTCCGGTTGTCAATGAGGAAATCACATCATCCAGTTGCATCATGATATCGGCACCAATCGAGTTTTGCAACGACATTGAGTGTTCGGGTGTCAACATCATCAATGATCCATCGTGTGGTGATGCGAATTGAACACCTTCCTATCAAAAGGAAACACGTGTGTGAGGTTCTAAACGATTGGGGAGGTTTTTTGGGTCCACTCACCTCGGTGATCTTTGCTAACTTTAACAGCGAAACCATTTGAAAACCACCGCTATCCTAATGCATACATATACGGGAGTAGGGTGTGTGCGAGGTTAAGTACAGTAAACCTTTTTCTTTGTTCATCACTGGTTTTTTTTTTTTTGAATGCTTTACCGTCAAAAGGTTGCGATTCCATTTTTGAAACTTGTGTGCACCACCCACTCGATCTAACGTTTCCTGACCAGGTTTCAAACCCTAAAGTGAAAACAGTACAAACGTAAGGATTTTTCAGCAATTGTCCTTCTCTACTACTCTCTCTCTCTCTCTCCATTCTTTTCCCCACCCCCAAAAAAGTTAATCTACTTTACCAAATGGTAGGTATTGTTGAGCATAATTTGACAGTTAAGATCACTGAGTTGTTGCGGTGTCAAACCCTTGAGGGTGCCCTGTGTGCCGACAGGCATAAACACAGGTGTGTTGACTGGACCATGAGGTAACGTCAACAATGAGGCCTTGGCCTTGGTCGTTGAACAACGGGCAATCGTTTCAAATGTGAGGGCGCTTTTCATTTTTTGGTTTCTTGCCAATGAGATCTGTCAACTTTTTTTTTTTTTACTGCTGCTGCCACTTCCCCGCTTTCTCTCGCCCCGCCCGGTTCCTGCAACCAACCAAACAAAAAAATTCTAAACTTTATCTTCAGCGGGCCAATGGCATCAATTTCACTTCTCCCCTTTCTTTGGACACTGCAACACAAACGTATGCTTCCTGCTTTTCCCTATTGTAGAAGTCTAAAACGCGCGTCGAGAGAAATTGAAATAGACAATACCCCCTCAAATGACGGTAATTGATGAACTTGATTGTACAATTGTTGGAGAGCGGTTCTGAGGAAGACGCGACTGACATGTTTTTAAAAGGATGGTGTTTTCCCAATGTCATCGACAGCACCAAAGTAACATAGTCCCGCATAACATTGACATCACGATGATAAGTTGATTTCAACGGAAAGGTTATCAGAGCCATTATCACTACATAATCATGATGATAACGATGGTTTCAGATGATGATATGATGTTGTATGTTGTAGGATATACTCGTGCATATGAGCAGCTGATGATCATGATAGTTCCGGTGTATGTGTTCTGCTTGGTGGCGCATATTATGCAACAGATGACACTGCTAGAACATAATAGCCCAAAGCAGCGCTGTACATACTATGATAGATAGCAAAAGAGTAAAGAAGACTCCCAGAATTCGGGACAGTGTCGATCTTTCTTCTAAAATGACGGTGTATAGCAATTCAGGAGAACAAGACCCCGCGAGACTTGGTACTAGAAAAGGCTAATTCAAAAGAACATGTCTTTTCCCCAAGAATATGAAAAAATCGTGGCCGGCAGACTAATTAAAATATATTACATGAATGTGCAGCAGCTCTTGAGTAAAACATATGTTGAGTAGTGCTTATATTTTTATGGCGTTTACGTTTCCTTTAAGCAGCTCTCCTGGTTCAGTCGACTTTGTTGAACGACTTTCTCGCTAGACAATATCCACGGCATTCTTATATTTCCTCCACCCCGACACTCACCGGCTATTGAGAATGATGCACAATGACAAAACCTCAATCCGTAGTAGTCTGTGCCCCTGGTAGACTAGAAGAACAAAAAGCTCTTTTATTTTTTTGTGGTTCTGCGCGTGATTTCGTACAGGAATCTCAAAAATTTCGAGTGGGGGAGGGGAGGGGGGCGTTTGGGAGGCAAAAGAAACAAGTACTTACTATCATTTGTCAATAGAATCAAGCCAACTAATTTTGACTTGCAGGAACAAGGACAGTGGTGTATGTATATTCCATCTATATTGAAATAAATGAGTACCTGGAATGTATCGGTGCTGTTTTTTTGTGTTTCAGACTTCTGCATTCAATCTCTTTGGTCCCATACGATGAGTGAGCTTTGTTTCAAACAGGGAAAAGGTGGTTCTGATGGCGTTTACGTAGATGATAAAAGCATGGTGAACAGGAGGCGTAATCACGCCCCGGGGGTTGGGGGCGGCGAACGGCACAGTATATTTGATGATAGAGTGGTGATGATGAGAAGGTTGTAGTAGCAGTAGTAGGTCATCCACCGGGGATGCTTGCTTACGACTAGGGTCTCTGTCTATGTGGTGAATCACGAGACAAAGGTAGTATCACAAAATGGGGCACCACGCTTATTTCTATGAAAAGAACATCGCTTAGGCCGTCCTGTTGTTTTTAGCAGTAGATGGATCTCGCTTGTTCTCTGACCTTTCACGTGGCATGTAGCTATTTCTAAAAGAAAAATAAACTCCCTTCTTTCTTCGCCTCCCTTATTTTCTTTTCTTTTTTCTCCTCCTCCCTCTTTCCTCTTCTTTACTACTACTACTACTACTACTACTACTTTACTACTTTACTACTGCCACAAAAATGTCCGTTCATCTGGAACCCGCGTCGCAACTCTCATTTCGACGTATGTTCAAAAGAACAAAAGAGAATAAAGTGTGGGTGTGTGTGGAGGTGGGGGAAACGCGTTTTACATATTGCCACTTACACAAACCACTGTCAATGTAATGCATTCAGGTCCATTGACTCAAGTGACCAAAGAGTTATTGCTCGTTACAAATCCAAGCAATGACCCTGTCATGTTTAAAATCAAGACAACAGCACCAAAGCAATACTGCGTACGTCCCAACGCAGGTCGAGTGGAACCCAATTCCCAAATTGAAGTGCATGGTAATCCTTTTGTTTTAAACTTTTTTCACACACGCTCCAACGTTCTTTTATACATATGACAAAGAACCTATTCCTAAAAAAAACATACAAACCGTACTTAATCATCTCTTCTTTTTTTCTCTTTCCCCACCCCATTTTTCTTTGTGTGGTCTTGCCATCAATTCGTTTTGGGTTGTATGTATGTAAAAAGTCATTTTGCAACCATTCAAGGAAGAGCCTCCAGCTGATTACAAATGCAAAGACAAGTTCTTGGTGCAAACGGCAGTAATCAAGCCTGCTTATGAAGCTTTGCCTATTGCAGATATGGTATGTACAATGGCAGAGCTTTTTTTATGCAATGCGCTATCAAAAGGCCAACCGAGTTGGAGAAGAAAAAAGGGAAATGAGGGACACATTGTCAAGAGAGAGTGAGAAGACCCTTGCGCTTTGATTTAAAAAAAAAAACAGAAGAAGAAGAGTATAAATGCTTAAAGATATGTTGGTTGGTTTTTTTATATAGTGGGGTCGTGTCGAACAAGAGGATAAGGCTGGTATTTTTCAGCAAAAGATCAAGTGTGCCTATTTGCCATCCGAGGAGGACCCTTATCTTGTGAACAATGCTGCTGCTGCTGCCGACGATGAACAGCAGCAGCAACAACAACAACAACAACAACAACAACAGGAACCTATTCAGGTAAGAAACCAAAAGTCTCCGGGAGATCGGGGATGACGCGCCGAGAGAAAGAGAGAGAGAGAGAGAGAGAGAGAGAGAGAGAGAGAGAGAGAGAACGGGCGTTATTATTATCGGGAGGAAGGGGCAAAAGAGAAAAGAAATGCATACTGACACTTTCGCATAATTTGTTGGTGATAGCATCAGGCACTACCACCACAGCCATCATCACAACCCACTGCGCCAGTGTCCGAAATTCCTGCACTTGCACCTGCACCTGCACAGGCGAACGAAGCTGAAAATGTTGAACCATCATCACCTGAAGCAATCGTACCTACTGCTGCTGCCACTATGACTACTACTACCGCACCATCACAGCAAGAGCAGCAACCCTTAGTCGAGTCGCCACCCGTTGAACCAGAGACTGTCTCGCCACCCGTTCAAACGCAATTGGCCAACATCGACCAGGCACCTGAACCCAAGCCCCGATCAGTATTGCCACCTGCCCCTATTGAAACCTCAAAGCCTGAGCAGCAGCAACAACAACAACCAGAACAACAACCTGCTGTTGCATCATCATCATCATCATCATCATCATTATCACCTGCCACATCCTCGCCCAAGGTGCCCGAAATCGCTCCTGCGGTTACTACTGTGGAGAAAGAATCAGAGGAGGACAAGGAAAAGACACAGCTCAAGGACGATCTCAACAAGACACGGGAGTTGGTACAGCAATTGCAGAAGCAATTGGCCACGTTGCAAAAGGAGCAGGAGGCCAACAACAAGAGCAGTGGTGCACGCAAATTACCACACACGGTGCAGCCCCAAGATGCAGTGCACCAACATTTGGCAGCATTGGAGAAGAAGCAACAAGGTGTTGAAGGATATCCACCACAAGTCGTGTTGATTGTCGCTGCAATGACCTTTGTCTTTACTTACTTGTTCTTCTAAACACCCTTCCCCCCTCTCCTCCTCTCCAAATCCACCATCTTATATCTGCAACAACAGCAAAAGGCTTGTTTGCTTGGTGTTGATGAAAAAAGGGAAAAAAAAGTAGGTGGATGCGAAAACTATTTTTATTATTATTACTATTTTTTTTACCCTACAGCAACCTCCAACCTATCGACCATGATGCAACAAGCCCAATTCACCAACAACGCGCTCAACACTAGCCCTACAAACCACCTATATACTCACACTTACACTTCAACTCACTCACCCCACAAATCAACTTGGCATAAATGAATATATTATAGGATATACATACTTTTTAGTATACTAGTAGCCCCAACTCCCATAAAACCCAAAAAACAAGAAACCTCTTCCTGCTCGCAAACAATCATAAAATAAAGGCAAAAATCAAGGGTAACTGGGTTCTTTTACTTTAAAAAAAAACATTTGGATTATATACAACAAAAATTAAAAGAATGTGATTATTATGATTATTATACAATGGAGACGGGGGAATGTGTGTTATTATAAATGTCTTGGATGGTGCCACCTCCAAGGCACCAATCACCTAGATAGATAACAACTTGTTGACCAGGTGCCATGGCACGGATGGGTTCCAGAAACTCTAAATGGTATCGACCATCTTGTAATCTTGATAATCGAGCCTTTTGTGCCGCCATGCGATACCTCACCTGGGCATCCACGAGAACACTACCTTGTCCATCTTGGTGCTGGTGGTGGTCCGTGTTGTTGTTGTTGTTATCATTATTATTATTATTACCACTACTAAATAAAAAGTGTGGAGGCGGTCGACCCTCGATCCAGACCCAATCACGTGCGGTACACGCCGAATGGAAAAGCGCGGGATGGTCAGAGCCAGGCACACACAGCAAAGTATTGTCACTCATCCGTTTCTGTGCGACAAACCATTTATCCGAGCCATAACAAATCTTTGAAGCTTGGCCGACGGTGTAAGCAAACAAGCCGCGATGGTCTCCGATCCGTTTACCAGTACACACATCCACGGCCGGCCCTGGCGGCTGATCAATGTATTCTTTCAAGAAATCGGCAAACCGTCGTCGTTGGCCGACAAAGCAGATGCCCATACTCTCACGCTTCTTGGCCACGTGCAAATCCAGCTGATGAGCGATCGCTTTGACTTTGGCTTTGCTTTCGAATTCGCCGAGCGGGAACAAGGTGCGTTGGATGGCACGCGCGTCGACCGACGCTAGGAAATACGATTGGTCCTTTTTTCTATCTCGACCTCGCCACAGCTGATGACGATGATGATCTTGTTGCTGGAATAGAGATCGACAATAATGGCCAGTCGCTAACCATGTGTCGTCGGGTACGTGGGCCAACAAGGCCCCGAATTTGATATGTCGATTACAGGCAATATCGGGATTGGGCGTCAGTCCATGCGCATAATCGTCTAGCGTCTGTTGGAACACATCCGTCCAATATTCCTTGACGAAATTGACGTGTCGGCAGTCTTGGATGTTGAGTTTTTCGCACACCCGTTGGACGTCTTGCCAATCCTGAACAGAGGTACATTCGCCTCGTTCATCCGACGTGTCCCAATTACGCATGTAAATGCCCTGGACTTGGAACCCTTGATCTTTGAGTAATGCTGCAGTGACACTGGAATCCACGCCACCCGACATTGCTACCATGACACGATCGCCTGGCTTGGGACCATTGTTGTTGTTGCTGGTTGTTTTGGTGGTGGTATTAAGAGTATTAGCAGTAAATAAGCATCGTCGCTGCTGCTGCTGTTGTAACTTTTGTGTTTGCAACAACAGCCTGTGCATACGTTTGTTGATTGTTGTTGTGTGGAGAGAGTGTATAATTACGACAGAATCCCCAGCCAAATTGGAAAAATCATATCTCAGCCACCTTTTCCTATTGGGCACTTGACGACACACGTCGAACAACTCCTGGGAAATCGGCCGTGTGTTTCGACTTGATTTCCTTCAAGCCGAAAAGTAAGGGGGGGGGGTGTATGTGTGGAGAGAGAGAGGCTTTAATCGGCAAGCTGTAAAACCTTAAAAAAAACCCAACAACAACAACAACAACATTACGCAACTGTCATACATAGAATGTGGTCAAATACGGTTATATAGGTTCGTGGGATATTGACAGTCCGCCCCGCCCTGGCTTATAACCGCACATTGCAAATCCCCAAGATGTTTCGTAAAAAGAACTTTTGCTGCTACGTGTGTTTCGTGTATATCCTGTGCTGTCGTCCCCATGACGAAAACGAACGATGATGGGAAAGCACAATGAAAAAAAAAGAAAAAGAAACAAGGGATCCTTTTCGTTCGGTCGAGTTCTATTCCTTCTTCTTTTGTTGTTGTTGTTGTTGTTGATCATCATCATCATCATCATCATCCAATCCATCTTATTCTATATATCCCCGCAATCGCACACATTACAATATAGGGCTTATAGTTTTATTGTATTTACTACACATCCTACCAAGAGGGTAAAATAGCTCATCTCGAGACAACGGATTGATAGCGAAACGTTTCACATGGACGCTCTTTTTGCTAAACCTGATGACAGCTCGCTCAGATTTTACATGTGTGATGGTGTATACTAAAACTACTACTACAACAACAACATTCAATATCTTCCTAAAATGCCATAACCGGTTTCAATTTTATCTTGCTACGCCAAAGGGTCCTGTATTCGTCGGTGGAAGGCTTATCCACTATTACTACTACGTAGTAATATAACTCTCTTCCTTATCGGTTTTTGTTTACATTGTACATACACTTGATATTCATCTTGCTTTTTACCTTAGTGATAGATAATAAATTTGTTGTTTACGTTCATAGAAAAAAGAAAGAGAGAGAGAGAGAGAGAGCGTGTCGGTATGAAGCGTACATCTAGTACATCCAGTACATCTAGTACATCTAGTACATAATCGTATATAGCCACGAATTAAGACGGTTACCAAAACGGGGAGGAGGAGGAGGAGAGGGGGCGATGTGTGTGTCGTCGAATTTCCCGCATTGTTTTAGTGTGTGCGCCTTATAATGGACTCGAACATATAAAAAAATGTTATGAAACAAATATTTGTGTCTCCCATTGACAGACACCGCTTAATATAGCCTTTTCAGACTGGGACGCATGACTCTGTAACTCAATAGGGTCGCCCTGTGGATTGCTAGAAACAGGCGATCTTGTATTACATCCAACCCATCCACCCACCCCATCACCGCTATGGCAAGATTACTTGTTTGTTCTGTGATCGTTTGTTATGGTGGTCTGTATGTATGTAATGAGAGAAAGGAGTTCCGGGGGTGGGGGAGGACGAGGGGGAGGAGGAGGGGCATCTGTTTCTGATGATATATCACTCAAGTCACTCACCCACTCACCCACTCATTCATTATAATCCTTTGACGTTGTAATAAGAACAAAATATATATTTCTAAAAGATAGGAGGTCTGGTGACAGAAAAGCAGGCGCTCAATACAGACATACACTAGAAGAAGAAGAAGAGCAAGTTTCAAGGATTGGGCACAGCAGCAAGCAAGCAAGCAAGCAGCATGTACACACACACACACACACACACACGACCGCTCGAACCGTTGTTTCATTATATATAGCCTGATTTTTTTCTGCCCTTTTTTTTTTCTCTCTTTCTCTCACTTGTCTCTTCTCTTTTTTCATTTTCACACACTTCTCCTCCGTTCATACCACCTTTCTCTCTCTCTCTCTCCCTCTCTCTCTCTCTCTTGCACTCTGTTAGATGTCGCACTTATTGCAACACGGCATTATCACGCCTGAGCCCTCCATGCCATCGAGTCCGACACTCTCGCCCGCCGTCGTCTCACCCACCACGGCCACCAACCGTCATGTGCACTCGAACGACGACGCCTCCAATGTCGATCTGACAGAGCTCACCCGTCTGTTGCAGAAAGCTGCCTCTTCTCGGTCCACCCGCGCCCTCCACATGGTGGCTACTGTTGCTGCATGCAACAACAACAACAAACCACCATCGCCTGCTACCTCTATATCAATACCAAAAACAACATCCTCGTCCTCCTCGTCCTCATCATCAGCATCATCATCATTTTATCAATCTCCCACAGCTGGCTCAGCTGCAGTGGTAGCACAGAAAAAAGAACAACAACGTCCAAAACTGTCACATCGTAACGCTTGCGCCAAATTGCCACCGCAATTCATCTTTAAACGTCCAGAATACAATGAACTTTATCATCGCACCCATTTCCATCATTATCAGCATCATGTATCAATAGCAACAGACGATAACAACAGTAACTATAGCAATAATAATAGCAACAACAATAATCATCATGACAACAACAATTCACTCCTGGGCTGGTCTGATCTACGACGTTTCTTTGGCGCCGCTGACAGCACCCACACCACCGTTCCTTACAAGATCAACCATTCTACAAGCAGTAGTAGTATCAACAGCAACAACAGCAGCTGCAGTAGTAGTATAGCAGACGATACATTTGGCAACCACTTTCGCCAAGATATTGAGGGGCGATACGGCAAATGGGGTAAGGCCATCGTTTCTGCAAAATAATTCTTTATTCTAGGAGTTTTGTGTGTGTCTGTGAGGGAGGGAAATATACGAAAAAAAAAAAACCTCACTCTGCCTCCTAAAAAAAATACAAGTGCGCGTCATTTTGAGGCATTTTTTTCATTTTTCCTTACATTTTCATGCATTATAACAATTTAGGCCGCTTTATTGGCAAAGGTGCCGGAGGATCGGTACGATTAATACAGCGCTCGGAGGCGGACAGTAAACCTGTTGCAGTCAAGCAATTCCGGAAACGGCTACCGCACGAAACCGACAAGGACTACATCAAAAAGGTCACTGCCGAATTCTGTATCGGATCGACACTGCATCATCCAAACGTTATCAAGACGTTGGACATGATTCAGGATGGCCCGCATTTCTATGAAATCATGGAGTATTGTCCCAATGATTTGTTCAATGTTGTCAAGAGTGGCATGATGTCCCGCGAAGAAATGGTCTGTTGTTGGCGCCAGCTCTTGAATGGGTTGGAGTATCTGCATGGCATGGGCATTGCCCATCGCGATCTCAAGCTCGATAACTTGGTTTTGGACCAGAGCGGCATGCTCAAGATTATCGATTTCGGATGCTCGTGCGTGTTCAAGTATCCTTTTGAAAACACCATCGTCATGTCCAGAGGTAAGAGTTACATGCTCTCTCTTTTTTTTTCTTACAAGATAATACTTTGAGAATACTAATCCCATCTCTCTCTCTCTGTGTGTGTGTGTGTGTGTTAAAAAAAACAGGCATCTTGGGTTCTGACCCATATATTGCACCAGAACAATACACTCAGCAAACGTACGACCCTCGACAGTCAGATGTATGGTCATGCGCGATTATCTTTTTTTGCATGATCATTGCCAGGTTTCCCTGGCGAGTGGCACGGCCCTGCGATCGCGCCTTTCGCGCATTTGCCACCAACCACAACCAACAACAGTTCCGTATGTTGAAGCTCTTGCCGCGTGAGGCACGGCCCATCATGGCCAGTCTGTTGGATCTCGATCCATCCCGTCGTCCGACGCTCAAACAGGTTTTGCAGGACAACTGGGTCCAAAAGATCGATGTCTGTTCCCTCCAAGAGCCTGGTGCGCATCATGTTCACCATGTCTATGAAACCACGCCGGCTATTGCCAAAGAACGTGGTAATGTTGTCGTCATTACGAATGAGCCTCCAGGTGTGATTACTGCTCGAGAAAAACGGAAACAACAGCAACAACAGCAATCAACTCCACAACAAGCAAAGAGTCGGGGTACCAGCAGTAGTAGCAGCAGTAGCAGTAGCGGAAGCAGCAACAGCGGCAGCAGACCAGGATCGCCAAGTCATATTCCTGCTCGAAGAAGACTGATACCAGCAGCCTGATGACACCATTCCTCTTTTCTCACATACACACACACACACACACACTTCACTATCTCTGTAAGTATTCTATAATTCTCTCTGTCCTCTCCCAACTCCTATTATATAAAAAAAAGACTCACCTCAGAAAAAACTTATTAAAAAAAAAGCACCCATCCTTCGTTATTGTATTCCTTTCTCCACCACACAAACCACTGAAAATCATCCATCTTTTGTACCATAATAATTTATTCATGACGCAGCGTCACTTTCCCCGTCACTCTACGTATCCAAACAACCCCCAACTCCCCCTTTTGATTGTGTATATCATTTTTGGATTAAAAACTGGTCTGCATTCTTAGAAATAATATACTGTTGTCTTTCCGTTAGATTGGGCTACAATCTACACACACACACACACACACACACAGTCTGACATGGACGGATGAGTTGACAATAAGAGAGATGTCTTACATTTTCCATAATAACTAACGTCTTTATACATTTTTTTTTATAACACGCGGATAAATTCCCCTTCCTCTTTTCTCCCTTTTGTTATTTTTATTTTTATTTTTTTGCCAAGAGAATACAAGCCATACGGTTTTATGTTATGCCAAACCAATTCATTTCTATTTAATTAAAGAATCGGATCATGGCGACTATAGATACGGCATACTATGTGCCGACCTTTTATGGACTCTGTGCCACATTTGGTATTTCGTGCGCAATCACAGTGTCGTGTGTTGCCACCTTTGAGTTCTTTCGCACCAAAGAGTCGATGCAGTGTTTGTTTTCACCGCGGACGCGATTGGCAGGGTAAACAATCATGTTTTTTCCATTCACCACCATCATCGTCATCCAATCTATATCTGCTGTACTCTCTAGTCATCATCATCAGTTATAAAACAAAACAAACACTTGTTCCCTTGCAACAACAACAGCAACAACAACAACAACAAAACGAATGCTCACAATGTCTATACTTGCTTTATAGAAACACCAACACGGCCCCATCGCCGTTATCGTACAAACTCTTTGGCTGGCTCAAGGGCACATACCATCTCGATGAATCCTATTTCATCACCCACGTGGGTCTGGACGCCACCATGTATCTACGCTTCTTACGCATGGCTACGCAATTCCTTGCAGTGCAAGCGATCCTGACGTGTCCGATATTACTCGTTTTGCACTGGTTCGCATCCTCATCGTCGTCATCACCCACCGCAGCACCTTCATCCTACTCCAACAATAGCAGCAGCAGCAGCAGCTACACGATAACAACACCAACAAGACCCATCATCATGATCGACGATCTAAACTTCAACAACGACCCCTACGCAAACTTTCAAAGCAATGCCACCTTGTACCGCCTGTCGATATCCAACGTACCCCACGAAGCCTCCATCATGTGGGTCCATGGCGTCCTGACATGGATCATTTCGCTCAGCTGGCTCTGGCTCTTATTTGTCAATTATTGGCATCACTTGCTCCTGCTATTGCAACAACGCGACGGCATTGTGCGTCGTTCACGGACCGTGCTACTCACCAACGTGCCACATCATTTACGGAATGTTCAGTCGTTGCGTCAACATTTCTCGAGTGAATTTGGGCCCGTCCGTCACGTTTGTTTGCTCAGTCAGGCTGGTGTCGCTGCTTTACATTGTGCATTGCAGCGTCGTGAACAGTATATGGATCGATTGGAGCATCGATTGATTCTCTGGTATCGTCGACAACAACAGCGTCATGGTATCAAGCTGATGATGACAAAAGAAGAGCATGATTGTTCGTCACAGGCTGCCTTACTGTTACCGACTCAACACCATGATGAGGGCAGTGAAGGAGTGGCAGATATGGTCCATGTGCTCCGTAAATTGGATCGTTTGGATGCAGAGATTGAGCAGTTACGGGAGTATAATGCATTGTCTGCACGGTATCATATGCCCACTGGCACCGCATTCGTGACATTCAAGTAAGCCTTTTTCAATTTTACACTGTATTTCTCTTGGAAAAACTAACCAAGTCATTGTTATAACAAGATCGATCGAATCAGCCCAGATATGTGCTAAAATGTCATGGAAGCCGGGCGTATTCCAAACCCAAATCGCACCCGAACCTCGAGATCTTTTGTGGAATGGCCTTTTGAGGCAAGGCCGTCGTGACAAGCTGATGGGTCGGCTGAGACAATGGGCGGTATTCATTGCTGTTTGGTAAAGAAATCCTCTCTCTCTCTCTCTTTTTCGAAACAAAACAAAACAAACCTGCATCGTCGTCAATCCAATCTCACACACACTTTTATTGTTGGTTATAAACAAATAGGTCACTGACCATCTTTTGGTTATTCCCAGTGTCATTTATTCTGGGTCTGACCTCCATCGAATCGCTCTCACAACATTTTGGGTTCTTGAACTATTTCATGAACACATCTGATGTCGTTCGGTCGTTTATCCAAAACATTCTGCCGATGCTTCTGGTGACCTTGTTTTTGAGTCTGCTGCCTTGGATCCTTTTGGGTAAAAAAACATTGCAAATAACCAACCCACTAAAACAAAACTAAACCCGATACTATGTAGTGATCTCGAAACAACAAGATTTCGTGTCTTATTCAGCACTTGAGGATGCAGTGTTGGGCCGCTACTACCGCTTCGCCATCTTCAACGTGTTGATCGTCTTTCTGTTGGGCACGAGCTTCTTGTCGACGTTACTGGACGTGCTCTACGAGCCAGGGAAACTGATCCATCTGTTGGGCAAGTTCTTACCACAAGGCGCGAACTTTTTCCTAAACTACATCCTGTTCAACTCGGCCACACATGCCATGGAACTGGTCCAACTGGGCTCCCAACTGTTTGGCCACTTTTACCATCGTCTACCCTGTGTTTCCAAAACCCCACGTCAACTCGCACGACACACACGGCCTTGGTCGTTCCCATTCTATTATTATTATCCAAACCATATCCTGGTCTTTGTCATTGCATTAACCTATTCTGTGATCCAGCCGCTGATCTTGCTCTTTGCGCTGTTTTATTTCTTGATCGCCCTCCAAGTCTTTCGTCATCAGTTTGCGTATGCGTATGTACGCCACTACGAGTCGAACGGACAGCATTATCGGCGCATGGCTGGCTATACCTCGGATGGTCTGGTCATCTTTCAACTGACAATGACTGGATTGTTGTATTTGAAGGGCGCGATCATGCCTGCAACGGCCATCGTGCCTTTGACGTTGATCACTGTTTGGGCTAAACTCAAGCTTGCTCAACAGTTCTCACGACGTCGTCCTCGAATTCACTTACGACCACCACCGCCTCCGTCATCATCATCATCATCATCGTCGTCGTCGTCGTCACCACAACAACAACAGCAACATCCATCATCATCCCCAGCTTTGTCTTTGACGTCGTCATCGTCGTCGTCATCTACGACGACTACTGCAGCAACAGTGACTACTACTCGACAAAGTTCTCCTCGAATGGATCAAGAAGAACGATTCGAGAAAGAGGATGAAGAACAAGAGCATATAGATAAACAAGACATGGAACAATTGGAAAAGAAGAGTAGGAACGCCGATGGTAGCAGTATATGGAAATTAGCGTATATCAAGGCATGGTACCGACATGGTCGTTATGCACCTCAACATTTCCCCACAATGTCCACTGCTGTCACTGCCGCGACGACGACGACGACGACGACGACGACGGCTACTGCTACTGCTACTGCTTGTAGTAGAAAGCAAGAGCGACAACAACAAGTGACGATCGCGCCGCCAACATCGCCGACAAGTAGTACCAGCACAGATAGACGCACCTTGGTGATGGTCGTAGAGGATATCGCCAATGCTACTACTAGTAGTAGTAGCAGCGAACAACAACAACAGCAGCAGCAGCAACAGGAAGAAAATGAGGAAGAACATGCACTGCTGACAGTGTATCCCGACGACACGCCACGTGAGAATGAGCGGTTCGACTATCCACCTTTGGTTACACCGCTTGAGCGACGGTTATGGTTGCCTCGCGACGCGAATCGTCGTTGTTGGGATGTGAACGATTGTGTTTCGGTGTCGCTGGATGATCTACGTCGTTCTTTGGATCCTCCATCCATCTAAAAAGAAAGAGCCCCTCACCCCTCCCCTTTATAACTTTATTTTCCAATTGTATTTATTTTTGGCGGCTGCTGGCCACGGGTTCACCCCCTCTCTCTCTCCTCCAAACTCGGTTACCCTCTTTTGTACACGTAATAGATGCCGTGACCCTCAGCCTCTCCCTCTCTCTCTTTCTCTTTCTCTCTCTCTTTTCGGCTCGCTACCCCTCTTTTTTATTATTCTCTCCTGCACGAATACACCCTGTACTTAGACAATTAAAGTTAGGATATGGAGAAATTCAAAGAGGTTTGTCTTTCTCTGGTTTTTTAAATGCGGAAAGTACACAGCAAAGGACCGCCGTTTCGGGGTAAAATACAAACGAAACATGTATTTTGATTTACATAGAAACTATTGACGTTGCGGTCCGAAGCAGAGGCAGTCACTGCACAAGCAGACGAGCTGGAAGCCAAAGTCAAACAGTTGGAAGGCGAGCACACTGCCAAGAACCACGAACTGCTGTCGATGCAGATCCGAGTCAAGAATCTCGAGGAACAGTTGGAAAAGACCGAACAGAAACTAAGAGAGACTTCTGCAAAGTATATGTCGTTGTGTATCCCCAAAAACTAAAGACTTGAAAGGTTCGAGACGGTAATCTGGCTTTCTATTGCAATCAATCATAGGTTCAATGAATCGGACGTCAAGGCAGAAGAGGCCGAACGCAAGGTTGGCGATCTCGAGAATGTGATTATGGAAAAGGAGCAAAAGAATGAGGCATTGGCAGAGCAGTACAAGACTGCCAAGGCAGAGCTGGATGAGATGGGCCGACAGTTTGATGACTTGTAATAATAGCAACAACACAACAATAAATTTACCTTGCACCTATTACTTCCAAGTTAGATTAGGGGAGAACAAGTGGGAGGAAAGGGGGAAAGATCGTCTTCATGCACCTGGCATTGACTGGCCCAACACAGAGCCTATCAGCTGTAAACGTGAAGCATGAATCGGCATAAGCGATCTGTGGAAAGGGAGAGAGGCAGGGGTGGGTAAATGGTAATAGTAGATCACCCCAACTCCCCCATAATAAAGAATAATAGCCTATTATTACGCCACGCACACACACCTCTTTTATATTTTTAGATGGCCGCAACAATGGGCACCACAGTGAAAGCATATCCAAGGCCTCATGGGCTATGTGATCAGCAACAACAGTCTGTCCTATGAGTCGTTCTGCCGCGCTCTGACCCAACAACAACAACAAGCAAGCCCACCCACCCACCCACCCCCCCCCCAAATTCAAACCAAACAACCCCGCATCATCGCATAATAAATTATTACAAACACAGTCCTCCCAGCACAACGACCGGCAACTGAGGCGCACTTTGGATATATATATTTTTTTTCCTTTTCCTTTCTTTCTTTCTTTTTTCTTTCCGCTTCAGCTTGCTCTTCCTTTTCCATCCATCCGACCAAGCCAATAAACCAGACGAACGCCTTGCTTGTGATATCATCATCATCATCATCATCATCATCATGTCATTTTTCAACAAGATCATCGACAAGGCCAAGCATCACCATCATACGACACCCCACCAAGCATCTTCGTCGTCGTCGTCGTCACAACAACAACAGCCGGTAGTAGACAGTAGCAACAAGAACATCAATCATAGTAATGTGGATGCACAAACGGGTCTTTATACGCCTCATTCCTCCACGTCCTCTTCCTACCATCAACATCAACAACAAAGTAATCATGACGCTATAAAACAACAACAACAACAACAACAACAACAGCAGCAGCCAGCGACAAGTAACGCGTCCGCAGGCTATGCAACACCACGTCCGTCTGTTGAAGGATCGTCAACACATCATATGGATGTCGACGCTTCTCATACTGGTAAGTCCTTGTTAAAAAGAAAGTGCGGTTGTTCATGGATAATTTGCTGACACCCCCCCCCCCTTTGCCGCCAACACCAATTTTTGTTTATATTGGGATATTCTAACTATTTTATAAAAGATAAAGAACAGAACACGGATCGACAGAAAGGTAATGGTTGCGGAAAGAAAAAAAGAGTGATTGGGAGTAGTGTTTGGAAAGTAGGAAAAGCTAATAAAAAAGAAGGTTCAGCCCAGCAACAACGTGCAGCTCTACGACAACGATACCAACAATACGATAAACACATTCTCGACCAACGCAAGAACCGACCCCAACTCAAGCTGGACGACTTTCATCTGTTGCGAACCCTGGGCACCGGGTCCTTTGGCCGTGTGCATCTGTCACAGTCCCGTCACAATGCGCGCTATTATGCGATCAAGGTCTTGAAAAAGACAGAGGTTGTACGATTAAAGCAAGGTAAGGGGGTCTCTCTCTTGCTCTCTCTCTCTCTTATAGTGTGTACAAATTGACTAACAATGGTATCAGTCGAGCATACCAACAATGAAAAGCATATTTTGGAGAACGTTGCAAATCCATTTCTGGTCAATCTGTGGGGCACGTTCCAAGACGATGCGAATCTGTACATGGTGATGGACTATGTGCCCGGTGGTGAATTATTCAGTGTACTGCGGAAAAGCAAGGTAAAAAAGCTGTTGTTTGTCTACAAGTGCAGCGCTTTAGACTCTGATTACTTGTCGTTTTCTACTGTAGAGATTTCCTGATCACGTTGCCAAATTCTATGCGGCCGAAGTGGTGCTCGCTCTGGAATATCTGCACGGAAAGGACGTTGTCTATCGAGATCTGAAACCAGAAAACCTGCTACTGGATGCCAACGGACACATTCGTATCACCGATTTCGGATTTGCCAAACACGTTCCTGATGTCACTTGGACGTTATGTGGAACGCCCGATTACCTCGGTGAGTTTATATTTCCCTAGAAGAAAAAATTACGTGCATAAATTTTAGAAATGATTTTTGCATGACAATCCCCATCCTCACATTTATTTTTCTTGAAACAGCGCCCGAAGTCATTCAATCCAAAGGCTACAGCAAGGCAGTTGACTGGTGGAGTTTGGGCATTCTGATTTTTGAAATGTTGGCGGGGTAAGAGTTTCCCTCTCTTCATAGTGTTTTTGTGGTTTTTGTGAGAGAAAGGAACGACTACTCACCCAAAGGTCATATCCCTACTAGATACCCGCCATTTTACGATGAAGATCATCTTAAACTGTACGAAAAAATCTTGCAGGGCAAGATCCGTTGGCCAAGCTACTTTGACCCGAACGCCAAGGACTTGCTGCGACGCTTGTTGACGTCGGATCTGTCGAAACGGTTTGGTAATCTCAAGAACGGTGCAGAGGATATCAAGCGACACCCGTGGTTTGATGGCGTCGACTTTGACCGGGTCGGCAATCGACAGATCCGCGCGCCTTATATTCCTCATATTCGTGGTGACGGCGATGCAAGTCATTTCGACAAGTACCCCGAATCGACTGAACGCTATGGTGTGCCTGCTGACGATCTCCATCGCGATAAATTTCCCGACTTTTAATTTAAAAAAAAACTTTTTTTTTTGTATTTAAAGACATCCTCCATCAAATCCCCATCCTACGCTTATCATCATACTGTATCTCTCTCTCTCTCTCTCTCTCTTCAAAACTCCTTCTTCACATTGTAATCTTTTTTTTTTGTTTTTTATTTCCTTTTCGTCAACATTAAAAAACACACGCACACATTTATTTGTTCAAAAGTGTTTTGAGATATGTGGTTGCCAAGGGGAGACAAGGACACGGGCCCGGCGCCTGTAGCCAAGTGATCGGTGCATCTCTTTTACCGATAACTCACATGCGCAACTTGACGTTTATGTACAAGGTCCGATTTGGGGGAGCGGGGGGCAGCCTCCTCGTGTCAACATCAAGTGGGTGGCGAATAAAAATGCTCGTGCAACAATCAACATCTGTATGAAAAATAAAGTACTTGGCGTACCCCCCATTTTTACTTTGACGGGGCGATAAATTTCGCTGAGAGGGTCAATTTCGCGCATCATGAATTGACCATCTTTTCCACACCAGTATGATTTTAATGGATAAGCACCAGATATTACCATTTTACGGTCCTCCATCCCTTTGCAAAACCAAAGGGCATTTGGTCATCGTATTTTAGACTATCTGGTTCCTAGCAAGAGGAAACCAGAAGATCCTGCTCCAACTCCAACTCGTCGGGCAGAAACCCAAGTTGGTTGATGAGTTTACTCAAACAACAACCGTGTACCTACTTTGTAGAGTAAAGCACTGCATGCAAAGTGGTGCGTTATAGAAGTCAATGAACTTTTTTAAGTTTTTTTGTTTTCCAGTCCGACACACCGAGCTTCAATAGTTTTATCTTACTGAAGCATATCACGATATTCATTTAGGCTATATCTTTGTTTACATACGATGGTTTGAGATCTTGTTGAGTGGCTATCTCGAATAGATACATGTAATCACTCGGTACATGGATGGATAAAAGGAGGTTCTCTAAAATATCCTGGCGTTGTTGTCTCTCCCGTAACCAGTGCCAACCCATATTCCGTCATTATCTAATTATATTCAAAGACAACGACGGTTAGATCACGATACTAATAGTATGATCGTAATCACAGAAGAAACGAAAAAAATATTGGGGATGTCATATCATTTATACGTTTTGTGCTCTTACTATCCTTGATGATGGCTTTTTTCATGGATGACTGATGCACATGAGATAGCAAAATCGTTTAAATTTGTCATCTTATAGATCATCGACTACTACTTAAAAGAAAGGTAATCTTTCCCAGGTATATAAGCAATTAGGTAATCCAGTATCTGAATTATAGGTAGTATTAAATGATACACACATATCACCAATTAAAATCACCACTACTACTACTTGCTTTAGAAAGAATATACGATTTTTTTTGTAAGGAAACCATTGGTTGGGAATCATTTCTTCAAAAGTGTGCAAAGATCAGAAACTGCCAATAACGTTAAAGATACAAGTGTACAAATGAAGGGACTAAGGCACACTACCGGCGTGCTACTATGGACCGAATCGATCATAAGGGAGGGCTATGCAGATTATCACAGGAATTTTCCGCGAGATGACCGGTTTTTCACCAAAAGAACCACAGGAAAAACCACCAGCCTTGACCGAAGTCGTTCAGCGCCGGCGCCCTACTCTGCGATTGCATGCGTGAACCAAAGTTTGTTCTTTAGTAGTCCTCGGAAAAAAAGAAAATAGTGAGTGATTTGGTCAAACGTATCATCCATCAACGCCATTGTGTCAACATTACCTGAGACTTTCAACAGAATATAACAAGCTTGGCATACGCTACTCATGACAGTGAACACACACGGTGTGAACCGAAAATGTGTAGGGCTTACCTGCCACTTTCACTCAGGACGTCTCGGGCTTGCCCATAGACTACTACTAACACTTAGGTAGAGCTAATAGATTCCTTTGCCAATACCGTGGAAAACAACATGTGGAAAAACAGTACGTTGTCTGGCAAAAAATTGATAAGCGTGTTGAGCAGCGGTTGTTGTGATTGAGATATGGATAGCGGAGTCAAGAATGGGATGGGGATGTGCCGCTCTGCTCCCAACGAAGCTATACCCCTCAACGGGAACCTAAATAAAAGGGGAATCCCAAAAGGAAAAGAGCAAGAGGAGAAAATCAAAGGGAGGATGAGCGATCCACTCTATGGATAGTCTTTCCAAAAACCAAAAAAAAATAGTTACAAACTGTGAAAGTCTTGTTTCTTATTATATGCAACCAAGAATACCATCCTCGCCGACCTCAACAGTTGAAAACTGGGTGTTGCGGTTGCCGATCCTCAGGTCGTAACTAAAACCGCAAGTACCGCAATTAACCGCAAGCTTTCGGGTTCTTCGATAAACTAGGAATCATTATTCATCTATCCAACTCGTTATTTAATCCCAAGCCTCTTAAATTACCTTGCTACAGCGCAACGATCAAACACTCATTGAAAATATGAGAAAACTACCGATACCTATGCAAGAAGAAGGAGCGAGAAGTGGCGAAGAAGCAAAGTGGCCTGCGGAAGACGAGAACATACAGTTAATCATTTGCGAACATGATAAGGGGGCTGTTCAACTGAGCGCGCTTCTAAACGAAATTGATCGTTTGAAGGCCTTTCATCTGATGGACACCCCTTGCCCCATTCATATTTCTCCTGCGCATGGTGCACTCACTTCTGATGCCACCGACAGTGACAGAGAAGCCACGATGATGTGTGAAGTTCGCGCTTTGCACAAGGCGATGGAGAAGGAGTATCAAGAATGCCTTGCTCGTATGCTATTGCCGAGAGCTACAAACCGCCCGTAGACGTTTTGAAGCACTTTAAACTACCGTTCATTCGTTTTCAGAAACGCCCTTTTGATTCTGATGGTTAGTTTATTACCTTCTGTCTCTTATCTACAATTAAGAACGCTGGATACCCTTTTTGATGACGTGTGAAACTATCTTTTAGAGAAAGCAGAATTGAGAAGTAACAAGAGGCAACGGGGCAATTTGGAAGGAGATGGTTGAAGGCGCCAGGAAACCGTATTAAGACAAGGCACAAGAGATGAACGATGGGATGAGGGTACGCAAAAGACGATGCGAAACAGGTACAATCGCCTCATACCTGCTCTTGAAAAAAAAACCTCACCATGCTGAGAGATGAATGTGGTGTAGAAAGCATTTGCTTTCTTGCACCAAGCGACTGTGGCTCTGGTAAATACCTACATATGAATAAAGAAATGTCCGCACAAGTGAGGTTATGAGGGAAATAACAGCAATTGTTAATGTCCGATTGAAGAATATGTGTTATTGACCATGTTGGATACAACAAGCAGGAATAAGGAAAATCCTTTTTTAGATTACTTTATATATACAGTACTACATATTTACGACTGACAATCCGGATCAAACTGTTTTTGTGTAGACGTCATGAGGGCTTTTATGAAAGTATGCTTTTATGGTAATATTTAAATTCCAGTGTATGGCATTTTTCTGGTAAGTTAAACATATATTTTAGTAAATACAGTAAATAATGGTATAATCGCAGCTCGAGTGATACTCCAGTGGAATATACGAGTCAATTTTTTAAGATTATACGTTTTTGAGTGATATGCCATTATTTCTCTTCTCTGATAACTATGTATACTTTAATACCACGGCCGTACCTGTATCATTTCTATAAAGGATATAGCTTGATATATATCTGGTATGGTGCATCCCGTTTATAATCGCCAAAAAGTGAACTCTAATCAAAGATCAGTAAGTTAATGCTTTGCTTATTTGTTAATTGAATATCATTCTTTAGCATCTTTAGAATAGTTATTGAACTCGGGTTTACTTATTTTGTTTGTACAGAAAAAGTTATCAGCCATCAAAGGTTGGCCGCTTTTGCCGGTTTTTGGCTGAGGTGGTATAAATTTGAAACACTGAACTTTATGCCGGATTCGAAGCCAGGATCGTTCTCAGCCAATACAATTGCGTGCCGTATTTAATGTCTTTGCTAGTAAAGGTCAATAATACACAGGTATTTTTCTGTGACCAGCCCATGACTCTGCCAGAAAATTTGGCTGTGCATTTTGTGACCCAAGTGACCAGTAAAGCAGATAGTGTACATTGAGACATACAGCCGCAATATGTCTGGAGAGAAACGGATAAAGAGGTCCACAAGTGCTCTTCCATAAAAAGGAAGTCGCATAGGCGCATAGGCGTAGCAATATAAAGGCGGACGTTTATAACATCAAAAAATCGATTATAAACGGGATGCACCATAGCTGTATAGATGTCATCGACTGGTGAGGTTAGACACACAATAGCACTTAGGCTTAATAACCCTACAATGACATACTGTTGTATCCAACATGGTCAATAACACATATTCTCATTGACGATTGCTGTTATTTCCCTCATAACCTCACTTGTGCGGACATTTCTTTATTCATACACATCTTGGTGAAACACCGATCAGCTATGCTCAGGGAGAAGTTGTCATTATTTGGATCACGTAATTCACATTAGCTACTACCTGAGGCATTCACCCGGATGTACCTTTTACTCACGCATCATATATTACTTAATACTATATCATTGATTTATAACATCAATTCATCCGTTCAATGTACACGCTGTGGTAGTTGCCAAGGATAGACCATTTCTTATAAATAGTGAGACCTTCTGTTATCATAATAAACCAGTTTCAATTCCTTTCGGGTCTCGTTGACTTATTCTGTCTCTTTTGGTTTATTGGATATTACAACAGTATGCATTTTTTCCACCCACCTGGCAACAATCCATAGTTATTCTACTTCCTAAGAAGGGCGACCAGTCTCAGCTACGAAACTGGTAGCCCATATTGTCGATCTGTAGCGACGCCAAGCTCTTAACGAGACTTGTAACGACCCGCCTGTCGTCTTCAATGCATCATCTGACCAACCCCATGCTAACAAGAGTTTTAGCTAATCGCTTTATTGCAGACAACGGCCTAGCAGCTCGTTTCGTCATGGATTTCGCCCAGAAGGAAGAGCTTCCCGGTGTAGGTCTGCTTTTAGATCAGAATAAGGCATACGATCGTGTACACCAAGACTACATACTTGCGTGCTTGCCTAACTCATTTTGACTTCCCTTCGGAGTGAATCACCTGTATTTCGCCAACACCCAGCTCAGTATTAACATCAATGGTTACCTGTCTGAATCATGTACGCAAGGCCGGAGGGCTACGGCAAGGTGGCCCTCTTTCACTACTGCTATTTTGATCTCGCTCTTGAACCCCTATTGCGTACCATTCTGACCTCGTCTTACCTACCTGGCTTCGTCTTCCACCACTCTTCTTCAACGCTACAGCTGCCTTTTACTCCTGAGCCGAGCATCAAGAATCTCGCATGCGCCAACGATATTCTGGTTTTCTTACAACGTCCAGCCAAACTACAACATCTATTAGATATTCTAATGATATACGGGCAGGCTTCTAATGCCAAACTCAACTGTGCGAAAACGGAAGCAATGTTTCTTAGTGGCCATCGCCAGCCACTATGGCAACAAACTCTCTGCACAGCCGGCATCACGCAATGGCATGACGCGACTTTACCAGAACCAATAATATATCTTGGATTCCCACTCACCAGCTCCTCGCCACCTCGCCCCGACTAAAGCAACATTTGGCTTCAGCAAAAGCGCGAATCGAACAACACGTCCTCGCTCTACAACAACGATTACTATCCGTCTTAGGCCGAGGCTTGATTGCAAATACGTTAGTACTCAGTCGCTTCTGGCACATGCTGCGCGTGCTCCCAGTTACAATTGATTACCTGAAGTCCGTTCGCTCACTTGTCTACTGTACCGGTATTCTCCAATTGCGCTTTCCCGACAGTCAGCATTCGCACCTGCACTCGAGCTCGTCGTGAAGGGGGGCTTGCCATGCTCGATCTTCTTGGTCATCATAACGCCTTACCAATCCGGTGACTCATTCCGCTACAGTACTTACTCCATCATCCCATGTTTCCTTTATTGTGCCACTGCTCCAATGCTGTCTCATGCTTTATGCCAATGCCCGGCTCCTACCATCGCTCTGTTGTTCTTGGACCGGCGTTCCACTCGGCTGAAAAGCCTGACCTCCTTTCGCACTTTGTTTCGTACCGTCGACCCCCTCAAGCTACCACTCGATTAGCCCCGTATCAACTGTCTTAATTGCCACGAACTGCCTCTGTATGCCATCTGCACTTTAGCCCCCAAGTCGCGCCTTGCCATGGCCGCCCTTGGGCGGGCATAACCGTCAAGGATGTGAATCATGCAACAAAGTTGGCCGGTTCCTCCAGGCCATTGTCTCCAGCCATTGGCAGCTGGTCCCAGCGTTCATCCGGCTCTTGGAGCCCACAACCCCGGGTATTCTCCCACCACCCGCCTATGATGCGCTTGTCTTGCCGACCCTGGCCTCAGGTGAGGCTATCGATACGTTGACCACTAAGACGTTCCGGCGCTTGCAGATTCTAGATGTATCGTCTGAAACTGATTGGTACCCTCGAACATGTCCAGCTCATTGGCGCCGTTTCTGGCAAGCTCAGGTCCCCCACAAAGTACACATAATCCTCTGGCGCGCCCACCATCAGCAACTGTCAACTCGAGCTCGTTTACACTCGCTTTGCCCGGTGCCGTCACTTCATCCACCCGCATTTTTTGCGATGGTATGGATACCGATAGACATTTCTTGTGGTCCTGCTCGAACAAAGCGCCTGCTTGGTTAGCTGTGATCCGACGATTCCTTGTCAACCCCGCTCAGCTAAACTATTCTCATGTACAGTCCTTGCGGCCGGCTATACCTACATCTAAAACCTGCTTTCTCTTCTCTGTCCGGTTTCGACCTTATCGCTTGCACAACCCTTGCTCTGTGGAACGCACACTGGCAACATCTTTTTCATCAAAAGCCATTTTGGCCTCAGGGTGTTGCTTCTGGCGCAACCCAAATGCTCCACCGTCTGCAACAAGAAAACCGCGCACCAGCGTAATTAGTACTTTCACTCCTTTGCCTTCATTTGTATCATTCATTTCTTCTATGCGATGCCCGCCTCTGGCGGCATCTGAATTAATTCTTCATGCACCAAGAAAAAAAGAGAAACGTTTCTTCAATTCTTCTAAAACAACTGCTTAATATATAATCTATACCCATTCCGTTGGACTCCTTGTTAAATCTTCCATATCCGAACCACCTAAAGACAACCCTGATTGGTAATATTAATTCTTTCCTACGTTGAATTTATTCGTCTTTTTATTTTTTGCGAAATAGGTTTATACAACATACATGTATGTGTGAAAAAGAAGGAAAAGAGTACTCATTGATTGTTTGTATACATTATTATACTTGACTACATTCATAGATTTATATACGTAAACCTAGTTAAAGCAGCTTCTCAGATCTTTGCCAACCGATTCCTTGCTCTTCTCTCTCCCTTCCTGCACTCTTAATCAATCTTTCCAACTCTTCCCAAGCCATGGAGGACTATCCAGGGTTAGAAGGTAGAAAGAGTCATGATATCATATTTTAATCAAATACTTCTAAAGCTTTGCTGACGTATACTAATAATACTTCTTAAATGTATATAGTGTTGAATAAATACTGTGAAGAAAAAAAGAGACCTACCTTCAGTCATTTTGTTGCCTCAAATCAAGACAACCTTGTACAGTGGTCCATCGATATTGCAGCAAACAGTGGAACCGCTTTACATGGAATTTGGTTCGAACGATACAGAAAACAGTTAAAATATAAGAAGCCAAAACATCCAAAGTAAGAAAAAAAAGAAACCATAATAATAATAGAGAATCATGTAACGTTGTTTAACGTTATTCTTCTAATCTTTGTGCTCATAGACCAAGAACTCCAAAATACAACAACTTAATGTGGAACACGATCGTTACCAGAGTAACAACACGGGTAAAGCCTTAGAGTCCTTTATTTCTAAGAGTGGCGTTTACTTATTGAAGCTTTCAAACTAATGATAAAAATTGTCATTTAGCGGCGATTACGTGGAAACTACATTGAAGGAGGGTTGCTGTTGCTAGATGATGCATCAGCTGCCGCTATTCGCGAAGCTAGACGTTTATTTCAAAGTTCCGCCACTGACGACGACGACGACGACGACGACGACGACGATGAGAAAGAGGAGGAAGAGGAGTACGTGGGCAATGTGCCTTTGGCAACACTGGCAATGAAAAAGGTAAAATATTCCAAAGATTTGGTTGAAGATAACTTTTTAATCTTCTTGTATGCTAACTCTTGTGTTTATTTATAGCTGTCTAATACATTCAAATCAAGCCATATAAATACATTGATGAACCTAAGGAAAACTGGCGACAATATTCTATCAAGCGCTACGATAAAAATACACAATTGACAAACCCACCCATGTGTGACCACAAGTTTTACAAGACGCATGAGAAGGATGGCATGACTTTGCGAGTGGCAGTCAAGTATCGCTGGCATCCAGCATGTGCTTTTCCAGTAGAAACGATTCATTATCAAATGCATGGACTATTGCTAGATGTTCTACAAGACGGTCCAGTAGTTTGCTATGGTGAATTGGGTTGTAAAGGTAAATTGAATTGTGAATTGTAATTTGCTGGGTATGCGTATATGTGCGTGTGTGTGTAACGGGGAGCTAGCTGACATGAGCCTTTGCTTCTAAATCAGAACATACCATTTGTACGAAACCAAAGTCATCGTTGCTTCAGTATGTTCGTAATGATTTGTTATCACCCAATCGAAGCGTCAAAAACGAGGAGGGTCATCCATCCGCATCCATCATTGTCTGGCCCTTTGTCACTGGCGTAGTTCAAAAAAGTTTCAACATACTCATCCTGAATCGCGCACCCGTGATTGAAGACGACGAAACATTTATTAGTCAACTAATTGAAAGTATGCAAGAATTGCGAAAGTCGAAGCCAAAGGCGCTTGTGATTTATCGATCGACTACGGTGGGTCATCCTTATTGCAATGACGCGCAAGGGCCACTCGATGAACCTTTGACGGACATGGAACGACAAGAGCTGCCGTATGGTTGGAGAAAACGGAATAAGATGACATCAATGGCGAGTAAGTTTGCATATATATTGCTACTCTCACAAACTGCAACTTTTTGGACGACATGACACGTCCTGGATATATAACTGGGTTCTCACATTGCTTTTTTTTAATAGTGGTCTGATCTCCTGGGAGGAGTATCTGCAAAGTCAATTACAGTCAACCCCCGTTTTTTGCAGCCATGGGATTTTGGGAGATTAGGCTGCAAGATTGTACCTGTTTCGCATCGTCTTTTGCGTACCCTTATCCCATCGTTCATCTCTTGTGCCTTGTCTTAATACGGTTTCCTGGCGCCTTCAACCATCTCCTTCCAAATTGCCCCGTTGCGCATCTAGTGCTTCCAATTTTCCTCTTGTTACTTCTCAATTCTGCTTTCTCTAAAAGATAGTTTCACACGTCATCAAAAAGGGTATCCAGCGTTCTTAATTGTAGATAAGAGACAGAAGGTAATAAACTAACCATCAGAATCAAAAGGGCGTTTCTGAAAACGAATGAACGGTAGTTTAAAGTGCTTCAAAACGTCTACGGGCGGTTTGTAGCTCTCGGCAATAGCATACGAGCAAGGCATTCTTGATACTCCTTCTCCATCGCCTTGTGCAAAGCGCGAACTTCACACATCATCGTGGCTTCTCTGTCACTGTCGGTGGCATCAGAAGTGAGTGCACCATGCGCAGGAGAAATATGAATGGGGCAAGGGGTGTCCATCAGATGAAAGGCCTTCAAACGATCAATTTCGTTTAGAAGCGCGCTCAGTTGAACAGCCCCCTTATCATGTTCGCAAATGATTAACTGTATGTTCTCGTCTTCCGCAGGCCACTTTGCTTCTTCGCCACTTCTCGCTCCTTCTTCTTGCATAGGTATCGGTAGTTTTCTCATATTTTCAATGAGTGTTTGATCGTTGCGCTGTAGCAAGGTAATTTAAGAGGCTTGGGAATAAATAACGAGTTGGGATAGATGAATAATGATTCCTAGTTTATCGAAGAACCCGAAAGCTTGCGGTTAATTGCGGTACTTGCGGTTTTAGTTACGACCTGAGGATCGGCAACCGCAACACCCAGTTTTCAACTGTTGAGGTCGGCGAGGATGGTATTCTTGGTTGCATATAATAAGAAACAAGACTTTCACAGTTTGTAACTATTTTTTTTTGGTTTTTGGAAAGACTATCCATAGAGTGGATCGCTCATCCTCCCTTTGATTTTCTCCTCTTGCTCTTTTCCTTTTGGGATTCCCCTTTTATTTAGGTTCCCGTTGAGGGGTATAGCTTCGTTGGGAGCAGAGCGGCACATCCCCATCCCATTCTTGACTCCGCTATCCATATCTCAATCACAACAACCGCTGCTCAACACGCTTATCAATTTTTTGCCAGACAACGTACTGTTTTTCCACATGTTGTTTTCCACGGTATTGGCAAAGGAATCTATTAGCTCTACCTAAGTGTTAGTAGTAGTCTATGGGCAAGCCCGAGACGTCCTGAGTGAAAGTGGCAGGTAAGCCCTACACATTTTCGGTTCACACCGTGTGTGTTCACTGTCACGAGTAGCGTATGCCAAGCTTGTTATATTCTGTTGAAAGCCTCAGGTAATGTTGACACGACGGCGTTGATGGGTGATACGTTTGACCCAATCACTCACTATTTTCCTCAATAATGCTTATCTCAAGCACTCTTAGACACGGATGAGATCAATGCGAACTTCAAGCTACAAATGGTTTTCCATGGTTTTGGCAAAGGAATCTATTAGCTCTACCAAGTGTTAGTAGTAGTCTATGGGCAAGCCCGAGACGTCCTGAGTGAAAGTGGCAGGTAAGCCCTACACATTTTCGGTTCACACCGTGTGTGTTCACTGTCATGAGTAGCGTATGCCAAGCTTGTTATATTCTGTTGAAAGTCTCAGGTAATGTTGTCACAATGGCGTTGATGGATGATACGTTTGACCAAATCACTCACTATTTTCTTTTTTTCCGAGGACTACTAAAGAACAAACTTTGGTTCACGCATGCAATCGCAGAGTAGGGCGCCGGCGCTGAACGACTTCGGTCAAGGCTGGTGGTTTTTCCTGTGGTTCTTTTGGTGAAAAACCGGTCATCTCGCGGAAAATTCCTGTGATAATCTGCATAGCCCTCCCTTATGATCGATTCGGTCCATAGTAGCACGCCGGTAGTGTGCCTTAGTCCCTTCATTTGTACACTTGTATCTTTAACGTTATTGGCAGTTTCTGATCTTTGCACACTTTTGAAAAAATGATTCCCAACCAATGGTTTCCTTACAAAAAAAATCGTATATTCTTTCTAAAGCAAGTAGTAGTAGTGGTGATTTTAATTGGTGATATGTGTGTATCATTTAATACTACCTATAATTCAGATACTGGATTACCTAATTGCTTATATATCTGGGAAAGATTACCTTTCTTTTAAGTAGTAGTCGATGATCTATAAGATGACAAATTTAAACGATTTTGCTATCTCATGTGCATCAGTCATCCATGAAAAAAGCCATCATCAAGGATAGTAAGAGCACAAAACGTATAAATGATATGACATCCCCAATATTTTTTTCGTTTCTTCTGTGATTACGATCATACTATTAGTATCGTGATCTAACCGTCGTTGTCTTTGAATATAATTAGATAATGACGGAATATGGGTTGGCACTGGTTACGGGAGAGACAACAACGCCAGGATATTTTAGAGAACCTCCTTTTATCCATCCATGTACCGAGTGATTACATGTATCTATTCGAGATAGCCACTCAACAAGATCTCAAACCATCGTATGTAAACAAAGATATAGCCTAAATGAATATCGTGATATGCTTCAGTAAGATAAAACTGTTGAAGCTCGGTGTGTCGGACCGAAAAACAAAAAAGTTAAAAAGCACCTAGTGCTTTATGCTACCAAGTGGGTACACGGTTGTTCCGCTATCACAACCTTCATCAACCAACTTGGGTTTTGTCGAGTTAGAGTTGGAGCTGGATCTTTTGGTTACCCCTTGCTAGGAACCAAATGATCCGAAATACGATTACCAAATGCCCTTTGGTTTTGTAAGGGACTGGATGACCATAAAACGGTTGTCTAGTCTTATCCAGTGAGAGATCTGAAATTACACTGGTGCGCAAAAAGCGTAAATTCGCATGCGTGCGCGAAATTGAGAATTACCCTCCGCGAAAATAAGAGTGGGGGGGGGGGCGCGAAGTTTTAGGAAAAAACTTTATACATACGAGCTGAAAGAATCAAAGAAAGGGTCGCCGGTATCCAGTTCAGCTGGAGAGCCATGAAAGAGAGAGAGAGAGTAAGAAAGTCTTTGCCAATTACAGTACCGTAGCATGTGCTTTCTATTATTACATGCTTTAGCGTCGTTGAATAATGCGGCAGAAATAAAGATCTTCGGCGCCTGAATACCATAAACGAAGATCTTTCTTTTCCTTCTCTTATTTTCGCCACAAAACGTGGCGTTCTTGTTTCATTTTCATATGCCCCAGCATTGAGTCATTATTGCTAGTGAAATGAAGAGGAAAACCAAGTATGCTGCTATGCATGACATGCGGGGTCTCGCAGAAAGCTTCTTCTTTCTGTTTAATGATCCCTGAAACTTCTGCTCTGCTTTACACAAAGCGCGACGTGGCGTTAACAAAATGTTTACATCTTGTATTACTCCGCAACAAACACAAAGTGGTGCACTCTCCCTGCCTCTCCCTTCCCTTTCCTAAATACACTCTTTTCCCGATACCTTGACAGAAAGATTTATTTCTGCTACATACTGGTCCATGAGCGATTAAGAAGAATCCACGAAAAAGAAGAAGAAAAGAAAAAGCCCTCCATGGCAGTAACCACTCCAATCTTGCGCATTCTTGGCTTTTGTGCCGTGGCCCTTGCCATGGTCCAAATCTATTCCCTAATGTCCGCCTCACCACCAAAAAACCACACGTCCTTTATATCCGATGCACGACGACCCGCGTTACCTTGGTACAAGATCCCGCATCGTTCGGTGGTTGTCGGTCAACGCACAATGACGGGTCATTTATCAACGCAAAAACGAGCGGAACTGCAAGAACGTATGGTGCAACTTGCAAAAACCAAGGCGCAGGAAGCGTTTGGTGGTGATACTTACGCGGGTGTGATCCCGGGCAGTATTATACGAACCGAGGATCAAGCACAAGCATTACGTTCGTTGGTGGATTGTTGGACCCAGGGCAAATGGGTTCCTTTCGACGAAACCATGGAAAATGCACTATTGACAAATCCACCCATCAAACATTTCCAGGATCCACTCTATGGGACGTGTGACCACAAGTTTTACAAGACGCATGAAAAGGATGGCAAGACTTGGCGAGCGGCAGTCAAGTATCGCTGGCAGCCAGCATGTGCATTGCCAGTAGAAACGATTGATCCAGCGGAATGGTGTCGTGTCCTGCGAGGGAGAAACATTGCCCTGGTGGGTGATCTCGTTCATTATCAAATGCATGAACTATTGCTAGATGTTCTACGCGACGGTCCAGTAGTTTGCTATGGTGAATTGAGCTGTAAAGGTAAATTGAATTGTAGATTGTAAATTTGCTAGGTATGCGTATATGTGCGTGTGTGTGTGTGTAACGGGGACTTTCTATAGAGAGCTAGCTGACATAAACCTTTGCTTTCAAATCAGAACATACCATTTGTACGAAACCAAAGCCATCGTTGCTTCAGTATGTTCGTAATGATTTGTTATCACCCAATCGACGCGTAAAAAACGAGGAGGGTCATCCATCCGCATCCATCATTGACTGGCCCTTTGTCACTGGCGTAATCCAAAAACGTTTCAACATATTCATCCTGAATCGTGCACCCGTGATTGAAGACGACGAAACATTCATTAGCCAACTAATTGAAAGTATGCAAGAATTGCGAAAGTCGAAGCCAAAGGCGCTTGTGATTTATCGATCGACCACGGTGGGTCATCCTTATTGCAATGACGCGCAAGGGCCACTCGATGAACCTTTGACGGATATGGAACGACAAGAGCTGCCGTATGGTTGGAGTGAGCAGACGCGACGGAATGCAATGGCCAAGGAGATCGTGGAGGCTGCTGGCGGCCTATATGTGGATTTGGCGGCTTTGACGGATATGCGGCCCGATGGTCACATAGGTGGTCAGGATTGTCTTCGCTACTGTATACCCGGACCTTTGGATGCGTGGGCTACTGTATTGTATAATGTCATGCTGGGTTTGGAAGGTCGGTTACCGTTACCAAATGATAACATTAAGAACGGTATTGATCGTGGAAACAACAAACAACGATAGTTGGTTATCCTTCTCCCTTCTGATCTCATTCTAGCACCCTCACTCAGAAACTCACTCACTCATCCAATCGCATATCAACCGCAACGCACGCTGGTTCGTTTTATAATGTTCTTTCGCACTTTAACCTCAACACATACACACATATACTATACTTATTACATATGACAATCCCATGTATACTAGCATGCATACAGAATTCAAATAGATCTTTAAAACCATCGTATCTCTTCCTCCTCATCCGTCTAATCACTTATTTTCAGTCTTCCAATCTTTTTTCTCTGTTTGAAAGATATATTTGTTTACTGTCATTAATTCTTGCTAATACTTAATGTCCTCCATTGCCATGATATAATTGACTTTGCAGATACTCCTCCCAAGAGATCAGACCACTATTAAAAAAGCAATGTGAGAACCCAGTTATATATCCAGGACGTGTTATGTCGTCCAAAAAGTTGTAGTTTGTGAGAGTAGCTATATATGTGTATATGAACGGGTGAACAAACTTACTCGCCATTTATATCATCTTCTTCCAACACGTGATCCACCATATCCGTGATTTCTTCAAGCGACACGTAGTTTGTTGGATCGTCTTCTTCATCTTCGTTGAAATCGGTAAATGCAGCACGCAGTTCATGGCCATCCAAACAGTTATCGCCATTGGTATCGTGCAACACAAACAAATAGTACACCAATTCTTTCTCGTTCAAATCGACAGGTGGCTCATTGCCGTCTTGCGCCATCTTTTGTATATGTTCCATAATGTGTCTAAAACGAACCCCAAACAATTTTCATATAGATGAGACTTTAAGAATAAAGTTGTATTTTTGTGGGGGGGAGGGGAAATGCCTTGTTTTTGTCGTTTGATACTTGCTGTTTGTTTGTTTTTTCTTCACCATAGTTGGAATGACCCGCTTGTTCGTATCGATGCGTACCTGGGCCAGCAACGACCAGCGTGGCAATGAAGGTGGCGATGAATAGTGTCAGCAATAGTGGATGCATAATTTTATATTGGAGAGCAGAAAAAGGTGGTGGTGGTGGTGGTCAGTGTGTGTATTAGTGCCACGTTGAATGGACGGACTGTCAAAAGTCCCACCAGATAAGGAAATCGTCATTGCACTTTTTTTTTGCATAGACCCTGTCATCATCCCTCTCTCTCTCTCTTTCTTTCCTTTTTCTGTATACGCTCTTTAATTCATTCTATAAAAAAACATGTCAGAGAACGAAGATATTCATTGTAATGTACTGCAATGTCGACGACCGTTGTGCCTTGAAAGTCAAGTAACTATTGCTATTACACTACAAAAACAATCTGCATAAAATGAAATAAAAAGACACGCTAAGAAAACAATGGATATAGGCGTGCGTCACTTCTTGCTCTCGTAATGTGTTATATCTTTTTCATACTTGATAAAATGATAATGGTGATGATGATGTCGCTTTGTTAAAAAAGGTGAGCTCATTCGAGCGAGCATTTTATGTAAAATATAGATATATTTTGTGTTGGTTGTGCCAATCGACATTTCAATCAAGCACTGGTATGTCCTGCGTGTTCAACTTCACTTACTCAAAGGTACAACTCTTTATTTCTCTTTGCTGTAAATACTTGAGAAAGATTTGCTGGTAAAACTTATATAAGCTGGTTGGCTTTGATAATTGTCTTTTAACAATAATAATGTATGCAGTGATGACATTGTCGTGACGCAGCTGAACCCATCAGAAGAGTACAAATCTGTAAGTGGTATTTTTCCCTTTTTTTAACCTGTTAAAGATAACACATTTGAGTAATACTAAAAGGGTACTAATCTGAATCACGTATACACCGAAAAAAGTCTATATTGGCAGGATTGAGACCAGATGTCATTATGGACATTTCAAGTCGTGCGATCGCATTTTATTTTTATCAGACATCCCAGGAACTTTGTTACAAGACGATTATGCAGCAGAACTTGGAAACAAAGTGTCATACTTTGCAGGATCAATTACGAGATGCAGTTAGCGATGGCAATAGGACTGTAAAAGGTACACAGAAGTGGCTCAGTGATATGTGATCAGTTGAAGGAGGAACTTGTTTTATGTTTAGAAGATATAAAAACTAATACCCTTCATGTTCCCTGAATGTAGCTGAGAAGCAAAAGAACAATGGTACGTGGAAATGAGATCCACTAGTTATACTGATGACGCGTTCGCAACTGATAGATTGCCTACTATAATAACAACTTGCTTTTCATATCTATGTATACAGTGCTGATGCGTGAACAAGAACAAGAGAAACGACGCGTGCATGATCTACAGAGCAAATTACACGAAAAGACACGCCAGTTTCAAAAACTCCAGGTAAATGGTTTTCTGTTTGCATAGAACATCTCACGCGGTTTTATACAGTACCATTTGCATCGCAATAGTACCAGCTTTTATTGATATCATATATTGATGTGTTGTTATGATAGACTATGTACGAAAAACTTAAGCGCAAGACAGTGACTCCAAACATCCAGCAAACACTAAACCATCAACAGCAGCAGCAACAGCATGTAGAGCAACAATCAGTTAGTAGTAATCTATTACCGCAACAACAGCAACAGCCGACACCAGTTTCCATGAACTCTGGATTAGCACCTACATTTAATATCCCAGCAGCATCTGAGACATCACGGCTACGCACATTCCCTTATGCACCTAGCACAGTCAGGCACGATAGCCCAGGCGACTATACCGAATTGATACGCGAGGAAACCCCTGGGCCTCCACCCGAAGTACATCATCGTCCTCATGTTCGACAACAGCAACAACAGAGTTTCGATGATAGATATTCACCAGCAGCATTATACAACCAGCAGCAGCAATACAAAAATCCTCACCATGATCATCCTCCTCCTGCTACCGCACGCCGAAATATGAGGAACCAGCAACAATCAGTTATGATGATGGTATGTAATCTAGTGAACCTTTACATACGCTATACCTGAGCCTCTTTTTTCATGACTGATCTATAATGTGTAACTGGTTGATCACTCAAGAAACATTATAATTAGGCTCCTCCTGGCACAGCAAGACATCCTCAACAACAACAGCAGCAACAGTCATTGCCACCTTCGTATTTCTACAAGGACAACAATAACATGGTTCAAGCACCTCCTCCTGCTGCTACCGTACAACATCATCGACAAACTGGAGTCCATCCACATCTGGTCGATAGCACCAATCAACAATATCGTCCTACTGCCGCTGTCGGAAATAGTTACGCTACAGTTGTTTCACCCAAGGCAAGATCGGTTGCGACGAGTGGCGGTAGGCGTAG